GCTATATCAAATGCAAGGATTATTATTATTATTATTATCAAATACATGGATTAATATTATTATGATTGCTTATTTGACACAGCAACATCCCATAAACAGCTATGAAGTGAGCAAGCAATTTTATCTGGTGAGATTGTCGACCAGGAAACGGGGAGAAATTCCCTTCTCTATTCAGGAAGGTTTGATGTGATAAATGATTCACTTCTATCTCTTCCTTCTCCCAGAGTCAACTGATAAACATGGACGATGCCAAAGGTAAGAGGAAATGTGAAACAACATATTTTTATTTTCTTTCCTGATTTTCCTTCCCCAACACTCCCGTGTTCTTTCTCCAAAGTGCAGACCCGTCGCCTTTGCGAAGCCGGAGACAGAGTTCAAGTGCTTTCGTTTTAATTAAATCATTTCAGTCGCTGGTCTCCACAGCAAAATCCTGCAAAGCGCTTTGAGACGTCTCGACGATGTGAGAAGACTCTGTATCAAATGCGAGGATTGTCACGTAAATACAAGTTGTTGTTGATATATAACAATTATCAGTGTTCGTGCGAATTTTGCCATCCACAAAAATACATTTGGCAACGACAAAGATCGTTTCACTGTTGTTTGGCTCGTGTCCAGCCTCTGTAACAATGTGTTCCTGGAGTTCAAAGAGACTGATTACAAATTGGACATTAATAAAACCATGTTATCACACCCACCCCGAGATTGTATCTGGGGTAAAACTATATAATTAAAGAGCATTGTGCAAAATTAATTACAAATATTAAGGGCGCAGTATCTGATGTTTAACTGATAATTATTGTCACCTGACGTTCTCAGCAACAAATGAAAGATTATCTGGGTTGGGTGTCGCTTGTATAAAAATGATTAACAAATCAACAACGATGACAGGAAAATGATTGTGTAACAGGTGGCAGCGTTTGAAGATCATTTCTCCCTGTGGGGGGAAGCGGATTCACTGTCTGATTCACTGTTTACCGTGTTGATCAGGGTAAACAAACTGAATCAGGTTTGCCTTTCAGCCGAGGCTTTGCTGTCAACCACAGCGTGAGAGGTGCAGCTGTCTGGGAACAGCCGGGTTTCCTGCCACAGGATCCCGAAGCCTCAAGTTCCTTCTAGTCTTAGTCTCGGTTGCTTTTATTAAAAAAGAGGTTGGCTTCCACAGGAAGTCGGCCACTTTAACAAGGAGGTGGGCTTTGGCAGCGGGGAGAGAGGGAGGCAGTCGGAGGGACTCCACTACGAAGGCGGGGGGAGGTGGGGTGGGGACATGAAGAAAGCCAAGTGTTCACTGAGTGAAGGGAAGACATTTATTGCCAGGCTGCAGAAGCAGCGACTTTGCAACTTCACCGATGTCTGGGATCCTCGTCGACCCCCAAAAAACATGGTGGGATAAACCCGGTGAGAGAAACCATGGTCTAGAAGCCCACGGGGTAGGGGCAATGAGGGTTGGGGGGTGGGGGGGCTTCCGATAATGGTTGTTCGGAGCATGTTTTAACCTGATGTTTTTGTCCTGTTGAGGAACGTTATCCTCAGGGGTTATGCGTTTAAGAATGTTGGATCTCCCCCCCTCACGGCACTAACTATTTTCAAGGACTAGAATTCAATCCCAGCCAATGTTTTGCTCAAGGGCCCTGTTGAGGAATGCTGTACACACTGCACCTGCCACCCTCCACTCAATCATTCCAAGTGGACAAGTGGAGGTTAAGCATCGACTCAAAGAAAGTGTCAAAAACGACCTACAACAAGCTGTCGTTCTGTTAAGTGGATCTCGGCTCGGCTCACTCGGGCAGCTCTCTCGCCTCGGTGTCAGAAGCTTGTGGGGGTTTCAAGCCCTCGTGTCGGGACATTGAGCTCACTGTCTAGGCCGACACTCCAATAGCAGCAACAAATTTCATTTACATATTGCCTTTTACGTCAGGAGGATGTCCTGTAAGGGGAGGGGTGAGAGAGACAGGAGACATACCACATGTAAGTGGTGTCCGGTTTGGACACCCTTAAACCTCGGTGATGGGTTTCCTTGTGTGTCAGACCAGTGGCCAGTGGCCTCATGACAGTGCATGGGAAGTTTGTTGGCACGGATCAGACGCAGCATTTGCCTAGACTTCAAAGTAACCCATTGTCTGAAGCCCTGGAGGTGTTTTTATGTCACAAGGAGAACAGATTTGGGTAGAACAATAAACCAGGATCAAATCATGGCAGAAATGTTGAATAGATGTTTTGCTTTGGTCTTCACATTGGAGAGGGAGGATGTGACAATACCAGAGGGACAGGAAAGACTGGATTAGTGAAGGGGAGAAGATTAAAGGGATTAGTGTACACAAAAACATTGTAATGGATAGATTAATGTTCGACACCCGAGGGTACAAAAAGAAGCCGGAGAGGAAATTGTCGGGGAATTAGTCTATGATCTTTCGAAACTTTCAGAATTCAGGGGTATACCGAAGGATTGGAGGCTCCAACAGGAAAAGCGCCATTTTCTAAGAAGAGAGGAAGAAACCAAGCGAGTAACAATGGGGTGCAAAATGAGGTATTGGTCGCAGTATTGGGAGATTCACTCCCTGCGTTCGTCCCACTAAGTAACAGTCACGAAGGCTGTTTGTCAGAATGACTTTGTCGAAAGGGTTTCATCCAAGAGCAAAACCTATTTCGCCCTCAAAACGCACAGTCATTACACTTTACCGTGAATCCTGCAAAGCGCTTTGAGAAGTATGAAACCCGAGGACTTTTAATCAATAGGATAATGGGTCGCCATGAAGTTGTGAAAGACCTAATTCTCCGAACTTGCAATGTGTTAATTTATTGAATGCTGGTGGTCAATTTAACCTCTTTACGATGTTTAACCAGTCAACTATTTATAATGGACAGCAATGCACCGGAATGCCAGCCGAGATTATGAGCTCACATCTCATCATGGGGCTTGAACCCGCATCCTTTTGTTAATAACAATAATCCTTGCATCCGCTCTATGTAGCTCCTTATCATGCCACTGAAACGTCCCAAAGCGCTTCACAGGATGTACTGTAAAGTGGAGTGACTTGTGTATTTTGCGAGCGAGACTTTGAGATAAGACGCCGAGACCGGGTGAAATATCAGACCTCAATTAGCTGCAGAGTTGGGTGTTGGACGGTGTTGGAGACGCAGATCAGAGTGCAATAACCTGGCAGTTCCTCTGGAGAGTGATGTTGTACAACGAGCGATTGAGCGACTGCAGGATCCAGAGCAATATCCCTCCTCACCAGCGAAGCCGTTCCTTCAGGTGGTGGTTGGGTAGGTTCTCACCCGGGCTGGCTCTGCGACGGCGGGAGCGATTGACCGGCAAATTCCTTTTAGATTCCCGTCGATGACTCCGCTCCGCCATTAGATCAGGATGGAGCAGAGTTCCTGCGAGTCGGCTTCAGTCCTCGAGGCAAGGGCGGAGTCCTGTAGCTCAGTGTTTGGAGCCCTCGCCTGGCGAGCGAGAGGGCCCGGGTTCGATTCCCGGGCAGGGGAAACCTTTGGCAAGTTTACTTACTCCGCACTCCGCCGTTTACCTTGCAGTAAGCAGGAGCTCGGTTGTTAGGGGTTAATCGATCCATGGCTGTTTGTGGGGACGCTGCTGTGCGCGATTGGCTGCCGCGTTTCGTCCACAAAATATACAGTCAGTTCACTTTACAGTCTGTTCCGTGAAGCGCTTTGAGACGTCTCGATGAGGTGATCAGGCGCTCTATCAAATGCAAGGATTATTATTGTTATTATAAAAAGAAAAACAGCTGCAAAATAAAAGGCTGGATTTAAGAATTTTCCAACATTCCGCGTGATCCTCGGTTCAAGATAACAACCGATCATTGCATTTGATGCGGAGTCGTAAATCCGGTGCCTCATTGTCAGTGTCGCTGTCCTTCGAGTGCAGTATTAAACCCGTTTTTTCCGGTGTCCTGACCAACAATAGCGACAAGAACTTGCATTTATGTAATAATAATAATAATAATAATCTTTGCATTTGATATAGCGCTCTTCACGTCGGGAGGACGTCCCAAAGCGCTTCACAGAACACACTGTAAAGTGAATTGACTGTATATTTGTGGGCGAACGCGGCAGCCAATTGCGCACAGCAATGTCCCACAGACACTCGTAGATTGAAAATGGCCAATTTATTATTATTATTATTAGGCGTGTGGAGTGTGTCTGTCTGTGTGTATGTCTGTCTGTCTGTCTGTGTGTAGGTTCTGTCTGTGTGTGTGTATGTGTCTGTCTGTGTGTCTGTTTGTCTGTCTGTCTGTGTGTGGGTGTCTGTCTGTGTGTCTGTCTGTGTGTGTCTGTCTGTGTGTGGGTGTCTGTCTGTGTGTGTGTCTGTGTGTCAGTGTCTGTGTGTCAGTGTCTGTCTGTCTCTGTGTGTGTCTGTGTGTCTGTCTGTGTGTCAGTGTCTGTCTGTCTGTGTGTGTGTCTGTGTGTCAGTGTCTGTCTGTCTGTGTGTGTGTGTGTGTGTCTGTGTGTCAGTGTCTGTCTGTCTGTGCGTCAGTGTCTGTCTGTCTGTGTGTGTGTGTGTGTCTGTGTGTCAGTGTCTGTCTGTCTGTCTGTGTCTGTCTGTGTGTCTGTCTGTGTGTGTGTGTGTGTGTCAGTGTCTGTCTGTCTGTGTGTCAGTGTCTGTCTGTGTGTCAGTGTCTGTCTGTCTGTGTGTCAGTGTCTGTCTGTGTGTGTGTCTGTCTGTCTGTCTGTGTGTGTGTGCGTGTGTCTGTCTGTGTGTCAGTGTCTGTCTGTGTGTCAGTGTCTGTGTGTGCGTGTGTGTGTGTCTGTCTGTCTGTGTGTGTGTGTGTGTGTGTCTGTGTGTCAGTGTCTGTCTGTCTGTGTGTGTGTGTGTGTGTGTCTGTGTGTCAGTGTCTGTCTGTCTGTCTGTGTGTCAGTGTCTGTCTGTGTGTCAGTGTCTGTCTGTGTGTCAGTGTCTGTCTGTGTGTCAGTGTCTGTCTGTCTGTCTGTGTGTGTGTGTGTGTGTCTGTCTATCTGTCTGTCTGTCTGTCTGTGTGTCTGTGTGTCTGTGTGTCAGTGTCTGTCTGTCTCCTGTGGTCGCGGACACTGATTTACAACAGACGTCAGTGGCCGCACAAAGGCTTCCGATCAGAATGTGACTGTCGGTCCCCCGGTCCCGGGGCTGCGGTGTGAGCGGCTCTGTGGTACAGAGTGGACCCCCGAGAAGAGACCCCTCTCCCCCCTCCCGCTCGCTATGGGGGGCTGCTGCTCCACAGGTGAGACCTGGAGATCAATCCGACAGGTTCCCTCCCTCCCCATCCCTCCCTCCCTCCCTCTCTCCCTCTCCATCCCTCTCTCTCCCTCTCTCCCTCTCCATCCCTCTCTCTCCCCATCCCTCCCTCCCTCTCTCCCTCTCCATCCCTCTCTCTCCCTCTCTCCCTCTCCATCCCTCTCTCTCCCTCTCCATCCCTCCCTCCCTCTCCCCATCCCTCCCTCTCTCTTCCTCCCCATCCCTCCCTCTCTCTCTCCCTCTCCATCCCTCCCTCTCCCTCTCCATCCCTCTCTCTCCCTCTCCATCCCTCTCCATCCCTCTCTCCCTCCCCATCCCTCCCTCCCTCTCTCCCTCTCCATCCCTCTCTCCCTCTCCATCCCTCTCTCTCCCTCTCCATCCCTCCCTCCCTCTCTCCCTCTCCATCACCTCCATCCCTCTCTCTCCCTCCCCATCCCTCTCTCTCTCCCTCCCCATCCCTCTCTCTCTCCCTCCCCATCCCTCCCTCTCTCTCCCGCCCCATCCCTCCCTCTCCCTCTCCATCCCTCCCTCTCCCTCCCCATCCCTCCCTCTCTCTCCATCCCCATCCCTCTCTCCCTCTCCATCCCTCCCTCCCTCTCCCTCTCCATCCCTCTCTCTCCCTCTCCATCCCTCTCTCCCTCTCCATCCCTCTCTCTCCCTCTCCATCCCTCCCTCTCTCTCCCAATCCCCCCCTCCCTCTCCATCCCTCTCTCTCCCTCTCCATCCCTCTCTCTCCCTCTCCCTCTCCATCTCTCTCTCTCCCTCTCCATCTCTCTCTCCCTCCCCATCCCTCTCTCTCCCTCCCCATCCCTCTCTCTATCCCTCCTCTCCATCCCTCCCTCCCTCCCTCCCTCTCCCCGTCTCCCTCCCTCCCTCCTCTCCATCCCTCCCCATCCCTCTCTCTCTCCCCCTCCCTCACTCCCTCCCTCCCCCTCCCCATCCCTCTCTCTCCCCCTCCCCATCCCTCCCTCCCCATCCCTCCCTCCCCATCCCTGCCTCCCTAACTCCCTCCCTCTCCATCCCTCCCTCTGCCTCCCCATCCTTCCCTCCCTCTCTCCCTCCCTCCCCATCCCTCCCTCACTCCCCATCCCTCTCCCTCCCTCCCTCCCCCTGCCTCCCTCTCTCCCTCCCCCTCCCTCTCGCTGCGTTAATGTTTAATGTGTTAATGGCTGCCTCGGAATTGCCAGCAATGTCTGAATGCAATCAGTGTGGTTTGCTGTTGACATGGTTACTTGCTCCAGTGTGTGTGTGTACCACAAAGCCAGGACTCTTCCCCCCCACCCCTCCCTCCCTCCCTGTATCTGCCTCTTTGCCCAGCAGCAGGTAGACTTGAGCACAAACACAAGGAAAGCCAGTCCCGGTGTCACGTTCATCGGAGGTTTTGTCGGGAATATTCTAGGGCTGCATTTATTTCCGAGATGGCCTGTTCCATCATCTGGCCCCGTTGCCCTCGCTCCCCGTCACTTCCATCCGTCCCGCAGTTGCAGGGGCTCCGGCTACCGTTATATCTGCCACGTTATTACTGACGGTGAAAATTGGACTCGATGGGATGTGGTGACTGAGAATGAAGGCAGTGCGGTCACTGGCCCTCCCTGACACACACCCACACACACACACATATATATATATACACCTTGGGATCATGAAGGAACAGGTCGTGCATCCCAATGGGAAGCAATCAACGGGAATAAAACTGCAGCTCGGTTTACCCTTCAGCAAGAGGAGAAAGTGGGATGGGAGGGATGGGAGGAAACGCAATGAAGAGAGTGAGGATGGAAAAGGACACAGGAGTGTAAGAGAGGAAGCGGTCAGAGCAGATTCATAATATAATCATCCTTGCATTTGATACAATGCCTGATGGCGTGTGTCCTGGCTCCAGAGAGGTTTCCTTGCTCCGCACAGAACCCGTTGTTAGTCGATTGGCGGATCGCTTTCCATGGGTAATAATCCCTCCAAAATATAATCATTTGGTCACTCAATCCATCACTGTTTGTGGGACGCTGCTGTGCGCAATTGGCTGCCTCGTTTTGCCTACAGAATACACAGTCACTCCACTTCACAGCATATTCTGTGAAGCGCTTTCAGATGTGATAAGATGCTGGATCCAACGCTAGTTATTATTATTAAAGTGGCCAATCTAGCCCAAAACCTTTGAGGAGAGGCATTCCCAGCAGTGTCTAACCAGTGAGTTACCAACATCAGTGCTTTATACCCTATGTTGGCAAAGATCCACAGACAAACCAGAAGTGAACTGCGCAAGAGGGGTTTGTTGTCTGGGGCTCGGGATACATTTGTGGGGACATTTCAGGAGGAGACTAGGCTCACAGAACGTCTCATAAACATTTACAGCCAGCTGAGAGTCAAAACACACAGCCATGATTTATTACAGTCTCCGGTTACCATTGAAACATGCTCCTTTGGTTGTAAACCCATGTCCTGAATGGACACGATGCAATGACCTTCCTTGTGCTTTTACAACCACAGATCGCATTAGGAGATGCTGAGGTTCCTGACTGTGATCAGATTAGCTATGCCAGGTCTCCGCCCTGAACTTTTGCCTGATTTCATTACAGGAGGTACCAGACATTCAATTGGCTCAGATTGATATCACAGAGCTTATTACAGACGGCTTCATATCGAACAGGGAACAGTTTACCGGCAGAAATGTGCACTGCTCACTCCCCGGATGTTAAAGATCTTGTGGCACTGATGAAAAACTGAAAGGAGTTTCTCCCAGTGTCCTGGCCAACAATCTACCCAGATAGATAGATTTCTTATTGCAAAAGGGATGAAGGGATACGGGGATAAGGCAGCGTCAGGTTATTAGCTGGAGTTAGATTAGAAGATCAGCCATGATTGAATGGCGGGGCAGAGGCTCGAAGGGCCGAATGGCCTACTCCTGCTCCTACATGTTATGTTATGTTAAACCCATTCATTCACCTCCTAGTTGTTGGCGGGAGATTCTTTGCGTACATAGACTGCACGTAACAATAATGACTGCAAAGCACTGTGAGATGTTCCGACCATATCAAATACAAGGGTTAGAACAATGTGCAAGTCTTTGAAGCAATATTATTTTATCTTCCCCAGAACCTCTGACAAATATTGCTGAGAACCTCCCAGAGACGAGAAGCACTGCTCAGTGTAAGAATCTTGCATCGAGCGAGGAAGAGAAAGAATCTCCAGCGGCCTTTGAAGACCATAAAATCTGCAAGGTAGCAAGTGGCCACGACATGACAGGACTCCGCTCGGGAGCTCCTGTGAAGCTTAGCTTGTTCACAGAATAATTTACTGAGACGTTTGCTCTTATTTCTGAGAACATTGTAGAAACAAGGAGGTGAAATGCTCCTGAAAATGTTTCTTCAATGTCGTTAGCCTGGCTCAGTTGATCAGGCTCTTGCCTCTTGAGTCAGAAGCCTGTGGGTTCAAGCCCCACGTCAGGACTTGGAACCCATATAGTCTCCGCTGACACTCCAATGCAGTGCTGGGGGGAGCATTGCATTTGTGGAGGTGTCGGCCTTCGAATGAGACATGAGGGCTTAAACCGAGGTCTCAACTACCTGTTCAGGTGGATGTTAAAGATACCGTGGCACTATTCAGAAAAAGAAGGGAGTTTCTCCCGGTGTCCTGGCCAACAAATGATCCTTCATGTTGTGGGTGTTTGTGGGACATTGCTGTGCACAGTTTGGTTGCTTTGTTCGGCTACAAAATACAAAAACACTGCAGTTTCCAGGAAATCCTGTGAATTGCTTCGAGACGTCCTCCCCACGTGAGAGACGCTGTATCAAACGTAAGGATTATAATGATTATAAACAAAACCAGACAGACAGAAAGCCCCAGAGACTCCTCACCCCTGGGGAAATTAACCCACGAGCATGTGGTAGACAGGAACACGCAAGCCAATTGGAGGGACAAGTAGTTCTGGTTTTGAGTTCTGACGAAAGGTCTTTGACCTGAAACGTTAACTCGTTTTCCTCTCTCCATGGATGCTACCTGATCTGCTGCGTGTTCCCAGCGGCCTCTGTGTTTATACCAGATTTACAGCATCTGCATTACTTTGCCTTTTGTTTCTGGTTTTATTATCTGCTTTGCTGAGAGTTGGTGCAAAGCTACACTGTGTACTCTTTAGACCAAGGAAGGTCTCTCACTCTCTGGGGAAAAACAACCTCCAGTAGTTCCGTTGATAGATACAGTGACTGATTTTGTCTGATGCTTTGCGTTCCAGCAAGACAGGACCGATTTCTGCTGGGACCCCATTCAGGTCGGTGTCTCATCCATTCTCTTTGCTGCCTGTTACTAACCCACCCTCTGAACACCGGGCGGGCTGAGGGTCCCATTGAAGCGGGGAGGTCGTGTGTGTGGTTGTGGGGGTCATCATAATGTATTAAAGTGGGAAAAAATAGTGGTCATTCAATCCACGACTGTTTGTGGGACACTGCTGTGCGCGATTGACTGTCGCGTTTCGCCCCACACAATACGCAGTCAATTCTGTGAAGCGCTTTGAGATGTCCCAAAGATGTGATAAGGCGCTATATCAACTGCAAGGATTATTTGTTATTATGATTGATATCCTGTATAATGAGGTGTAGGGATTTGCCAGGGTGTTACGTGACAGAACTGGGGACATCAGGGAGTGGTCAGGCCTCTGCGATTTAACAGCGAGTGTGCATTGGTTGCGTGTATACTCACTCTAACACACTCTCCCCAGACCTCTACATTGTGCAGTCCTTACATCCCACATCACTCCCTCCTGTATGTAATTTACAGGCTTTTAAAGCTCAAACTTGGCATCACAAAATATACAGTCAATTCACTTTACAGTGTATTCTGTGAAATACTTTGAGACGTCCCAAAGACATGATAAGGTGCAATATCAAATGCAAGGATTATTATTAATATTATTATATATTATTATTATCACTTGATCCCTACCTCTTGATTTACCTAATCCTTTCCCTTCCCTTTCTCTGATCTCCTCCTAACGGCTTTGCATTTTATACAGCGCCTTATCACATCTTCTAGACGTCTCAAAGCGCTTCACAGAATATACTGTAAAGCGGAGTGAAGGTATATTTTGTAGGCGAAACATGGCAGCCAATTGCATGCAGCAGAATTGGTGTATTCTTTCAAACTTTCACCATGCTCTGGACTCTGGAGCTTGCCCCAAACCCAGATCCCATCAGGAAGAGACCCACCATGTTCAGGCTGTTATAGTAGTCTGTCTGTTTGACATGTTTGATGTATATTATTAATTTACTGTTTCTCTGTTAATTATCTTCTCTGTCGGGCTCAGAATTGCTTTGGCAGCAGCAGTGGAATTTTTTCTGGCTCCAAACAGACTCTGAATGGCTATGACATCAATGCGTTGGCAAGATCCTCACTCGTTGGTAGGTAAATACACGTCATTGATGAACATTTTGGGGTTTCTCGGGCAGATATGTTGCTGAAAAGCCCACCAGCCGTTAACTCGTTTAACTCAATAAACACTATTTTACAAACCAAAGTGCTGTGTATATCGGAAGTACAAACAGGACGGAGGTCCGAAGGTTGTGAGTTCAAGCCGCACGAACAGGACCTTGAACCCACATAGTCTCTGCTGACATTCCACTGCAATACAACAACAACAACTTGCATTTGCATAGCGCCATTCACGCCAGCCGGCGACTTGGAGCACTCCCTAACACTGGGGGAAGCGCTCCCCAGTACTGGGGAGAGAGCTCCCTTGTTGAAGGTGCCGTCCTTTGGATGAGACGGTAAATCGAGGTTAACTTTTCAACTTATTTTTACGCCATTCTCTTCAAAGAAGGTGTGAGAATCCCAATTCACGCTCTCCCAGATCCCAGGGAGGGGCTGGAGGGAGAAACCATTCCGGGGAGACTGGCGTGGGTTAAGGAAAGAGGAGGATGTTCAGTCGCGAACGTGTGGTTTAGAACAGGACACAATATAACCACGTCTTTCTGTCCGTGTAATAATTATCCTCACACATTTGTCCGCCTACTCCTTCCCCCTCCCCCACCTACAACTGTACATATTGCCAGGCAACTGGAGTTTAATGTGATTGTGATAGCAGGCGAGGAGTATAAAGAGTTCTGAAATCAAGTCTATGACCTACAGTGTCTCTTTGAGGGTGACACTCACGAGCGTACGTTGAGAATTTATGTCCTATGAGATCACCTAAGACGAGGCTCACCTCCAGGAGCACGGGATTTTGTAGACTGGGGAATAATCAACTGTGGCTTGTGTAAAATGAATTGACAATCAATTTGAAACAGCTGTCAGAGCCGGATAACCTCCAGCCTCAAATATGTAGAAATGAGTAGAAGTCAGCCAGCAGGCAATTACAGGCCTCATCGAGAGCCTTCGCTATCTCCATAATTGCTATGAACTCATACCTTCAGGAATGGCCATGTGTAGAGCATCAGGACATGAGCTGGAGCCTGAGCTCGTTGCAGGACTCAGGGCCTCACCAATCTATATTCCTTTTTACGTGTGCGGGTCATAATAATAATAATCCTTGTGCCTTTGGTATAGCACCTTGTCAGGCCAGAAAGACATCTCAGAGCGCTTTACGGGATTTACTGTGAAATGGAGTGACTGTATTTGTAGTGTCAGGTTAGACTGTGTGAGTTCAGGTCCGGACGTGGGGCTTGAACCCACAACCTTCCAACTCAGGGGCGAGAGAGAGCGCTGGGACTGAGCCAGACTCAACACAGGTTTTGTGGGTTGTGATGTTTGAGCCTGTGTTCGTGGTGGGGAATGCATTGCATTGTCAGCCACACTATCCTTCAGATGAGACGTTAAACCGAGCTCCCGTCTGCGCCTGTTCAAGTGGACGTAAAGGATCCCGAGGCAAAAGAGAAGGGAGTTCCTTTCTCCCGATGTCCTGACTGACAATCCCGCAAATAAAACTGAGCATTTGTTTCATGGCTGTTTCTGGGACATTTCTGTGGCCAAATTGGATGTTATGTTCACCGACAAATACACAGTCACAATTTATGGTAATTCCTGTGAAGCACTTTGAGACGTCTCGAAGACATGATAGGGCGCTATAACAAAAGCAAGGATTATTATTATTATTATTATCTGCCTGCATCTCTACCTCCTCTGTTGCAGGGCTGGTTCAAACAGTGAAAGATCACATCACAAAGCCTACAGCCATGGCCCGAGGCCGGGTGGCTCATCTGATCGAGTGGAAGGGCTGGAGTGCCCAGCAGAGAGGCTGGAACCGGTCACTGACGGATGAAGACTATTACTCAGACCTCACAGATGAACTGAAAGAAGCTCGGTTTGCGGCAGGTACATCAACAACAACTTACATTTATATATGGCGCCCTTCACGCAGAGTAGTGTCTCAGAGCACTTGAGGTCAATTAGCCCCAGAGGTACAGGGGCTGATTGAACTGCAGATCGGGTCTCACTCCCACTGAATTGTTAAGGATAACTTGGCCCATCCACAGGTGGACGTTAATACATGATGCTATTTCAAAGAGGGGGGGGTGGGGGGAAGGCGGTGGGAGAAGAAGATACGTGCGTTAGCTTTGGGACTGAGTTGCCTCCAAGGTAACGTGCCTGCCAATGAAATACTGGAATCAAGTCAACCGTCTATGGCGGTCTCGATAGTCTAATTCATCTGCAGTATTCCAAGTCACTGTTGATGACAGAACAGCCAATTCATCACGTTAATACTTCAAGCAGCAAAACAGCTACTGGGGGCAGGGAAAGTCACCACATTTAGCAGTAATTGCTGTAAAAGTGCTTTGCAATGTTTCGAGAAGAATAACACGCAATAAAAATGCTTCTTTTTTCCTTCCTTCCGTCTTCCTTCCTTTTCTTCCTTCCTCGGGCAGGTGTGGCTGAACAATTTGCCGTCACTGAGGCCACACTGAGTGCCTGGTCCTCGCTGGATACGGAAGAGGTGGTTGACGGGACCAGCCCGAGTGTAACAGATAACCCTTTTGGTATGTCAACAACATTCTGGGGTAAACAGCGAGCCCGATCACTCACAGTTAGTGTTTAGCTCTGGGAGAGATGTTGTTTTCCAACCTCCAAAACATGTAAACCCCGAGAAAGTGAAATAAAAATTTTAAAAAAAGGCCTTTGTGGAGATGAACACGAAATAAAATAAGATTATTTGCCTCAGGATAAAGACAAAATGGCGAGTCAGAGGTTCTCTGGGATTCTGGGATGGATTTGCAGAGAGCAAGCGCAGGTTGCCTAAAAGCTCCCCCATCAATGGTCGGGCTGAGGTACATGAAGCTCCAGGTGCTCTGGTTAAACCATAACACCCCCCCAACTGCCACCCCCGGGAGGGAAGCGAAGGGAGGGACCGGGTTGGTGGGTTTAAGCGAAGTCTAATGGCGGTATTACTTTTATTTCAAGATACGGAGGAAATAGTTCCCCAAGATCACCCTCTGAGCGGATCCCAAGGCCTTTACTGTCTGAACGTGGAAGGCAGCAGCGCAGAACATGCCACCCCTGGCCTGTCGTGCCCAGCCAGCCTGGCTGAGGAGCCCTCGCAAGGCAAGGCGTTCTCCCCTCTACATTCATCCCAGGAGGCGTCCGTCACAGGAAGTTTACTGACTCACGAGCCTCCCAACTTCTTGTCTCTGCCCGATGCCAACGTGTGTGGCCTGGCATTAAACAGAACACTGGGCCAGAGCACAGACAGTTACCAGCAGCGCTCTCACTCTTACAACAGCATGTCCGGCATTGAGGACGACGTGTTTTATAACTAGACAGGACAAGAAGGTCTTTAAGGTTGCTCTTTAACATAGAGTGTACTTTCAGGCTGCAGTGCCCATCCATCCCACCATCAGCAGAATTCTCCAATTGTCCTTGTGGTTTTNGTGGTTCATTAAGTCCTGGGTTTCTCTGTGTGAATGTATTTTTGTTGGTGTGTTTTTGTTGGTGTGTTTTTGTTGGTGTGTTTTTGTTTGTGTGTTTTTGTTGGTGTGTTTTCATTGGTGTATTTTTGTTGGTGTGTTTTTGTTGGTGTGTTTTTGTTGGTGTGTTTTTGTCGGTGGTGTTTTTGTTGGTGTGTTTTTGTTGGTGCTCATTCAGGCTCAGCTTTTCCTGCAAACTGAACCGTGAAAAATATTTTTGATCAAGGTATTGTCTCTTAAGCCAAACCATATCGGAGGCAAAGGCCTCGGACTGGATCGGTGTTAGGCAGAGCTCTCTCCTTTTTACTGATTAACAAATCCAGTGGGTGAGAAGTTCCGATGGGTGGGAGTGAAGTTCCCCTTCACTTTAGCCCATCCCGTTCCCAAATCGGACCCTCACCCAGATGACACCCGTGCCATGACCCCCCACCCAAAACCGTAACTAGCTCCAAATGCAGTGGAAATGTTTAGTGTGCTGCGGTTTATTCTGCTACTTTCAGCCTTTGACTTGGAGCTCAGCTTGTCTCTCCTGTGTCTTGTCCAGATGAGCTCTTGCTGTTAAATCCTCTCCCTTGAAACCTGGGAGAGGGGGCTGTGAGACATGTTTTAGTCATTTCAAGAGTAAATCATTGTTTTCTGGGGTGGGGCGGGGTGGGGTGGAAATGAGGGGCTGTGATTAACACGTGGAAACCCACCGATTGTCTCCCTTCTTCAATCCGTGTCGTGACCTGTATTCAGAATTCAGTCAGTTACAAGATTAAATATTATTGAAACTTGTGATGGGATTTTTTTCGTAATAATTTTCGAAGCAGATTTCTTGAATTTTTTTTTCCCTCTTGAAGGTCTGTGAACTGGATCACATCTTAATCAGCACAGCCTGACCCGGAAGACCTTAAAAATGGCAGCAAGTTGAAAAATATACAGTTATTCTTAAAATATGAATAAGATAAAATATTCATACAATAAACCTGAGGAAGATGCCTTCGCAGATCAGCATCCAATCTTAATATATCCTGACCAATTGTTCATTAGCACTCTTGCCTCTGAGTCAGAGGTTGTGGGTTCAGGTCCCCCTTGGGCTCACAGTTTAGGCTGACACTCCTTTGCAGTTAGATAACGGAACTAAGCTCCAGTCTCTTTGGGGGAGGCGGGGAGTTCAATTCTCTCTAATGCCCAAAAGGTGTCAGATTGACTCAGTTGATAGCACGCTTACTTCTTGGTCCAAGGGTTGAGGTTCAGGGATATTGAGATCCACCAGTTGACATTGAGTGCAGCGGAGAGTTGGAGGACAGTGCTGCATTGTCAGAGATGTCGGCCTTTCAGGTGAGATGCTGAACCGAGCTCCTGCCTGTATGTTTTAGGATTCCCATCGTAATATTGAAAAAGTTAAACCCTCTAGATGACGTGATCATTCGTGTAATTAGTGTTAGTGGGAACTTGTGTGTGTGACAATCTGAAACATTATCCCGTGTGAAGGGCACTAAATTAATACAAGATGTTATTGTAAACCTGGTGTCAGGTTTACCTACAAATGCACATTGACTACACTTGACAATTGGCAGTGGGGTTTCAAGACGTTATGGCGTTGGTGCAAATTGCTTCCTTCTCTCATTAGGACTTATGACAAAAGTGTGATCGTTAAAACAAACAATTTAGAGAAGAAACTAGTGTTTCAGAAGCATGGTTGGTGTCATCGTGGGAGTGTGTTTAATGCACGTGGGTGGATTGGAAAGGAACACAAAGTTTATTGTGACGGCCAGCTTCTGCACACAACAACAGGTGAAGTGAGGTATCGTTGGTAAATGGAAGTTTCAATGGGAATGGGACGACGATCATTACTCTCCTCTTCGATAACGTTTACAGCTTGACTGGGATCCGACCATTGGCCAGGTCTTCAATCACTTTCTTCAGCTGACGGGGAACACAAGAGAATTGAGTTATTTGCTAATAATAATAATAATATTCCTTGCACTTGATATAATGCCTTAGCATGCGGTCGAGACGTCTCAAGGCAGCGTCCCACAAAATGCCAAAGAAGTGGGTGATCAACTCTATTTTGGGGAACTTTTGGGGGATCAGGACACCAGGAGAGGGAAACTCCCTTCTTTTTGTGAATTGTGCCCACAGGATCTTTAAAGTCCACCTGAACAGGCAGACAGGACCTCAGTTTAACGTCTCACCAGAAACACAAGGCAAAAAGGAAGTTGACCTCCAACACTACATTGGAGTGTCAGCCTAGACTGTGAGTTTAAAGTCCCACAACCTTCTGACTCAGAGGTGAGAGTGGAGCCAGGCTGATAGCTACCTTTCTGATACTCTTCACGTAACATACTCTCTACTCCCACCGCTCGGGTTCTGAATTCTTTGTCTTATTATCTTGTATTTATCTCTCACCTCATTCCTGGTTACGAAGCCAACCACCTTCCCGGCCGAGGTGACAAACATGTGCTGAAGGCCCAGAAGATCAAAGAGTTTGTGAGTCTGAAGAGGGTCAGAAATGAAAGGTCGGTGGTGGCAACTGTGAGGTTGAGATGTTACCAGAACAGTACTGAACTTTCAGACACACCAAGACAGCAGCAGGACCTTGCATATGGTAACCTCCTCCCTCCCTCCTTCCGCGCCCCACACCACCCCCCCACCACCACCTGGCTCGCCATTAGGCCTCGCCCACTGGTAAGCGCTCCGAGAGCACTTTATGTAACGGGTAGGACTGTGGGGCTGGTGTTTTAGCAGTGATCTCGATGGTCTACCTGGTGTAACAAAGTGCTTGGAGACAGCTGGAAAGTCACTGGGTCAATGTGGCACTTTCCCCAAAGATTCTCATCCACTTTCTCCTGCATCAAACAGAATAAATGTTTCATCTCAGCAAACGGTCGCTCCTTATTCGTAATATTAATAATAATAATCCTGGTATTTGATACAACACCTCTTCACCTCTTCGAGACATCTCAAAGCGCTTCACAGGATGCACGTGCAAAGTGTAGCGACTGTTTATTTTGTGAGCAAAACGTGGCAGCCAATTGTGCACAGTAATTAAATGAGTGGAGCTTTTGAGGCCGGATGCAGACAGAACTATAGACAGGGAATCGAGTATTTATATAAATGCAAGTTGTTGTTGTTGTTACTGTGTATCACAGTGCAGCCTGTTATCTGTTGTGCACAGAAACTTACCGGCTTCTTTTCCTCCTCTTTGTGCCTCTCACGGCCTTGACTCTGAAGGAATTTGATCAGTTCCTTCCTTTGAACTGATCCGATGAGCATCATCGAGTCTGTGAGGAGCATTTTAGAAACAGAAGCTTTGGTGTGAAAGGCACTAGATCTTTATATCCATATTTATATTTATATCTGGCACCTCCCAATCTCGCTGACCTGCTTATTCCCCCTGCCAACACCCATTTTAAGATCACGTCTTGTCCTTCGAGACGTTACTCTGCTTGAGGGGTACTCTACAAAAGCAAGTTGTTGTTGTTGTTATATCAAATGTTAACTAGTTTTTATTATAATTGATTATGTGTCGCTAGCAGTTTGGAGAATGGGCTTTTACTGAAAGGAAGTTCTCTAAAATTGTAAATAAAATTACCTGTGCTTTCCACAACGGGATATAAAGAGTGCGAGCTGGAGTTTATCACCTGCAGGATATCAGTGTAGCTGGAAACCTTGGCCAAACACACGAGGCTGGTGTTCATGAACTCTTCCACGGTCACACTGTAAGAGCTAAACCACAAATCAATGTAATTTCCCGACAATAGACAACCTCAACCTGCAGTTTCGGAGAAGCTTCTGTGCTCACGTTTCCAACGTTCTGTTGGCAAGTACATTACCCTGGAGCCATCTCAGCTTCAAAGACTCCACTTACCTCTCCCCCCCCCCCCCCCCGGAGGGTGGCTAACAAGGAATGTAAGTTGTGAGAATGGGCCCCCTCTCCTCCAACACACGCATGCACACATGCACACACACAGAGTTGACCAGAGCACATGTTTCAGTTGTTGGTGAGGGCAATGTAGGAAAACAACATGGGGTGTAACGGGACTTTGTAAACACCCTGTAGTTCCTCCTAAATTCTTCTTTAGTATCAAACCCCTCAGTCGTCATCTGATACTTGAGCCATTGACGGGAAAACATGGAATAGACGGGGAAGGGAGGGGAGGTGGTGAGGTACGTACCCAGTGTTGCTGCTCCGAATCTTGGGCAGATATGGCAGCTTCTTCACAATAATGGTCCCGTCGTAGAAGGAGGGCTGGAATTTCTGGGCAATGGCGTTCGCCACGAGCACGGCCAGCAGGACGGGCAAGAAGTGGGCCATCTGTCCAGTCAGCTCGAATACCAGGAGCGCCGTGGACAGTGTGTGAGTGACCGCACCAGAAAACGCCGCCGCACCTGCCAAACAGAAACAGTCTCTTCATAATATGTTATATCCCACTCCGGGACTTGAGATCACATCATCTAAGCTGACGTTTCAATGTAGTGCTGTGGGGGGCGGTAATTGTCAGAGATGCCGTCCTTTGGATGAGACGTTAAACCGAGGTCCCGTCTGCCTGTTCAGGTGGATGTTAATGATCCCGCGGCGCTATTCAACAAGAGAAGGGAGCTTCTCTCTCCCGGTGTCCTGGTCAACAATCCCCCCAAATAAAATTTGTCACTCGCTAGCTCGGGTGCCCAGCCACCACTGAGATGTCCTGCTGATGTTCAAAGCATCGAATAAATGTAAACTTGTCAATGTATTGTTTTGTTGCATAAAGAAATACGTTTCACGGGCCTGGAACCTGTACTGAAGGCTACATGTCTCATCTCACCCTCGGTTGCAGCCTTTAAGCCCTGTGAGAGGTATTCCTTTATAACTTCTCCCCCAGCACTGTATTGGAATGTCAACCTGGACTGTGATTCCAAGGTGGGGAAATTGTTTTGTGCTTTGCATTATCAGCATAGACTTGCCTGCAAGAGCATATCCTCCAGGGATTATAGGGTTCAAAACTCCTTCTGACCTGATGCCATTGGGGAATATGTAGGCCACGACCTCTCCTACTAACCGACCGATAGCAGCACCTACACAGTACAAAATACATGGCAGACAGTCGGTAGGGAATCAAACCCGAATCCAAACATCCTGCTCGTTGCAGCACTACCAACCCTTTGCTCAGTGAAACCGACCTATTTCATGTCCCCGCCCTATTTGCCCCATCATCGGTGGATGGACCTTCAGCCATTCTGCCCCCACTCTCTGGAACTCCAGCCCGGAGTCCCTCGCCTCTTTCAAAGCATTTTTCAGAACGTACCTCTTTGACCAAGCTTTCGGTCATCTGTCCCCTCCCCACCTCCCACCCTGGTTCAGGTGCCCATCCAGCACTGTGAATGTGCTTTAGCACGTCCTACTGACATACATAAATTGTGTTGTATTACCCACCACAGGAGCCTATATAAATGTAAGTTGTTGGCATGTGTAACCAGGCTATTTATTTATGTTTGCAACAACGTGGAAAATGGTGAGAGTCCAGAATGCTCCTGCAGTATTGCCTGAGGCAGACATTCACGTCACTCAAATCAAAGTCATTGGAGATTTACAGACCCTCACTGAGTACATGTGGGCTTGATTCACAACTAAATTACAGGCACGGACTCGTTTCCAGGACTCACCGTAAATAAGCACGGGCATGAAGTAGCCAGCCGGCATTGGCATTGTTGTCACAAGAATCATCATCCAAAACTGGGGAATAAACAGAGAGATCAATATAGAGTCAATCCTGTCCAAATCCTTTCCTATTACTGGTGTATGTGTGTCCTTGACCAAGTTCCTACTTACTGCCAGATAGATAGAGGCGTGCATGTGGAGAAAGGAAATTTGCCTAAAGTTTTGCCCGACTCGGGAATCGAACCGGGTCTTCTTGCTTGCGAGGCGAGTGCTTTAACCTCTACGCTACGGTTACGAGTCAATGGTCAGGGCTTACCTTCATGACCAGGAAGAACAACAGCGTGCCAAATATGGTGAAGGTTGGGTGACACCATTCGATCCAGAGATTGTCAGGATCCACTTCTGTCCGGTTGCTGAGTGACAAGTTCTGGGAGAGGACATTCCAAGGCCGGTGGTCGAATAGGGAGGAGAGGAGTTCCTTCATAGTGAGCTGTGCAGGCACACATTAACGTTGGTGAGCAAAGTTACCCTTCTTTTCCCTATTTAATTTCTCTTTCATGAACCCTGGGACGGTACTGGTTACGGGCAAGTTTGCAGTGTTTCTAAATAGATTTCTTAATTGAGGTCTCACTTTACTGGTCAGGCTGGAATTGTTCAGTTAGTTCTGGGGAGAGGAAGGTCCAACTCAATCCCATTCAATTATGGGACGTCATTCCGACTCAGTAAGAAGACTCCAGTGGTATTCCATGCAATCATCCAATGCTACTCAGCTCAATGACAATCCAACATGATATTAATTGGAACATTAAAGATCTCCGAGACACCACTCATGCGAAGGGCATTAAATATAAATGCAGGAGGTTTTGTATGGCACCTCTCACGTCGGGAGGACATCCCAAGGTCATCCCAAACAGTCGAGAGTTTGCCCCCGAGCTTCAGTCATTGTAACCATGTTGGGGAGAGTGAGGTGAAGTTGGGGGTGGGGGTACACACCCATAACCAGTCTAGAGTTGTTTCCTGTTGTTAGTTATTGGCTGTCTTGAGCTTTAGACCCTGACCTGCTCTATTCTATACGCAACCTGCAAGCGATGCCGTCACAAGCCTCAAAGTCACAAATCGCTCCCACATTCTCGAGTACTCACCCGGGACGGCATAAACTGCCCCAGACTAGAGGGGAAGGTGATGGAGGCCATGAGTAAAGCCACAAGCCCAGAGTACACTGCCTTCCTACTGAGAGAAAATAAGTCGTCAACCGTTGAATGTCAGCCTGGCTCAGTTGGTAGCACTCTCGCCTTGGAGTCAAAACATTGCTAGTTCAAGCCAACCTCCCCCCACCACACCCCCGTCAGGATTTTGAACTCATAGACTAGGCTGATGCTCTACCACAGTGTCGCATTGTTGGAGGTGATGCTTTCGTTCAGGTGAGATGTTAATCCAACATCACATCTGCCTGTTCAGGTGGCCGTTAAATATTTTAAGTTAAAAAGGGAAGGAATTTTCCTAGTGTCCAGATCAACAAACCCCGAATAAAATTGGTCATTGGCTTTATGGGTGTTTGCAGGAGAAATGTCTCTATGCAGAAAATGGTGAGAAGGTGGAACTCACTGTTGGAATTGGTGGTTGAAGCAAAAAGCATCAATGTGTTTAAGAATAAACTTGATGCAAACATGAGGGAGAAAAGAGAAGAGAGGGTTAGAAGGGTTAGGGTCAGTGTGGGCTGGGGGTCAGTGTGGAGTCTAAGCACAGGCACTGACTAGTTGGGTCACATGGTTTGTTTCTGTGGTGTAATGTTCTATGTGACTTTGCCAACTTGGAAGTTGTGATCCTTTGACCAGGAATTTTGGCACAGATTTTGCAATCTGATATGAACACACCAGAGGTCGCAATTAACACAACAAATGTGGTCTGCAATTTGGCTCCACTGGAAATAGCAACCTATTCACAGTCTGCCTTGTGGCTGTGTATTCATCAGCAATTTCTGTTCTACATCAATAATAATACTGTAATAATAAAACTTGCCTAAGGTTTCGCCCCGCCTGGGAATCAAACCCAGGTCCTCTCGTTTGCGAGGCAATTCCTCTAACCACTACGCTATGGGACTCCACAAGTATCAGGATTGTACTTTAACTTACTTTGTGGCCATGAGCTTCACTATGACCAGGTTCCTCTTGGTGTATCCCAGCACCCAGCGCTGACAGGACAGGTAGAAGCAGCTCAGAGTCCCACAGAGGATCCTAAAATCACCAGCAGGAGAAGAACGTTGATTCACTTTCTGACCCATACAATAAAATGCCCCATGTGAGATATTAACAAGCTCTGTATCACAGATATATTATCATTTACATTTACATAATGCCTTTCACTTTGGAACGAGTCAAAAGTGAAAGGCTCGGTCCGAATGAACAAGGGCATCTATATAGACCACATCATCGCTCTGTGTGACAGCTTCGCTGACACTTCACCACACCCCGGCTGTGTCAGCAGCAGAGGATCCCAGTCGTTTAAAGCGATTTCCATGCTGTACACGAAAAATATATAAAGTAAGAATCTCGCAGGCACCTCACCCAAGGGCAATAAAGATCATAGTTTCCGGCAAATCAAAGGGAAAATCAACTCTGAACTTCGTCTTGAAAAGAGCGGTGATGGTTTCTGGGGAGAAGAGAGAATGAAAAATTGGGCCTCTCAGTTCAATTTAATAATAATAAGAATAATCCTCGCATTTTATATAGAGCCTTATCACGTGGTGGAGAAGTTTCATTAGGACGTTATCTCGCGCTTACCTTGCTCACTGTTGAACACAGCAAGAAGTCGAAACATAAAGGCCCCACAAGTGGCAGCAAAGAATCCTCGCCAGTAGTTGCGGATTGCAAAATGAGAGGACATCACCTCCACACTGAACAGGACACCTGAGAGAAATCACAGTACCATATATATATGTGTACATCGTGCCTGTCTCTTCGGGAGAACAACTCAAATCAGTTTAAAGAGCTGCAGGGCCCCCCCAACTGGATGGGGGGGGGGAGGATGAAGGCCCAGTCAGAAAAGTAAGACTTAAGGCAGGCTTTGAAAGTGGGGAGGAAGGAGGCACGAGTTGGAGGGATGGGGGTGATGGAATTGCGGAGAGTGGGGGCAGAATAGCTGAAAGCTTCCACCCTCACCCATGGTGGGGCAGATAATCACAATAGTAAGAATCTTTACATCTGATACGGCGCTTTTCATTTCAGGAGGACATCTGAAAGCACTTCACTGGGTATATTGTAAAGTGGTGTGACTGTGTATTTGTGCACAGCAATGTCCCACAAACAGCCGTAAAGTGAGTGACCAATTTTTTTCAGCTGTTTGTTGCCCAAGACGCCAGGAGAGAGAAGCTCTCTTCTCTTTTCGAATTGCACCGCGGGATCCTCAACATCCACCTGAACAGGCAGATGGGACCTCGGTTTAAGGTCTCATGCGAAGGCCGGCACCTTCCAGAGGTGCAGCACTCTCTCAGCGCTGCAATGGAAGGTCAGCCCGAGACCGTGAGTTCAAAGTCCCCACGTGACCATGATCTTTCTCCATTGGGACAAGAGTGGGGAGGAGTTGAGGTGAGATTGTTCGAGCAGATGCTTACCACTGATGGGGGCACCAAAACAACTCGTAACTCCCATGGAGTTGAGGTGAGGTTGTTCGAGCAGATGCTTACCACTGATGGGGGCACCAAAACAACTCGCAACTCCCATGGAGTTGAGGTGAGGTTGTTCGAGCAGATGCTTACCACTGATGGGGGCACCAAAACAACTCGCAACTCCCACGGCGGCGGCTGCCACAAGCATCTCATACTGTTTGTTCTTGTTCTGCAGAAAAGGAACAAGGGCTGAGGTCAGATTGGTGCCGTGGGGAGAGTGAGCGTCACTCGGATTCCAGCAGGCGGCGGAATCGCAACAAGTAATTGTCATCTTTATCTCGAAAAATTATTTTTACGGCTGTGAAAAAAAAATTCCCTCCTTCAACCCCCTGATCTGACCACGTCTCCCTTACCTCATAGTCGCCGGTCACTGTAGTTCGGATTCTTCCCAGGTAGGTGGCAATTATACTGGAGACGTGAACAAAGGGACCCTGCAGAGCGGCCAAGAAACAGTGGGGTGAAAATTGCAGCTAATTAACACATCGCTGCAAAAAGCGACCAGTCAAAGTGTTCAATATATTGGCAGATCAGAGTGCCTCCTAGAGGCTGATCTCTCTTCTCCCCACGCCCTTCATTAAACAACAGCAAATGACAGCAGCCCTACTCCCTGATCCTATTAATAAAACATGACAACAATACTTCTTTATATCTAGGCCCAGCTGTTGGGTTGAGTCATGGGGACTTTTGCTGCATTTGTGATCCATGTGATAATTATCCATCTATCGGATGGGACGTTAAACTGTGGTCCCGTCTGCCTGTTCATATGGATGTTAAAGATCCCCTGGCATGATTCGAAAAGACAAGGGAGATTCTCTCTCCGCCACCCCCCAGTGTCCTGGCCAACAATCCCCCAAATAAAATTGGTGGCTCACTCCACGTCTTGTTTGTAGGACACTGTTGTGTGCAAACTGGCTGCCGTGTTTTGCCCACACAGTACAGTCACTCCACTTTACAGAATGTGCTGTGAAGCGCTTGGAGACGTCTCGACGATGTAATAAGGTGCTATATATCAAATGCAAGGAATATTATTATCATCACAACCCAAGTACAATAGCAATCCACCACAACACTCCTCAGTATACTTTGACTTACCACTTTGCCCAAAAAGAGTGTGCTCCCTGCTGCCAAGGTACATGTCATGCCGACCACTTTGGCGCTAAAGTTTTTGATCATCAAGTACTCCTCCAGAAGCACTCCAGTCAAGATGGTCTTTAACTCGGGAATGCCTGAGCCTGGAGGAGAAAGACAGGGCCATCTGGATGAGCCATTTGTACGCGGAGGCAACTCAATAAGTTTAAGTCAAAGAAATAAGTTTCACACCATCATATACAATAAAACATCTCAAAGATGACAGGGCAGCCATTTTGCTCAAAGAAAGGTCACAGCTATGAGGTCAATGATCAATTAACCTGGAGGATTGTTGGTCAGCAAAAAAGGGGAAAGACCCCTTCTCTTTTCCAATAGGATCTTTAATCTCCACCCGAAGAACAGGCAGACGAGATCCCGGATTGATTTCTCATCCTAAGAATAGAGCCTCCAACACTGTGGTGTTTTCTCAGTGGACTTGAGTGTCAGCCTAGACTGTGAGCTAAACTGAGGCTTGAACCCACAACCTTTGGACTCAGTGGGGAGAATGGAGATCTAGGTAAAGCTCAGGTAGAAGCCAAGAGCGGACAGCTGTGTTTTGGGATGTGTTGGCAGTGCAGGTGGTCAGGTGAATATTGTTTGTTGTACAAATCAGCAGCTGTATGAGCCTTACCCCCTGACTGTGATGAGATGCTCTGAGAGAAGCCAGTGGAGAATGTGGTGAGTGCAATGGGGTAGATGGTCCAGCACAGATACTGCAGAACGCTGCTGCCATCTAACTTCTCGTATAGATGTCGATGAGCTGCAGAGAAATAGCAAATATTAGAAACGTACATCCAGAGCATAGTAATCCTTACATTTGATATGGCACCTCTCATGTGAGGAGGACCCATGAACGAGCTTCATAGGATCTGCTGTAAAGTGTAGTGTCTGTGTAATTTGTAAGCAAAAGCCAATTTGAGCACAGTTGAGATATCGGCGGAGATAAGGCGAGATCTTATTTTTAGATGATCAAATCCATTGTTATAATAGTAGTAACACTAATAATCCTTGCAACCTGATACAGCGCCTTATCATGTCTTTTGAGTCATCTCAAAGTGCTTTGCAGGATACACTGTAAATCAAATTGACTGTGTATTTTGTGGGCGAAAATTGTTCTTTGCAAATTGGAAGTGCAGAAGCTCGATATGGGGTCAGAGCAAATTAGCAGAGATAAAGCTCACCCACCCACCCACCCACCCAGAGGCTGAATGCCTTCCTCTCTAAAGGCACAATAATGTCTCAGCCTTTTCTCACCTTTGAGCAGTTTGGACACAGTGAAATCCATGCCGAAGCTGATGAGAGCCATCAATATGCCAAAAATGAAGAGAAAATACCAGTCGTCTCCGACACGGGAGAGCTGCCGCTTGACAAAAGCCAAACATCCTGCAAAACAGAGGTGGAGAGCATGGAACACCAAAGGACAATCCACTGACAGTTCACTGTCTTCCTGCACTCGGTAGCAGCATCCACTGGCCAATACAGAGGAGGGGAGACTTCCCCCCCCTAGCACTGCTCTGGATCTGGGAGCTAAAGTCCTACTGTGGGGCTTGAACCAATAACCTTCTGACCCAGAGGCAAATGTGCTATCAACTAAGCCAAGCTTTTGACCACAGCAGGGAAACTGCCCCCTCACCCTCGGAAGCTCTCGGTCACAAAAGCAGGTCACTAAGATCATAAAGAAGATCAGATGGATCTCCACGTGTTCTGCACTTGTTTCACCAGCTACTCCAAACGGTGTCTGGTTAGTCAGTCACCCGAATGAAGCATCGCATTTGCAGTCGATCAGCAAGGCCAATGACTGTCTTAGACGGCAGAGTGAAAATGAATTACTGCTTTAATAATAGTCCTTACATTTGATATAGCACCTCTCACATCGAGAGGACGTACCAAGGAGTTACCGTGAAGTGCAGTGACCGTGTGTTTGTAGACGAAACGCAGCTGCCAATTTGCGCACAGCAACATCCAATAAACAGCCATGAAATGAGGGACTTATTTTTTACTTGGGAAATGCTACAAATAGGACGAGAAAGAAATATTCTCTCTCTGAATCCCTTTGAATGTACTTTAGTACCTTCCTCAATCAAAGTCTAAAAAGTGATGCAAACGGGAACCCGATAGGCAAAAACTGGAAGGATATTCAGAGAGCGTGGAACATTAAACTCTCATACCGTTCATCCTCCGCCGAGTTTTGATCCCGGGTCTCCACACATTGTCTTGCAACAAATTGCTGTCCTCTGCTCCGAGTCTGTCTTGTTGTCTCCTCATTCCGCTCATTGCGGGCACAGATTGCCACTGAGACCTTGGCCGATACACCTTTACAACTCAACACTGCTCACTCCAAGCCTGACTTAAACAGGTTCCAAATCACCCCCCAACCCCTCCCTCTCTCCCTCCCTCCCCCTCGCACACACAATTACTGCTGCAACCTCCATGCCCTTGGAAAGCGCTTTACGGTACTTTGCAAAAGGGCACAGACTAAGGGCTAGACGTGGACCAGGTTTTGTATAAACATGTTTTGGTCTCTATGGGATTGAATGCAGTCGCTGACCTGAGAGTTTATTGTGGCAATTCCATCTGCCATTCCATGAGAAGTACTGGCAACAGCAGCTGCAATTTAACGCAACTCAAATCCCATCGGCAAAGGCCCATTGGTGAGGACAGACGCCTTCGCTGTGCGTACTGTTGATACGTCCGGTTGTGCCTGAGGCACGTCACTTAGATCCAGCTGACGCAAAGTCAGCTCACTCCCTGTCTGTTCTGTGATTTTCCACACAGCTCTACAGGGCACAGACCTGGATGAAAGCAATTCGAGACACGTAAATTGGGCCCCTTTAGTCACCTGAGGTACGTCACGCTGACCCATTGGAATTCCACTCCGTTACGGCGCACTCTCCTGGAGCAGACTGCCAGATCCTCCTCGAGACGGTTTTCCTGGCCAACGTTCCCCCCCAATTAAATGTGGTCACTCACTTCATGGCTGTTTGCGAGACACTGCTGTGCGCAAATCGCCCACCAACCCACAGTCACCGCACTTCACAGTGAAATCCTGTGAAGGGCTTTAAGACGTCCTCTTGATTTGAAATGTGCTTTATTATTATTATGACGATCATCATTTACTCAACGTTTAATCTGAAGATATATTTTTAGCACTGATCGAACTCTTAGTGTTGATAGATTGTTGGATTGATTAATCGATTGATAATCGTTCGTCCTCAACCCCAGGCAAAATACCTGGCCTGCTCCAGGCCAGTGCGTCCAGTCCATATTTCTCATTTGCATTTGCACTGCTCATGGAGAATCCATGAATCATGAATCAGACAATTAGCACTGTGAGCACATTGCTTCCACTTGCTCTATGTTTCCACTCCATGACCTGGTTAATCAGTATCACATTAGCACAACAGCCAAAGGGGGTAATTGATAGGGAAAGGATGCAAATCACCAAACGATCTGATGTGGTCCTGATATAAATAAATAGCAAGTCAGAGACAGCTGAGGAGAGAGATTCTTTATAGTACCTTAAGCATCAGAGAGTTTCAAGGGGCTTTGCTTTAATTGCTGTCAAGTGTAGCAACTGTTTTTGTTGGCAAACACAACAGCCATTTTGCAGGCGGCAAGGTTTGACCGTGAGAGACCAGGGACCCTTGGCACAGTTGAAAAGGTAGGTTTCCAGTTGGTAGACAGATAAAGAGGGGGGAGAGGTTGGAGGGATAGAGTTAGGGGGTTCTATCAGTTAAGGTATTGTACTGTAGCTGAAAGCAGAGAAAGAATCTGAGGTCTTAAATTGTTCATGTCAAGAACTATTGCCTTAGCGTTGCAAGAATTTGGAGAAATTATTCAATACATTTTGCGAGTTTTCAAAAGTCCTTAAGTTCACAAGAATGTCAGGAGAAATCTTGGGGAGGTTTTGAACCCCACTCTCAGCCTCCAGCTGATTTTCAATCCTTGCTTGATTAACTCGCTGATGTTTAGGTGACCACATGTGGGAGTTGACCTCGAGCACGATTTCATTCCACAGAGGTTAAGGCTAAGCTTGAGCGGAGGCTGCTGTGACTTCCACGGAGCCTCAATGAAGTGTTACAACGTGCCTGGAATGACCAGGGACAATTAATAATTAAACTATTTTAAAATGCAAAGCAAACAGGAGCAAGCATCGTTTGGTAGTGTTTAACCCGTTTACATTGGATGGGGTGGAAAATCCCAGTCGTCTCCAACACGGGAGAGCTGCTGCTCGGTAAACGGAGGCTTGTGTGTGGAGTAAGGAAACTTGCCCAATATTTTGCCCTGCCCGGGAATCGAACCCAGGTCCTCTCGCTTGCGAAGCGAGTGCTCCAAACAATACGGGACTGGATTCCACAAACCCTTGCAGTATCAAATCAAGGATTGTATGAGCATAATGTTTTTAGACTGCGTTAGGGAATTGTATGGTTTCAGTAACAAAGTGGACGTCACAGATAACGGCGTCGGACTATTTAACCTGGTGACTTTCAATCAATCCCTGATACGGGTTCTGTTGCTGTGAAGTCTTTCCTACGAGCTCAGTGTCATCACCAAACAGGTGACGTGTGTGTCCTCTGGTTAGCGTCCAAAATTGATTGGGATAATTATAGACAATATTATACTTTTCTCCTGCAAATATTTCTCCAAATCCAGGCCGACTGCCAATTTAATTAAGGCTGAATTTAAGGCTGGTTTCAAAATTCCACCCAGTCTGGATGTTAGTCTCAGGGAATGGGAAACTTCAAGCCTGGGATTTCTGAACCGCATGATCCAGTTACGGTCTGAGGTGCCAAGAACATTGTGTTCCTGCCCCCAAGCCTTAGGTATGAGATGATCGAATCTGGGGCTTGAACCCACAAACCTTCTGATCCAGAGGCAAGAGTGCTATAAACTGAGCCGGGATGGTACGATACAATGGGATGGAATGGGCTCGACTGGCTGTACAGCCTATTCCCGTTTCCTATGTCAACAAGAACAGAAAGAACAACTTGCATTTATCTAGCGCCCTTCACGTGGGGTAATATCCCCAATCCTTTGCAGTTTTCCTTTCCACTTTGCTGACTGAACTGCCGAGGCCTATGCCCGTTTAGAAGGTCGCAGGTGAAACCTTTCCCCACTCGTCGCAATTGTTCCATTGAGTTCCCTGCATCTAAATAAAGCACGTTTCCAGCTTCTGGGCAGGGGATCTGTGCAGCTTTAACAAGAACTGCGCTGGAGAGGAGTCGGGTTTCTTTTTCAGGCCTCCATTGAGCCAGGCAGGAATGCTTGCGATGAGGACACATTCCTGGATCAGTCCGTTTGTTTGGAGGACTCGGGCGACCTTTCATCTGGGGGAATTTTCACAACTGCATGCCTGATGTGGCCAGAGCTAAAATTAACATCAAGCCTTGACGTCGGCAGTCAGCCGAGTGGGAAGGAGGTTGGTATAAAACCGCAGCATACAATCCCATTAGAGGATACAAAGGAGAGAGTCCTTGGGATCATATCTGTGCACTTAGCAGCTGAGCTCTGCTTGAGAGGTGAATTTGCTACTCGAGTTTAAAGGTTTCGCTGTCATCCATGAGTTTAAAATCCTCCTCTGCTCTCAGATCTGAGCGCAGCTTTCACCAGAACACCACCTCCTCCTCGTCCTCGTCTTCCAGTCCCGCTTTGGATCAGTACATGGATAAGCCAATGGGTCTCTTTGGGGACGAGTTTCACGGGAGCTTCCTGAGGCCACGAAATGAGCAACTCGGATTTTCAGGCAAGTGTGATTAGTCTGCCATAAGAAGTTCAACCCTTGGTCCATACTTGAGAGTCCCATAGCTCAGTCGTTCGATCACTCGCCTCATAAGCAAGAGGACCCGGGTTTGATTCCCAGGTGGGAAATAACCTCAGGCAGGTTTTCTCACTCCTCACACTAGCAGTAGATAAGAACCCAGTTGTCCACCAATTGGCAATTCGCTTTCCAGGGTTAATAATTTCTCCTCCCACCCAAAGGCATTTGATCATTCAATCCAAGACTGTTTGTGGGACGTTGCTGTGCTCAATTGGCTGCCGCGTTTCACCCACAAACTATACAGTCAATCTACTCGATCATATATCCTGTGAAGCGCTTTGAGACGTCTCAGTGGTGTGATAAGGTGCTTTATCAAATGCAAGAATTATTATTATTGTTATCACTGAAGTGCTTTGACTCACTATCACGTGAAGGGCACTATATAAAATGCAAGTTGTTGTTGTCGTCGTCGTTGTCGTCGTCGTAGAAGGATCGAAGCAAAGCCTCATTTTTTCAAATTGTTTTTGCTGTTAAGTATTTGTGTAGGTTTTGGCTTATATTGAGACACTGTGAAATCACACTGAGTTGGATTTGGCTCAGTTGGTAACATGCTCACCGGTGGGTTGGAAGATTGTGGCTTCATTACCCCCCCCCCCCTCCCCAACACAACGTCAGAAGCTGAGCCCACGGACCAGGACTGGCATCCCAGTATGGTGCTGGAATTGTCAGGGAGTGCTGTACTTTGGATGAGATGCTAAGCAGAAATCTTGTCTGCCCGTTCAGGCGGAAGCAATAGCAAGAATCAAAGATCCTGAGATAGTTTTCAAAAAAGAAGGGAACTTCTCTCAGTGTCCTGGCCAACATTCCTCCAGATAACTGGGAAATTCAGTCATGGCTGTTTGTGGCTCACTGCTGTGTGCAGATTAATTGCTTGGTTTGCCTCCTGCCCACATTTAACCACAATCACCTCAAAGCATTTTGAAACGTTTTGCTGTGATAATTGCAGTCAATTCACTGAACAGATTTTAGTTCAACATAAGAAGCGCGCAGTGCCAGGAGCATTATGCGGAGAAATCATAACAGCGCCTTCGGATGTCCTCCCGACGTGAAAGCCGCTAAACAAATGTAATTTGATTCGCCTTCAATCATCCTGGCAGTCACATGCACATGTCATGTCCCAAACTATATGCTGCAGTTAGTGGCTTTACGCACCAGGCAAAATCTTTCCATCTCTAAACGTTAACGAACAAACAATATGAGAAAGCTACGCCTCTTTATTTGACTGGTGCTCTCTCCGTATAGTATTGTATAGAAACCCAGAACAACTCACAGTAATTATATCAATAGATATTTTAATACTGTACGCTCACACTCCAGTAAAGTGGATGCTGATCTCATCCCAATACCACATGACATGTCTGATGGGATTGTCCAATGTGTTTTACTCCAAATAGGGCGTCATGGAAGCACGGGGAATGTGAAGTCCCTGGGACACAACTATCAGTTCACAGTAGATGTGAATGACTTCTCACCGGAAGATATAATAGTTACAACTTCCAACAATCAGATTGAAGTCCACGCTGAGAAGGTGAGTCCGTCACAACCTTCACACCATCACTAGATTAGTTTGGATGAAGAAGGCCCTTCGGCCCATCTGATCTCATCCTTGCAGATTAGCCACCTCTATCCCCATATCAGGTCGCGCCTCAAGATCTTCCTCTTCGACCGTGCCTACGGTCACCTCCCCCTGGCTCGTTATCGTGCTCTGTCTCTGTCAAGCGCCCTGCGTGAGGGACGCTACAGAAATGCACGTTGTTGTGGTTGTTGCTCTGTGGCACTCTGTCCATGGATTGTTGACCTTTAAACATTTTCTGGGGTCCCCCAAGCCTTGGCTCTTGCCGACCCGCGTCTAATAATCCCAGAAAACTGGGTGCATTCCTCCAGGGTGAGAGTGCGCATTCCATTGCAGACATGGGGATTGCTGTGTGTAGATCACCTGCATATGTGGAACACTCAGTCTGGTTTGCGTGCTCTTAAGCACAGTGTTGGGTTTGTCTGTGTGTCAGACTCCAGGCCGACCAAAAATAATCTGCAGCTCAAACTGTCAGGTTTTCTGGTTGTGCTACACCTGGAACTCTCTCCCAATCTCTCCACCTCGACTCCTCCTTCCCCTCTTTTAGATCACGACTGACGACCTTCCTCTTGGACCGTGCTTATGGTCACCTCCTACTTCAGGCTCCGCCATTGTCAAGACACTGCCCCGTGTGAAAGGCGCTATATAAATACAAATTGTTGTTGTTGACAGTCCATTCAAGTAAATGTCTTTTGCTTTCAGCTCGCTGCAGACGGAACGATAATGAACACGTTCACCCACAAATGTCAGCTGCCTGACGACGTTGACCCCACCTCTGTGACTTCCGCCCTAGGTGAGGATGGGACATTGACCATCAAAGCAAAGAGGCACCCAGCCAAGCACACTGAGCACGTTCAACAGACTTTCCGAACCGAGATTAAGATCTGAGCGTGTGGGGGTGCAGGGGAGAGCTTCAAAGGAGTCGGCCGATAATGCCTACGATAGTGTAGTTGGTATGATAGGACAGTGCTAAGATTTCACGCTGGATTGATTGTTTGACACTGTACCCAACCCCTTTGCCGGACTAACACATATCTCAGCTTGTGCCAGCACTGAAACCTCAAGCAGAACCTTGTGTTACCTGTAGTAAGGGGTTTGAAACTTTGCTTTATTTGAGTCATTTCATTTGTCTTATTGGGGCAATAATCCATTTTTTGTGACATTTGTTCATGGGATTAATTAATTAATTAAGAAATCCAAGTAGTGGGGACTCCTTCTAGCCATTGGAACTTTGACACAACTCGAGAGAGAAGCAGCTCTGTCTGAAAACAGATGGAATTGGAGGTGATTCTCGTCAGTTGGAGTCATAGAATTGCAGCTTTCTTGGTTAAGATATATTGCAAAATTGACCAACCCCCCCCCCTCCTCCCCAACCCCCCCCCCCTCCTCCCAGAAGCTTTTGATAGTAGACCTTGCAAAGTCATCTCCAGCCCCACTCGGCTGGGCAGCATCATCATTGCCAGTTAGAGGAAACACGTGAACTTCACTTAGAGTTCTCTTAAAAGAAATATATAAAAATGGAGTCCTCCCCCCTTCTCCCCTTACCTCCACCCCCACTCGCCGCCACGCACCCTGTCATTGCAAAACATATCTACGTTTCTAAGTTTCTCCTCAGTAACCCATTGGAGCCAAACCCATTGGCCTCTAAAACCTGCTCGCAATCAAATCGCAGCGACTTCATCTCAAACCTGGGATCTCGGTGGAGTCGGGGTTTTGTGATCTATAGGAACAGAAGATCCTATGTTCCTGTTATAGTATATCATGCCCCTCAAGCAGGGTAGCGTCTCAGAGCGCTTGATACTCCTGTAACAGCATTGAAACATCATGTGCCAGAAAACTAAAGCCTTTGATCAGAAGCCATTTCTGGCCGGATGTGGCTTTTCCCAGATCAGTTTCGACCCCTTATCTCCTTCTGAATCCAAGTGGTTGCAATATGGAAAGGAAAAAAGGGTTCCTGTGGATTGCCAATAAATTAACAATCTACTCTAGAGCATAGTTATTTTGACCCACACTACACTACGTCTCACCTGTGTCTTTTGGCAGCAACATCTCAGATATTTCTTAATTGTAAGTAAAATCCGTAGAGGACTGTAGCTGGAGCACACTTGTTTGAAATCAAAGACAAGGACTGAGTCTTATCTGGAATGTGAACCAGAGCAAAAAACTAATCCAGGGCTTTGTACAACACGGCTCAACACGGATTTATGGCTAAAATTATTCACTTTAACAGGAACCCATGCCCTGTCTCACCCCTGTTTAAATTCTTATCTCAGTGTGGGCTGGGCACTTGTCTGTGTCAGTGTTAAGTAGTTATTTCCATCCTCTGACTCATTTCTTCCCGGCAGTCTTTCAACACTGGGCCAGGGTAGGAATCCAGCAAAGAGACATACCTCAGCCGCTCGTCCTTTATCTCAAGTGATACGCAGCAAGAAAACCAAAGCGAGAGACAGAGAGAGAGAGAGACACTGAAGTGTCATTTGTAATGTGAGGTAGAACCTCACAATCTCTCTAGGTTGTGAGGTTCTACCCCTCACCTCTCATTGTGGAGTCCTGTAGCGTAGTGGTTAGCATGCCCACCCCGCAAGTGAGAGGACCTGGGTTCGATTCCCAGGCAGGTCAGGGTGAAACCTAAGGCAAGTTTCCTTACTCCACACACAAGCCTCCGTTTACCTAACAGTAAGTAGGAAGCTGCTTTTTAGTTGACTGGTAGATCGCTTTCTGGGGGTTAAAATTTCTCCCCCAAAATAATTTGGTCACTCAATCCAGAACTGTTTGTGGGACACTGCTTACTGTCGCGTTTCGCCCACAAAATACATGGTCAATCCACTTTACAAGTAAATCCTGTGAAGCCCTTTGAGATGTTTCACCTACGACTGTTTGTGGGACATTGCTGTGCGCAATTGGCTGCTGCGTTTGCCCACAAATATACAGTCAATTCACTTCACAGTGTGTCCTGTGAAGCGCTTTGGGACGTCCTCCCGACGTGAAAAGCGCTATATCAAATGCGAGGATTATTATTATATTATTGACGTGATAAGGCGCTGTATCAAATGCAAAATGCAAGGATTTTTGTTATTATTATAAAGAATCCCTTTTGAATTCCCATTGAATCCGAGTCACTTGAAGAGTTATCATAAGATAAAGATAGATGATATCCGCTAGTTTGTAGGTCCAGCAAACAGTCGCCAACAGAAGTAGAACAATTGCAAGATAGAATTAATGATGAGGTTCTAAAATATTCTCCAGGCAGTGGGTGGACCGAAGTCTCTGCCTCCAATCATAGTTGGAGCAAAGCCCACAGATTCTTTTGGAGAGGAATTTCCCTCAGTGTTCCAGGCTGATCCATCACTCACCTCGTGACGATAAACTATGTGTGGTTAGTGCTGGTTAGAGATGAATTGAAAAGGCTAAACTTTAGAACTGCAGTAAAGTAGATAATTTAGCATCTTAATCTCCACCGCTCGTACCCAGAACCATAGAAACATACAGCACAGATTGGCCATTTGGGTTAGAAAGAGAAATCTATTCAGTCCCATTTACCTGCCTTTTCCTTTTATGTCTGCAAATGACTCATTTTTAGATGATAATATTAATAATATTCCTTGCCTTTGATTTGGCGCTTCACAGAATATACCGTAAAGTGAATTGTCTGTGCATTTTGTGGGCCAAACACGGCAGCCAATTGCGCACAGCAGCGTCGCACAAACAGTCATGGATTGAGTGACCAAATTTGTTTTTTATCGCTTTACCTCCTTCTTAAAAGCTAACATAGGTCATGCTTGGACCCTGCAGTGCCCTCCACATCCTATTGAGACTGTGTGTAAAAGAAAATCCTCCCAAACTCCCCCCTTTCCTCTCTTACTAATTATTTTAAAGTACCTACAAGCATTACTCTTGTTTGTACTTCTCTCCCACACTCCTGTCACCATGGAAAAAAAAAAGTCTCTCTGTCGTCCTTTGAGCATTGTCACATTGTGCACACGTTACATTTCTCGCGCCATGTCTAATAACCTGATGACTCGTGACTTATCAGACCTGCCTCACTTCTGGAAATAAACATTGTCTCTCCCTGTGCTTGTGATTATCAATCGCTCCTGAGCCAAGCTCCAGAGCACTCCAGGGTGAGATCGTGGAGGGATTGGATGTGAGGATTATAAATACATGGAACATATTCTGACAGCCTTGCCATCTTGTTGAGGAAGGTCAGACTCTAGCGGCTATTCCTGACGAGTGTACACAGTTACCTAGTAACACGTCACCTAAAAAAAACATTAAGCACACCACTGATTAGAAGGCAGTTTCCATCAGCCAGTCAAGTTGTGTTTAGATCTCAGATGTAAATCTTGCAGCAGGAAAGCCTTTTGGATTAGCTCCCGTCGCTCAAAAAACTGCCTGGCGAAAGGCTGCGTTCAATGCAGCGCCTTATCACATCATTGAGACGTCTCAAAACGCTTCACAGAATATACTGTGAAGTGGATTCACTGTGTATTTTGTGGACCAATCGCGACAGCCAATTGCACACAGCAGCGTCCCCACAAACAGTCGTAGATTGAGTGGCCACATTTTTTTTTGGAGGCGGAATTATTACTCCAACAATCGACTAACAACCAGGTTCCTAAGTACTGCCGGGTAAACAGAGGCGTGTGGAGGAAGGAATCTTGCCCAAAGTTTTGTCCTGCCTGGGAATTGAACCTCTCGCTTGCGAGGCGAGTGCTCTAACCACTGAGCTACAAGACTACACAGAAAATTGGAATCAACCTGAAAAGTGAATCAGACCAAATTAATTCTGTATTTTAAAATGTGATACTTGCAATTGATGCAACGCGTAAAATGCGGAAACATCTCACAGTGCTTCACAGGTGACTTAACAACTTTGATATTTTTAATTAAGATCATCCTGATCATTTTGGTTGCCATTTAGTTTTGCACTCTGACGACACTCTTTTAAGCAACACTCTCAAATCCCTCTTTATCCCTGCAAAATGATTCCCATTGTCTCGATAAAGCACTTTGAGACGTTCATCCCACGTGAAAGGAACTATGTAAGTGAAAGCTGTGGTTAGTGCAGTTAGGGGCTTGCCAGCACCTTACTTCATGCACCCAAATTATCGCCCTTGAGGTCAGTGCTTCTCTGGAGCAATGCCAGTTAATGCCATTACACTGTCAATTCATTCCATTTAGGGCCATAATTTTGACTGTAAAGCCATCAAACAGCATTTACCTAAATATAATTCTTTGTCATAACTCCTCTTACTCATAGCTAAATGCAATGCAATACGGGACGTCATGGTGTAATGGGATTAATGTGTGCAGTGTCACCGATGAGTCATTTTAACACAAGATCACATTTCACACTGTTCCAGCCATGATCTCTGGGAAAGGAACTGGGATGAGGAGTTCTGAGGAAGGGTCGTGGACCCAAAACGTTAACTCACTTTCCTTTCTCCACGGATGCTGCCTGACCCGCTGAGGGTTCCCAGCAACTTCTGTATTTGTTTCACATTACCATTGAGGGTTTGGAAAGATCAGTGGAAAGTCTGTAGGGGCTGATATAAAGTTGATATTCTTAGCAATGTATTTAGTCGCAGCCTATACGTATATTTGTGTATATATGTGTGTATTCACATTATTTGGGGGTAAATGTGATACATCAAATTATCGGTGCATTGTTAGAGGTGTCATCCTTCAACAACAACAACAAGAATATAAGAAAATAAGGAATGAAACAATTTAATGGAGAGTAAAAATGACAATAAAGCTCATATTTTTTGAGGCCTGATGTTCCACATGCTAAATAGTTTTAATCTTAAATTCTGAGGTTGCAGAGAATTATCATAATAATTATAATCCTTACATTTGGTATAACACGCACATTTTTTAAATTGATCTTTAACCTAGAAGCCAGTTTTCCGCAGTTCTTAAACATAAATGATCTTTCAAGATGAAGAGTGAACGGAAGAATCTATTCTGTGCAAAATTGTATTACAGGTTAAGTCCTGCAGCTCAGTGGTTAGAGCACTCGCTTCGCGAGCGAGAGGACCCGGGATTGAATCCCAACAGAGCGAAACCTTGGGCAAGTTTCCTTAATCCACACGCCTGATAATAATCCCTCTAGAAAAAAAAAACAATAATAATTCGGTCACTCAATCCACGACTGTTTGTGGGGACGCTGACGTGCACAATTGGCTGCCGTGTTTTGCCCACAAATATACAGTCGATCCGCTTTACGGTCTATTCTGGGAAGCGCTTTGAGACGTCGAGAAGACATGAAAAGCATTATATCAAATGCCAGGATTATTATTATTATTTTTATTACTAAACCAGATGCCAACAGTTGTTAAAATACTGTATAAACAGCTTAATGGCCCCACCTAGTGGTCATAAATGCCATTACATGGTTTCTGATGCCACCAATTATCTTCACATTAAAACAGAACAAACTCGTATTTTAATAGCATCTTGTCATTAATAATATTCCTTAATTTGTTAAAGCATCTTTCCCGTTGGGAGGACATCACAAAGCGCTTCACGGGATGTACTGTAAACTTCAACGACTGCACATGTTCGATCCGCTCGTGTCAACAGGTCGGATTGTGTAAACACGTCATTTCGCCAGAACAAACTTCCACAAACAGCCCAAGCGAACAGAGGAGTTTGCTCCCCTTTTCTCTTTTAAAAATGGCAGGGCCAGCAGGGTCGGCAAGGTTGGTAGGGTTGGCACGGTTGGCAGGGTTGGTAGGGTTGGCACGGTTGGCGAGGTTGGCAGGGTTGGTAGGGTTGGCAGGGTTGGCGAGGTCGGCAGGGTCGGCGAGGTCGGCAGGGTCGGCAGGATTAGCGAGGTCGGCAAGGTTGGCAGGGTTGGCGAGGTCGGCAGGATTGGCAAGGTCAGCAGGGTTGGCAGGGTTGGCGAGGTTGGCAAGGTCAGCAGGGTTGCCAGGATTGGCAAGATCAGCAGGGTTGGCGAGGTCAGCAGGGTTGGTAAGGTTGGCAGGGTTGGCAGGGTTGGCGAGGTTGGCAGGGTTGGTAGGGTTGGCACGGTTGGCAAGGTCGGCAGGGTTGGCGAGGTTGGCAGGGTTGGTAGGGTTGGTAGGGTTGGTAGGGTTGGCGAGGTTGGTAGGGTTGGTAGGGTTAGCGAGGTTGGCAGGGTCGGCAGGGTTGGTAGGGTTGGCAGGGTTGGCGAGGTTGGCAGGGTTGGTAGGGTTGGCACGGTTGGCGAGGTCGGCAGGGTTGGTAGGGTTGGCAGGGTTGGCGAGGTTGGCAGGGTTGGTAGGGTTGTTAGGGTTGGCGAGGTTGGTAGGGTTGGTAGGGTTAGCGAGGTTGGCAGGGTCGGCAGGGTTGGTAGGGTTGGCAGGGTTGGCAGGGTTGGCGAGGTTGGCAGGGTTGGTAGGGTTGGCACAGTTGGCGAGGTCGGCAGGGTTGGTAGGGTTGGCACAGTTGGCGAGGTCGGCAGGGTTGGTAGGGTTAGCACGATTGGCAGAGTTAGCGAGGTTGGTAGGGTTGGCAGGTTTGGCGAGGTTGGCAGGGTTGGCAGGGTTGGCAGGGTTGTCAGGATTGGTAGGGTTGGCAGGGTTAGCGAGGTTGGCAGGGTTGGTAGGGTTGGTAGGGTTGGCAGGGTTAGCGAGGTTGGCAGGGTTGGCAGGGTTGGTAGGGTTGGCAGGGTCGGCAGGGTTGGTAGGGTTGGCAGGGTTGGTAGGGTCGGCAGGGTTGGTAGGGTTGGCAGGGTCGGCAGGGTTGGTAGGGTTGGCACGGTTGGCGAGGTCGGCAGGGTTGGTAGGGTTGGCAGGGTTGGTAGGGTTAGCACGGTTGGCAGAGTTAGCGAGGTTGGTAGGGTTGGCAGGGTTGGCGAGGTCGGCAGGGTTGGTAGGGTTGGCAGGGTTGGTAGGGTTGGCACGGTTGGTGAGGTCGGCAGGTTTGGTAGGGTTGGCAGGGTTGGTAGGGTTGGCAGGGTTGGTAGGGTTGGCAGGGTTGGTAGGTGGGGCATGGCCACGGAGGGATTTGAACATGAGGATCTTGGACTGGATTCGCCGGGCGAGGACAGAGGCGACGGCCTCGGGAATCCCGGTGCACGAGAGCACATGGGCCGCGGAGGATGGCAGAGTCTCGGAATAGTCCAACACCGACATGAGGAAACCATCAATGGAGAGACAACGCCCCGCCCAGTGATTGACAGATCGACAACCAACGCCCCGCCCAGTGATTGACAGATCGACAACCAACGCCCCGCCCAGTGATTGACAGATCGACAACCAACGCCCCGCCCAGTGATTGACAGATCGACAACCAACGCCCCGCCCAGTGATTGACAGATCGACAACCAACGCCCCGCCCAGTGATTGACAGATCGACAACCAACGCCCCGCCCAGTGATTGACAGATCGACAACCAACGCCCCGCCCAGTGATTGACAGATCGACAACGCCCCGCCCAGTGAGGGGACAATGCCCCGCCCAGTGATTGACAGATCGACAACGCCCCGCCCAGTGAGGGAACAATGCCCCGCCCAGTGATTGATAGCCGGCGGCGGGGGCGGGGGGTGGGGGAGAGAGGAGGAGGCGGTCACGTGCTACACCCGCTGACGACGGGCCGTGACGGCTGCTCACGTGACGTCAGGCGGGCTGGCCCCGGTGTCACGCGGTCGGGGGGCTGTCAGTCTCCGCGGGAGGTGGTGGTGGCGGCGGCGGCGGCCTCGGTTCCTGTCGGTGTCCGGTGGGAGGATGCGGAGGCCGCGGCGAGGATGGAGACGCTGAAAGTGAAGGACCGGATCCTGGAGAACATCTCGCTGTCGGTGAAGAAGGTGAGAGGCCGCGCGCGGCCTTAGCGGGGAGCGCTGGGGAGGGGGGACCGGGGGTGTTGATGAGGGACCGGCGGGGGTTGGGCGGGTGTCTCTCTCCCCTCTTCCCCCCCCACACACACCCCATCCCCCCCTCTCTCTCCCCTCTCCCCTCCCCCCACACACAACCCCCCCTCTCTCCCCTCTCCCCCCCCACACACACCCCCTCTCTCCCCTCTCCCCCCCCCACACACACCCCATCCCCCCCTCTCTCTCCCCTCCCCCCCACACACACCCCCTCTCTCCCCTCTCCCCCCCCCACACACACCCATCCCCCCTCTCTCTCCCCTCCCCCACCCCCCCTCTCTCCCCTCTCCCCTCCCCCCACACACAACCCCCCTCTCTCCCCTCTCCCCCCCCCACACACCCCATCCCCCCTCTCTCCCCTCCCCCACCCCCCTCTCTCCCCTCCCCCCACACACAACCCCCCCTCTCCCCCCCCACACACACCCCACCCCCCCTCTCTCCCCTCCCCCACCCTCCCTCTCTCCCCTCTCCCCTCCCCCCACACACAACCCCCCCTCTCTCCCCTCTCCCCCCCCACACACCCCCCTCTCTCTCCCCCTCTCCCCCCACAGACCCCCCCCCTCTCTCTCCCCCCCTCCCCCCCACACACCACCCCCCCTCTCTCTCCCCTCTCCCCACACACACCCCACCCCCCCTCTCTCTCCCCTCTCCCTCCTCCCCCCCCCCCCACACACCACCCCACCCTCGTCACCCGCTGCAATTTAACAATATAAAAACACACAGTCACTACACTTTACTATAATAATCCTTGCATTGATATCTTGCGTCTTATCACGTCTTCGAGACCCCCCCCCCCACCCCCCCCACTCAAAGCGCTTCACCCCTTTGCAGTATATTCCGCAGAGCGCCTCTGAGATGCGATGAGGCGCACGTGTATCAATTGCTGCAATTATTATTATTATTATGAAATACAGCATTTTTTTTCTTTTGTTGTTCTTCTCCTTCAGTCACCCTCCTATCCCTCCCCTCCCTGCCCTCCACCCCTCCTGATTCCAACCCCCCCCACCCCGCCCGCCCCAGTCTGGGACTGTCCAGAGCACCTTGGGACGTCCTCCCGATGTGAAAGGCGCAGTGTCAACGTAATCCGTTGTCGTTGGTGGCCGTTGATGTCCTCTCCTCGTCCCGGCAGACTCACTCCCAAATTGAAATTTAATTTGCCGCCTCTCCTTGTCGTCGGGACGTCCTCCCGACGTGAAAGGCGCTCTATGAATGCAATCTTGTTGTTGTTGTTGTTTTGCGGGATGTCGCTGGGCCCCTTCAGGACATTTCTTTCACGTATGGAAGGTATGATATAATAAAGAAGTGTAAGTTGTAACTCGTTTACCAGAGGGTTAAACGGGAGTGACATTTCTTTGCAAAGTCCATTAGACCCGTGGCATCGCCCAGGAGAGTTATTAGGTCTGTCCCGAGCCTTGTGTTTACTCGTACATCTCGCTGACCAATATGGGAGGAATTTTGGGACTATGTTAAAGGATTGGCTCCCGTGCAGTTCTCCGTTTAGCCTAATGATCGTAGTGCATCAACAGAGTCGAGTAGAAGGTTGCAAAATAGGTTAGTGCAAAGATGGCTCTTTGGTCCATTAGCTCCTATCTTTCCAGAATATCCAGCCGACCATCTTCCCGTTACAAGTTTTCTTTAACTTCTCTTTTTCTGTGGGCTTCAACTTTCTGCACAATGTAAAGCAGAATTCTCACCAAACACATAATTTTTTCCCTGTTTGTGGCTTCCACTATTACGGGCACTCTACATCGTAGCTAAGAGGATAACTGTTGGTCCTGAACATGATTATGTGCTTTCGTGTTTCTCCTCAGAGCTACATCCAACTGCAGCTCCTCAACTTGGGAAAAGCTGAGTGTCCTTGAATGTGCATTTTACCCTTGTTTTTAGTGCAGACTGATTTCCTCAGCATTATATCATTGCCCTTGGTTCTGTGGGCAGAATAAAATGTCGTGGAAGGTAAAATATTTTGAAATAACTTTCAATGGTTGATATAGTGTTGATTCAGTGCTCTCTTTTAAAGCATAAGTGAGCATTTCAAGAGGAAAGCTTAGTTCCTCGTCAGCTTGACACTTTGACTTGTGATACACCATGGAAATATAGTGCACCAGCACAAAAAAACATTCTTTCAGCCCATTATACTGCTGCTTTTCTCCACAAATCACCTAATCTAATCTTATTTTCCTATCCATACCTTTTAATATAATTCTTCTTCAAGCATCTATGTAATTTCCTTTTAGAAGTCTCTTCCCTCCTGTAGCTGCAGTTTGTGGCAGAGTTCCACATTGCAACTTCTGTGCAAAGAAGTTTTTTTTTCTAACTTCCACCCTTAATTTTGTGAAGTGCCGTCGTCTGAATTTCACAACCCTCTGTTTCCTTGTTTCTGGGTTCTTATCGTACTAGTTTTGTCCGGAAGATGCTGTTCTGTTCTGCTGATATGCGCTTTACGTAAGACCAGTCCCTTAAAGGGACATTCTGTGTTAATGTGAGGAAAAGATAGCATTGATCTGTAGCTATTTTAATTGCTGATTTCTCTGTGTGGTTTGAAATATTCAACAGTCCACAGTGCTAATCACCGTGTAACCCTGGACTGATTCTATACAATGGAGCTCTTTTACTGAGCCAGGTTGGTAAATGCTAGAGTTTCTCATCTATTTTAAATGCTGGAGTTTCTCATCTATTTTTGAACAATGCGCACAATCCAATAGAACATACTGCTCTCTGCACATGTTCAGGTCCTGCAATGGACATAGCACCGAGTGGTTCATGGCTCCTCCCTGTGTAACAAGCTTGGACACTAACTCCAATCCCTGTCGGTTTGGATTCCCGATTATCAGGGATGAAGTTTGTTCAGTTATGAAGCCAGACTTGAGAAGTTAGCGTTGTTTTCACTGGAGCTAAGTGGGTTGAGGGTGACCCGCTGAAGGTCTTCAAGATTATGAAACTTTATGATTGGGTAATTAGTAATAATTATTTTCATTGGCTGACAAGTCAATAAATAGGGGTCGCAAATTTAAGATAATCATAAAATGGGAGCTCAGAAAAAAATCTTTACACGGAGAGTGGTGATAATATGGAAGTCTGTACTACAAACTATTTGAGGCAAAATCCACAAATTGAACAGGTTCTTGAGAAGGACAAATATTATGGGGAACAAGCAGACAAGTTGGAATACTTTGGTTCATGTGACAAACTTAGGGTCCAAATAGTCTGTTTCTATGTTACATCGTTCAATGATGTATCTTACAGAAATGGCAGAGTGATGGGTTCAGCTGAGAGGGGGTTGTTTTAAACTTCGGAAGAAGACGTTCAAGCAAGCTACACAACCGTAGTTTTACAGAGTGGCTGGGGAGGAAATGTGTAACACCTGAGCACCTAAACAAATTAAAGAGGATTTGCTGTCTGAGGCTTTGATAGTACTTGGGTTAGAAAGAGGCTGTGGACATGGATACTGAATACAGTTCTTGACAATTGTACTGAGAGGTCTCCTACAATCCCTGTAGAACTATTGCAGGAGAACCGCTGAGAGGTGGAATAATCCCATTTGACACATTCATAATCACCTCATGTTAGGTTAGGGTTAGGCCATGAAGAAGGATGCATGTATTATGTATTTTTTCAAAAGGATTCTTACCAATAAAAGTCAGAGGTCACCTAGTTATTCAACTGACAATGCAGATCCTGGCTTTCGGGAGCAGGAGGCAGGAGAGTGTTAAGATCTCTGTATGACGGTTGTTCGTCTTCTTCTCCTAGCTCCAGGGTTACTTTGCTGCCTGCGAGGATGAGACGCCAGCAATCCGAAACCATGACAAGGTCCTCCAGAGATTGTGTGAGCACCTGGATCACGCCCTGCTCTATGGGTAAGTTGCAAGCCTTGGAATAGTGCAACTGGTTAGAAATTGTAAATAATAATCATCTTGATTTGCTTGTTTAATATTCTGGTCTAGTTGCTCTCATCTTTTAAGTCCTCACCCTCAGAACTTGCATTTGGACCCAGGTTCCAGATTTTGGATATTTAAGGAAGAAACTTTGGAGCGTGCTGCTACATAACGTCTGTAACATTTGCTTGTTCAGTTTGCAGGACATCTCCTCTGGATACTGGGTGCTGGTTGTCCACTTCACACGCAGTGAGGCAGTGAAACAGATTGAGGTGCAGCAGCATGTCGCCACAAACCTTGGTCGCAGTGAGTATCACACTCTACTCATGCAGTTTACAAGAACAAGATTCAACTCCTTGTAGTTTTGGATATGGCTGTAAAATGTTTGCCACAATTTAATAAACTGGTGGAACAAGATTAATGGATTGAATGGTATCCTCTTCCTATTTTTCTGAGAAGCTCTATATGAGTCTTTGCAGTAGGGGCCCTTCCCTCACATCTTAAAAGCTTTCAGTATCTAAGCATTTTAGTTTGTAGAAGTTAAACATTTGAGACAAATTTAGGATGCAAATCAGCTTGGTGCTACTTGTGGAGTTTTGCACTTTATGGCATAAATGGTGTGTGGTTTGTTTTTCTTGTTCAGGTCGAGCCTGGCTATACCTGGCATTAAATGAAAATTCTCTGGAGAGCTACCTGAGGTTGTTCTGGGAAAACCAGACTCTGCTTCACAAGTACTACTTCAAGTAAGTCATATTATTCCATTCAAATGGCAACGTGACGAGCTTCCTTGCCAATGCAGTGTGTCTCTGTGACTTCGGTAAAGAGGATTTGTTTTTGCACAAAATGTAAAGTAGTTTTTTTTGTATATTTGTAGCCAGGCATATGTATATTCGGACATCACCATTATATTGCAGTTGGAGGATCCAATGTGTAACTTGTATTAGCGCACATCCTCAGAGTTCTGGATCATCATGTTGCCACTGACGGCATTTCCTGCATATTGAATGCTGTGCGCATCTGATCTAGAAGTCGGCCAGGTTTCAGCACAGGGAGCGGGGTGTACTGTGCTTCTAGTGGTAGGGGATGGGTGTCCCACATTATAAGCGAGGGAGCATTATATCAAAGGGAGGTATAACAGGGTTCCCTGGATTTTTAAAAATGTAACTTTATAAATGTACAGCTGAGGCTTTGTGGAACTATTATTTCCAACTTTCTCTTTTTTTTCTGATTCCCAAAGGAATGCCCTGGTCTGTAGTGATGATCACCTGACCTTGTTCCTCACACTGGTCTCAGGACTGGAGTTTATCCGATTTGAATTGGACCTGGTAAGGATCCTGACTCTTCTAAACTGCACATTTATACTGTTTTGTATTTGCAAGAATATTTGTACCTTTCTGGAGATCTAGTTTCTCTTGGTTACAAGATGCCAGCTGAGCTCAATAGGCAACACCCTCATCTTTGTGTCAGCAGTCTGTTGGTTCAAGAGCTAATTGAGTAATTAACTTCAAACTCTAGGCTAGAGTTTGTTGGAGGGGCCACCCTAAAGATGAGACACAGAACTGAGCTCATGGTTTGTTGCTGCCCTCTTGTGTTTCAACGTTTCCTTAACCGTCTGCTTGTAGGATGTTCCCTACCTGGATGTGGCTCCATACATGCCCGAGTATTACAAGCCACACAACCTGCTGGATTTTGAAGAGCGTCTGCCCAACTCGGTGCAGGGCTCCGACAGCCTTTCTCTGAACTCCTTCAACTCGGTCACCTCCACTAATCTGGAATGGGATGACAGCGCCATTGCCCCCTCCAGTGAGGGTAAGTGCTAGGATTTTTCGGTGTCCAAATAATTCAGTCAAGCCTTGTACAGTAGAGAGCCCAATATCTACAGTAATTGGACTGGGTCCGTTTGGATGTGAAAATAGTCTGGTTATCAGGCCAGCGTGCAAAACAGAATGTACTTTGTAAATCAAAACCTTTGATCACACTGTGGCAGCCCTTCTCGTTTTCTCTCTCCCTGTCTCTCTAACCCTATATCAGATCAACAAGCTATTTCCCGTTGCCAGTCACACAGATCACACAAATCCGACTGCTGGGTTTGATGCATACGTACGTAATTAAATATATTCCTTTAAAATTTAAGCCTGAATTTACTGCTGGGGTTTCAGCCACTGTACATTTAAGTAGATTTGTAGTTATCTGGCTGATTGGGTGTGGGGCCGCTCTCTTGTGTTACACATTCTCTCGTCAGGAGTTTTGTTTATCAGGCTGGTAGCTGCTGAATTGAATCTAATCGAGATTCAGAAAAGACAAGTGGCCTCCATGAATCACTCCCATCTTTTCATTGATTTTCAACTGCTGTTTAATCTCCTGAGTATTACTGTATATGCTGGGGGCATGTTGGTCAGTGCAAACGTCCCCTTTCTGGTTTCTGTACTGCGGTGCACCTTTCCTTTGAGGAGGGAGTTCAAGGCCAGTGACCTATAGGCTACATTGTACTCTGAGGAGCCCTGACTTTGGACTTAAAATGTTTTTTTTTAAAGGCAGCCTTTGTCCTTTCTTCCCACATAGGAAATGTACTGTTCGTACCTAAATTCTGGCACTCTGAGCCAAATGTACATGGGAAGCAAATTGTCTTGTAGCATTTCAGAGATTGTGTGAAAAAGCATTCTATGCAAATGAATAGTGCAGCTTAATCACAGCGCTGTCAATGGGCACTGGAGCCAAGACATTGCTGAGGTCTAAAACTCAGCACATTACCTTTAAGAAGGAGGAGATAAATGACGTTATTTCAACTGACTGCTTTAGCATCTGGACTTGACCTCACAGTTTCCGATGACACTACGGTGTTGAGGAGAGAGCTGCATTGTTGGAAGTATAATCCTTTGAATGAAACCTTAAATCAAGGGCCTGTCTTTGGAGTCCTGTAGCTCAGTGGTTAGAGCACTCGCTTTGCAAGCGAGAGATCTGGGTTCGATTCCCAGTAGGGAGAAACCTTCAGCAAGTTTCCTTACTCCACACAGAGCCTAATAATAATCCCTCCAAAACAAAACAATAATAAATTGGTCATTTTCAATCTACGACTGTTTGTGGGACATTGCTGTGCGCAATTGGCTGCCGCGTTCGCCCACAAATACACAGTCAATTCACTTTACAGTATATTCTGCGAAGCGCTTTGAGACGTCCTCCCGACGTGAAAAACGCTATATCAAATGCAAGGATTATTACAATTATTATTTCAAGTGCAAGATTCTGTGGGACTATTTCAAAAGAGAAGATAGTTTCCCCAGTGTCCTGGTCAATAATCCTCCAAGTTAGTCAGTTATTCTCAAGACTTCTTTGACCATGCTTTCGGTCCTTCTTTCCCTCTCCCTGCTCCCACCCACCCCCCAATCCCCGGCTTCCATCCCCAGCTCAGATGCCACCCCAGTATTGTTAAGTGCTTCAGGACATTCTCCCGCTGGGAAAGGCTCTTAAAAATGCAATCTTGTATTGTGTATCTCACAGCTGTTTTCGAGACTTTGCTGTGTTCAAAGTGGCTGCTGCATTTGCCTACAAAAGCAGTCACTTATGTTTAACAATAATTCATATAAAGCACTTTGAAATGTTTGATGTGCAAGTGATATAAAAATGCAAGTCTTTTTTCACATAACGGCTCTGCACAAACTCACATTCAGGCCGGCAATATATACAGTATTTTTTTAAATGATATTTTTAAAAGCAAAGTTGCAACCTTCATCTTGTGTTGATCTTCCCCATCCACCAAAATAAAAGGTCTGGACCAAGATGCAGAAAGCTCAGTACAAATGGGCACTGGCATCCTTGGGGAAATGTACAAAATGGCATACATAGTACATGACTAATCGCTAATCTGAACATGTATCAGTCTCCCACTCGGGACAAAAGGTTGTCCAAATGTATGGGAGATATGACTGTTATGAGTTGTTGAAAAGTGAATACTTCACCAGCTTGAGCTGTCCTCTCAAATAGTCATTGCTCTGCTATAGAAGAGAATATTCATTATCAATAGTATCCAACCCTGTTTGTAGAGTGCGTGTGCAAGTAACTGCCGCTTAGTTACCGCATTTCGCCCACAAAATAATCAGTTCACTTTACAGTATATTCTGTAAAGCGCTTTGAGACTTCTCAACAACGTGACAAGGAACCATATCAAATGCAAGGATTATTATTGACATACTATCTTGTGTGAAAATCTCTAGTTGTTGTTGAATAAGAAGCTGTTGGAATTTTCCAATTGTAATCTGGTCACCGTGACATTGTCCACCCCCGCCTCCAACCACTGCAAGGATTGCAAACGTTCAAACATTGGATTCATCGTTATATCTAGTCCTTCTCTGGGAAGAAATTATATTGAAGATGGTTGAAGTGAGCCTGTTAAGGTGCTATAAAAATGCAAGTTTCTCATCTGCTGACCTTGTTGCAGAGATTTAAGAGTTGAGAGTATGTTAGGCAGTAGATCTTATCATTGGTATTGAAGATTACTTTCTCGAAATCACAAGAGCGAGAGGTTAACTCTTACACACGTGTAGCCACAGCTGACTTGCCTGGATCACCACTGCCTTCACTTGTGGCTGTTGCGTCTCGCGATAACTGGTCCAACAGCTCATTCATTCAGTGCATTGAGTTTGTGCTAAAATGAATAAGGTAACTTAGTTGTCAGTGTGAGGGTGCAGTGTGAATGTTTTTATGTTTGTTCCTGCAGTGCGTTGGAGGAACAGCAAACTGCCAGCTTCGCTCCTAGGTACGGAATATTCTCCAATTGCAATTCTCAAGCAACTAAAACTTTTTGTGCCTTTTGCTCTGTAGTGTTAGGAGTCGGTGTTTGGTTACAGGGGCTTTAGCTTCGCTCCCACATCAAAAGCTATGATCGGCCTCCGTCTCTAGATTTTATATAACCCTCAGCAAAGGGGAGTGTGAGGAATATTACTGATTGAGTTTTTGCTAGGTTGTCAATCTTGTATCTGGGAATAGTCATTGTTTCGGCCATGTAGCTGAGGATGTCACATTGCCCTTTTATTGCCCCAGATGTGTTACTAGTGTACAATTCCCCCGATATACCAACCAAAAGAGTGCATAGAACGTATTATATGAAAATCTTTTTACTGCAACGTCAATAAATTGATCACTCATTCTCAGGCTGTTTGCGAGACTTTGCTGTGTGCACGATGGTTGCTATTTTGCCTACAAAAAAAGAATCCTTATGCTTGGTATTAATTGGTGTCATGCACTCTGAAACGTTTCAACATTATAGGTGCTGCAACAGGGGTTGTTCATACTCAGCAGAAAGCAACATTAACAGCAGCAATGGGTGGCATTGCACGTATAATCATTCCTGCGCCAGCTCTCTGAAAGAGCCATTAGTTTACACTCACTTCCATGCTCTTTCCCTGGATCTCACTAATGTTTTTATATTCTTCTTTTTCAAATATTTGTCTAATTCCTTTTTATTTAAAAAAAAGCTGTTCCGGATTCCGTTCAACCACTATTTTTGTAGAACATTTTAGAACATTTAATTGTTATCCTCTGTTACAAAAAAAAACCTCCTAACTTCTCCCTTTGATTTTAGTCATAATGTCAAATTTATGTCCGCTAGTTACCGATGTACCAACCAATGAATTGGATCATGTGAGGTGCAGCAAGAGTCTGGCTCACGGATTTATTCGTACTCTTCATCACACGCAAAAGGAGTTTGGAGGACATTATGGGAATATTTGCAGTTACAGCAAAATAATAAAAAAAAGATCTGTGCTCTATCCAGCATGTAGGGCAGGTTTCGTCTTGTGCTGTTTGTATATTTGTGAACATGACTGTCATTGTTACCCATTTGTGTTTTTTTTCTCTTCACTGTAGATTATGATTTTGGAGATGTATTTCCAGCAGCACATTCCATGCCCAGCACAGACTGGGAAGGTGGGACTTGTATTTCACACTCTGTCTCTACCTGCTGCATGCTCTGTCCCTAACCGTGTCTGATTCAACTCACACACTGCATTGCATGCCTGCCAGGGCTATGGGTATGTACGTGTGTGTTTGGTGAGGTGAAGTAATGTCAATATTTGAGAATGAAATGCAATTCATGGACTGAAATTTAGCATGATTCTTGCTCAATCCCATGAGTTAGAATTGTATTCAGATCTGAAAGGAAACTGGTCAGACTGGCGGACTGGATCCTGTGATAATCTCTACAGTGATCATGTTTTCATAGTTCTAGTTGCCTATATATTGATATATTGACCTATGACATTCAGCATTTGTCACTAATTTCATTAGATGCATCTCTCAAAGTACAAAGGAGAGCTACTGAAAGGTCAAGGTCAATAGCTGCCAAGGATAAAAGGCACAGGAAAGAGAGGAAGTGATAAATCAAGAAGTGGGAGCCAAACTTCAGGTTTAAACATCTAAAACAAAGGTACATAAGATAGCGAGTAGGAGAATTTAGGAGGAACTGTTACACAGGGAGTAAAATTGTGGAACTCACTGCCCGAAGTGATGGTTGAATCAGATGCTACAGATGCATTTAGGAGGAAGCTGTTGTTTCACTTCAGAGAGGAGAATAGAAGGATATGGAATGGAGTAAAGAGTGGATGGGTGGAGACTTGTGTGCAGTATAAGCACTGGCACAGACTGGTTGGGCTGAGTGGCCTGTTTTCATGCTGTACATTCTTTGTAAATCTTTGTAAACAAAGGAGTTAGAATTTTGTTACACAATTTATAGGGACAATGTCCTTCCAAAAATAGTGGTTGAAGCAGAAACTATTATCACTTTTAAAAAGGAATTGGACCGATATTTGAAATCAAAATATAAAAGGTTTTGGGTACAGGGGACTAAATGAATGCATGGCTCAGTGAACTAACACAAACACAATGAGCTGATTGGCCTCTGCATGTGCTGTAAGGTTTTGTGTAAGCCTATAACTATTAGCTTTGCCTAGTCCCTGCATTATCTAGCAGAGATCACCAAAAAAGTAATGGCAATTCATGTATTATACAAATATTTTGATGCCATCCAATACTTACAAATGATGTGGATATGTCCAAACTCACCAGGCCCACCCATTCCAACTCTAACTTCAATATCGTGTTCCAATTGTCTATATTCAGAGGCAGTGGGAGATGTGACATAAAGTTGGGTCTTGCCTGTTCTGGGCAGAGTAAAGCAGCCATTTTACATTACTAGTTGCCTCTGTTACTTCCTCACTTATAACGATGATGTCCTGTGGATCTGGTTTCTAGCACTGACTAGCTAACTTCCCACGCTACAAAATGACCACCTTTTGGCTTGGATGCTGCTGAGGCCACTGTGCACTGTACATATGCACAAAAGTCACTTCCTGCAAACTGTGCATAAGCGCAAAGGTGATCCAAAAGACGGCCTTTTCATTAGCACCTCGCTTATCTTGTGGCCTCTGAGTTACTGTATCCAGAGAACCAGGCTGTAATCAGTTTCTCCTGTAGTTGTGTAAATGTGCTTTTAGGTGTGTGAGAAAGCTGTCAGTGCATCGAGAAAAGTTTCCAAGATTTGTCGGTCACGAGATACTATCTTAGACAAGTTGCTAAAACAAATTGCGCCTTTCACGTCAGGAGGATATAACAGCATATTTGGAGGTCAGACGAGATCCGTTTCTTCTGAATCTGTGCTGTCTTCTATTTATTTGGCTGTTTTTATCAAGGCTTCAATGATCCATCTCTCTTTTTATGATACAGTAGTTCTACTTGCTGATAATAGGACTTTCTTTTGCTTTTTTGCATAATTTACCCCAGTTCTTGCTCAGGAATGGCACTCTTTTGTTATGTGACTGAAAATTCACTACAGTTCTGAATTTTGCAACAATTCCGGCTCAATAACAGGTTTTGGTGTAAACTTACACTTTGGCTTAAGCTTGATCTCCGTGTTGTCTGTCCCATAACAATTTTTTTTAAAGGTCTCTCTTGAACTGCCATCCACGTCCTAGTTTCCCTTGATTGCGGTAAGTAATCTGGGTTGTCTGAGTTCTGAGTAGGAAGAAGAGAATGCTTTCCAGCATCACTCATACGCTGGCATTGATGGTCTGCGTTGAGACTCTGCAGGCAGGTCGTACCCTCTTAGAGGATGGAATAGATGTGGAGCGGAGAGAAGCATTCACAAGTCGGAAATTGTACCTGAAAGCACCAGCCACCAAACGACACTGCTTGAAGGATGCAATGTCACTTGTGGCCATTGTTTACTTCTGCAAAGAAGATTAGAGTGGGGTTTCTCTGACCGAGAGCGTGAATGGGGTTCAGAACTTGGTCCTTCGGGGGTTCCTTTAAATCTGGAGGATGTTCACTTTGTTATATTTGCCTTTCCACTGCCACATGGCCCAGACCAATTCAGCTACATAAAGGCCTCTACAGGTTTATAGAACATTGTCAGTGTGCTTCACACTTGCCCCTATATTGCATTGAAACATGATTGAACCCTGTGAAGTCTACTTTTGGGGGTAAGATCCCCTTTCCTCCCAAAGAAGGAATGGAAATGGCTGGATTTCTACAACAACAGATCTTTGAGAAGCGTTAATGTGATTACATGCAGTGTGAGCAGCGTTGTGCTAGTGAACAGCTGCATTCTAGAGTTTGACAGATGAATACTGTAGCTTCATTGAAAGGAAATAAAATTTCAGTTAAAACGTCTGAATTATAGCATCAGTTTAGTGAATTTATTTTCCTCTCAGATCTGCAGTTATGCTGGAATAAAGACAAAAAGTTTGTGTAGAAGAAAATAACTGCTGACCTCTTGCCCATTGTACTTCTTTGCATTTGTCGGCAGAGGGTGAACTGACGGATACAATCAGCAGCTGCCCCAGATCTGGGACTTCTGAGAGTTTAAACAAAAGCAATGGGAAGAGCCCCACTTTACGCCACAATCCTTTCAACACCGAGAAGGTGGAGGCACGGAGCATGCCGGAGCTCAGCACGGTGCCCAGCACCGAGTGTGAAAGAGAGGAGAGCAATGGAAATCTGCAGGATTCTGCAGAGCTTGAGCTGGAGCTTGAAGTGATTAGGTAAATCACTGTAAATGGAGCTGAGTTCAGGAAAGAAGAACTTGCATTTTTATATTGCCTTGTGTGTCAGTGTCTCAAAGCACTTCACAATGTCTCTATACTGCGGGCAATTGGGAAGTTGGGAAAATTGGGGTGGGGGTGGGAGTGTTGAGTAAAGGTGGGGAGGGAAGGCACAAGATGAAGGGAATGTGGGTGAGCATTCCAGAGAGCTGAAGAGGCTAGCTAGCGGTGGTAGAAAGGAGTGAATAAGGAATGAGTAGTGGACCAGAAACCATAGACAGGAGAATTGGGCTGTAGGAGATGGCAGGGATTGGGTGGGCAGGAATGTGAAGTGATTTGTAATGTTGATCTGCTCGAGTACGGAAAACCAGTGAAACCTGATGAAGATACAGTCCATCCACAGGCATTGTAGTCCTTAGCTGTACTTCACATGCAAGTGGTTCTGATTCTTTATATGGTTTCGATTTCTCAGATTGGCGAAAAGGAAAAAAAACACAAAGAAGAAGAGGGCAAAATCCGAGGAACGAGTTCTTGAGGACAAAACTCTAGTGGTGCTGCTGCCAAAGGAGGAAGCAAAGTCCGAGCAGGATTTCACCAGCCGTTTGGCAAAAGATCAGAACAATTCACTGTATTTGCAGAATTGCAAAGAGGCCTCAGGTGGGGAGGAGGGCAGCAGGCCCCGGGACAAGCCACGTTATGCAACCCGTCGCATGTCTGAGGCAGATAGCCAGCCGGGCCTGCTTATACCACAGATGAAGGACACCTCAATGAACAGTGTAGGGAATCCTTTAAGTGAGGTGATTGAACGGCTGAATGGAACACTAGATGACAACAGCTGGACTGCGGATAATGATCAGCCTGAGCAGCCCTTTCGGACCGGTATCCCGGGGGACACCCCGGATGAACCACCCTATCGGGGGTATAGTGAGCGGAAGCCACCTACCATGGACTTCTACAGGTTTGCACTCGAGAGTCCAGGTGCTGGTGCAACAAGTGGCAGCGACCATGACACTTCAGGGGATGGTCAACAAGCGCATGTTTTTAGTAGCTATGAGAGTGCTGACTCGGAAGCGTGCAAAAGGGAGGAAATCTCTGGGACCGTAGAGGAGGCTGCTACCCCACGGAGCGATGGAGTGGAGACGACAGGGACACAGCGGCTCTCTGGGCAAGATGATCTGATGGAGGTTTGCGGTCCCAGCCAGGAACAGTCTGTCATGCAGCCTGGAGAACCTGAGAATCCCAACACGGAGGGAGCTGGCAGTAGATCATCAGAGAAAGAAGTTGCTAGTAGTAGCCCTGTAGAGGGAAAGGGGGCTGGAATTAGCCACTTGGAGCTTGAGGAACCTGGCAATAACACCTCGGAGCTAGAGGGAGCTCGAAATAGTCCCTCAGAGTTGACTCATTCAGCAGAATTCAGGTAAGATGCTCTGATTATTATACTTGAAACCTCATCCCTTCTCTATATGTGTTGATGTTGGAGCTATTTACGTACCTTGGAATGGTTTTAATCTTGCTGGAGCGATTTTGAAAAGTGCACAGGAAATTCACTTCACCTGTTTAAATAATATCCCAACAGAGGTGCTGTGTTACGTGATGACCCTTACTTGTATTTGAGCAGTAGGTTACGCAGCATCAGCCAGAAGTCTGGCAACAGCCAGAATGCTGCACTTTACCTGGGGCAGGAACATATCTGTTCATGTCTTCTGTCCTCATCACTTTAGGGTGGACAACAACCTCCTGCTTCTGTTGATGATTCATGTCTTCCGAGAGAACGAAGAACAACTCTACAAGGTAAGAGATCCTCAAAGAGAAATTCCCCAAACAAAAGTAATGGGAGTCTCTCTAATAAATGGTTTAAATGTAGAGATGTGTAACATATTAATGAACTAGCAGTATGTGCTTTTCCTTTTGTATGAAATGCAATGTATATTGATGCATGTTGTTGTTTTCCCTTTGTGAACCACCATGAGGGAGTAGAGTGGAGTAGCTACCACACAAAAACACTGTGACATATATCTGAATTCAGGTTTGATTGTAGCTTTTGACCTTAATACGAGGAATTATTGTAAAAGGGAACGGAGAACGGAGAAGCTTGGGGTCTTTGCAAATTGCCTACATGCTTCTATATCTTTCAGATGATGCGGATGTGGTCTGGTCACATGGAGGGGAACCTGCAGTTGCTGTATGTGCTTCTGACAGACTGTTACATCTACCTGCTGAGAAAAGGTATTTCCTACCCACCAAACATTGACTGGGACTTCACTATCAGAGGAATAATTGTGTACACCTGCGTATTTCAGCAATTTTAGAATTTTCAGTTGTGTTAATATGGTATTAACGCACATTGTTGTAACCTAATTGCTTTTAAAATAGTACCGATGTGTTGGGAGAGCACTGTTGTGAATTTCTTTGGAGTACAGTATCTGTATTTCATTCCTTGTCTTGTCCTGAGCAGGAGTTGCTGACAAGCCCTATAATGTGGAAGAAGCGGTGTCTTACAATGAACTTGACTACATCTCAGTGAGTTATTCATGATTTAGTTACACTGGTTCTTCATATTTAAATGGGTTTAGACAGACACGGTGGAGGTTAAATACATTCAATTGAGAGATGCATCAAGGCTCCAAGGTTAAGTAGGGGAGAGTAGAACAAAAGTAAGGTTTAAGAAAGTAACGTATGATGAATGAATCGTATAGAATGAAATTATAAGACACAAAGTTTACAAAAAAGATTAGAAAGGTAGGGGAAAAAGAGTGGCCGTTATTACAGAGAAATAGAAAAGGCTTTAATACGCAGACAAGAAGTTAGGGGATAGTAAAAGAAGGGCTACAGCCCATTGCAGAGTAATTGCTGTTCTGTACCGTGTCCTTGAGATGGACACAGGCAAGTGTAGGTCCTGTACGTCCCGTCCGCACCACTAGGGGGACACTTCACCCTTCAGAGTAAACTGGAAGAGGCTTCAAAGAAAACAAAAAACCTTCATTTGACTCTGTGCATATCTGTTTTGAAAGAATTATACATTGCGTGTAGTTTTCAGACCTAACTAGTGGATATAAGTCCTGTAGCTCAGTGGTTAGAGCACTCGCTTTGCAAGTGAGAGACCTGAGTTCAATTCCAGGCAGAGGGCGAGACCTTGGGCAAGTTTCCTTACTCCACACAGTCAGAGCCTAATAATAATCCCTCCAAAACCAAAACCAATAATAAATTGGTCATTTTCAATCTACGACTGTCTGTGGGACATTGCTGTGCGCAATTGGCTGCCGCGTTCCCCCACAAATATACAGTCAATTCACTTTACAGTGTGTTCTGTGAAGCGCTTTGGGACGTCCTCCCGACGTGAAAAGCGCTATATCAAATGCAAGGATTATTATTATAAGGCCATCCGCTAAGTTAAAGATAAGGAATTATTCCAAGATGCTTTAGAATGCAGGTGTAGCTGTTGAAGCGTGTGTCCAGTATGCTGTACTCGGGTTGACTGATTTCTGTATCACGCCTGTAGGTGGGGCTGGGCCAGCAGACCGTCCAGCTTGTCTGCACTAATCGACGCCGGCAGTTCCTGCTGGACACGGCAGATGAGACCCTCACAGAGTAAGTAGAATGCAGAGAGTCCTGCAGCGTTATCAGTTACAGCATTTGCGAGAGGACCTGGGTTCAATTCCTGGCAGGGTGAAAAGTTAGGCGTGTTTCCTTAGTCTGCGCGCCTCTGTTTACCTAGAAGTAAGTAGTTGTTAGTCGCTTTACCGGGGGTAATAATTCCTTCAAAAATAAAATTAAAAAAAAAGATGATTAATAACAGGTAACCTTTTTATTCTAAAGAAATAATTTTGACTAATTTCTACCAATTTCATATTCTCTAGGTTTTTCCTCAGTGCTTTGAAGTCAGCCATGATTAAAGGCTGTCGAGAGCCACCGTACCCCAGCATCCTGACTGATGCCACTATGCAGAGGCTGGCACTGACCAAGTTTGTGGCCCAGGAGTCCAAATGTGAGGTAAGGTTTACATCATGGTGTAAGTACTTATTCCTGCCAGTGTTCATTTACTGGGAATACTCGTTGATTACTTGGTCTCGCCTTTCATCCATCACACAGACCAATGGGAAGCCAGCGTTGCTTGTATTCTGGAAAAACTCCTTGGCAATGGGGAAAGAGAATGTCCTTCAAGTGTTGTTTATTTAAAAAGTTCAATGGGAAATGTTTTGTGGTGTCTTTGTTGGCTTGGGCCCTCACACTACGTTTGTGCCTGACTGCAATGCAAAAGCATGTGTAACTCTGGAACACTCTTCCTCTATACCTCCGCCTTGCCTCCTCCTTCTCTATCGTCGCGCCTGAAGACCTTCCTCTTCGACCGTGCCTATGGTCACCTCTCCCCAGCTCGGCGTCGTGCTCTGCCACTGTCGAGCGCTCTGGGACTCTACCCTGTGTGAGGGATGTTACATCAATGCAAGTTGTTGTTGTGTTTACAGCCGTCGGAAGTCACCATCCACCTGTACAGTCTGATTCACTGGGAAGACCCTCTGGATATAACTGCAGGACCCCAGGGGAGCCTCTACATGCCTGGTGCAAATTCAGTCACCAAGGAGGGATTGTTGCATTACAAGGCTGGGACCACCTACTTAGGGTCACCCATCTGGAAATCCTCCTATGTCGTGCTCAGGTGAGACTCTGACTCCTATCCTGTCACTTCAATCAACCAATCTGACACATGTGTCATGTCATGTTGGCTCAGTTGCTAGCACTCTCTAGCTCAGAAGGTCGTGGGTTCCAGCTTCATGTTGGGACTTAAACGCATGATCGATGTTTACATTCCAGTGCACTACTGGAAGAGCGTTATATGGTCGGAAGTGACAGCCTTCAGATAAGACGTTGAGCCAAGGTCCCATCTACCATCTACGTTAAGGAACCCATGTCACTGTTCAAAAAGAGATGGGACTTTTGCCTTCAAAAATAGTTATTACATTTGACAATGATTACTGCATTGAGATATTTTGACATATAAAATCCTTTAAAAAAATGGATTGGTCACTCGGAGTGAGGTTTTAAAGGCTTTCAGGATTGTTTCTTCAATCTGCTACATGCTTCAGATGATTGACCCCAAGATAGAAATAACACCTTACTCTCTTTGTCGCTGTTCTGGCCATGCGTGAAACTTTGTTAACAGAAGTGCTTTGTTTCGGCAGCAATGGGATCCTTTATCAGTACCCCGACAGGACAGACATGATGCCAATCATTTCGATAAACTTGGCGTAAGTTCCTTTATAAAATGTATGCACTTGAATACCTATTGTCTGGCTCTCTCTCTCTCTAACCCAGTACTGTATGTACATTAGATTGCTGAGTGACTCTATTCTTGGTTAAATTTGCACTCAAATTCCCAGATTACTCAGATTATAATTTAGGTTTTTAGCCTTTGTATGATGCAGTGTCATTTATGAATTATGCCAACTCACCCATCTCATTGCCTCACTTCCTCAGTCTCATTGCCTCATGTCCTCTCTCCTTCCCTTCAAACCCTTTGGCCACGCTTTTGGTCAACAGCCTTGCTTTTCCCTCTCTCCTCCCTCCCTCTTGATTATATCTGTTTAGCGGTTTGAGACTTTCCTACCTGAAATATGCTGTTTATGTGCCCGTTGTTACAGGGGAGAGCAGTGTGGTGGTTGTCGGAGATCCAGCATTACGGAACGGCCGCACACATTCCATGTGATCCTGACTGAGCGCCCTGCCCTGGAGCTGAGTGCCGAGAGTGAGAAGGAGATGGCTGACTGGATGCAGCACCTCTGTCAAGCCGTGTCTAAAGGGGTAAGTGAGTACCTGGAGCAGTGTCTGTCTGCCTTTGCTCAGGCTAATAAGGCATAGCAAAGCTTTTCCTGATATTAAAGGGAATGTGTTCGCTCTGCTTTCAGTGACGAGTGTTCATTATTTTTACATTACACCTAATGAGATTGTTTAGTGTAGTAACCGTTCTTTTGTGTTGGCAGATTATTCCTCAGGGTGTGGCACCCTCGCCATGTATCCCCTGCTGCCTTGTAGTAACTGAAAGGCTGGTCATTACATGTCACGAGGACTCCCAGACAAGCTTCTTCCGATCGCTGGGAAGTGCTGAGCTAATCAGTGTGAGCAGCATCTCCATAGACCCCAATGGAGAGTACTGCCTGATGGTGAGTATGATTAGAGATGGTCTTCAGTTTGACCACTAATAGCTTACACGAGATGAGGACTTGGCAGGGCTTTGGAGCTCCCACTCACAGAGGCACATCTCACAAGCTGAGTTAGCTCTCTCAGTGTCTGTTAATGTGTGAGCTTTGACCATGAGAGTTGGCTGGCTGTTCAGTTGTGGGTGGGGTGTAGGGAAGGGTGAGTAGCCTGGGTAGCAGCGTAACTTAGTGGCCCACTTTCTGCTGCGGATAGGGAATAGTATCGCAAGTAAAGAGAAAGGGAAGGGTAAGTAGTATTAAAAAAAAGTTGATAAGGAGCTGAATTACCTTTGCCTTAAACCTTCCTCTCTTTCTAACTATCCAAGAAGGCAGCGATTCCCAGATTCCATCGAGAGCTGAAAACTATAATCTAATAATCCTTGCATTTGATACAGAGCCTTATCACATCTTCGAGATGTCTCAAAGCACTTCACACAGAATACACTGTAAAGTGTATTGATTGTATTTTGTGAGCGAAAATTCTACACGTGCTGCTGCCACACTGCTTCATTATTGATCTTAAGTGTTCTGTATAAAAAGACATCTACCCTCAGGAATGTTTGGTAGCTCTTCAGAAACTTGTTGTTTTTGTCGCTTGCTTTCATGAAATGGTTTGCTTTTGCACATCTCGTTGTCTATTCGCTTTTATGAAGCTGCGTTTTAACCTCTACAGGAGTTTTCTGAGGATCAGAAGCAGACTTCGCCTCCTTGGTTTCTGTACTTCAGCTGTGCTGCAGAATTGGAACGTTTCATTACTGCGCTTAACGTAGCCTGGAGAAGCATCTATCAGGTGAGCAAGGAATGCATGGTATTGACACGCCAAAATTGCCTGATCAGTCACTCCAATAAATTTCATTTGTATAGCGTCTTTCACGTCAGGAGGACGTCCAAAACGCTGGGACTCCACAGCTGTACTGGCACTCAAGCTGACTTGCTCTCGATCGATTTTGTACTTTGCACATCAGTAGGAAGAGTGTAAAAATGTGTTACCCATGTCCCAATAACTGATTGCTTCTCGCACACTCTGGCAGTACTTTTTGAAATGTGTCCAGAACCCCAGTGACTCTGCGAGTAGTTGCTTGTGCAGCGTTCTGTTCTGACTCTCTGTAGCTCTGTTCTGACTCTCTGTATCTGTTGTTCAGGTGGATCTGCCTCAGAAGCAGTTACAGGAGCCCTGTGTTCAGAGGAAGTGTGAAGATGCCGTGCTGCTGATCCGCACCACGTGGCAGCGCAGTGACAGTCTGCACCGAGGTCGCTCCGAGCGAGATCCCTGGTGCTGAACCCCAGAGAATTGCACCTTCAGGGCTGGACTGAACATCATGGAGAACTGTCATGCTGGCAATTGCGTGTGGCCCACAGAGCACAAAGTTATTGAGGTGCACGGAGGAGAATTCTGGTAGCAACACAATGGGGTATGCGGGAAATCGGATTTGCCATGACAAAAATCTCTTGCCCAACAGAACACTGATCAACCACCCATCAAGCCTTTAGGAAATACTTCATCAACAGTGTCAGGGATACCCGATGGTCTTTGAACATAGACCTGCTTGTTTAGCTGGGTATCAGGTGAGTGCCTCCGTCTATCCTGACGTGTGCATTGAATTCCCCCACTGGGCCGAGTTGACATTTTACAACTGCTGAAGTTCTCAGCCTCTCACTGGCAACAAGCACTAGCCTGTGTGGCCTCCAATGATAATAGCACCTTCAATATGGTGGGTAAATCTAGTTTTGGCTGCCTGTCTCTTCCTCTCAGAAAAGAAAGGCATAAGGTCGATGTGCCGTAACCGAGCCCGTTTATATAACGCTGCACAGTGATTGTCTCTTGTGCTCAGAAGCTGGTTTGTTCCGGTGACACGGAGGAATGCTATCTTGTTGCTTCCATCACTTCCCAGCCTCTGAAAGCAGCTGTCAGCTCCACTCGGCGAATTTCCTTGATGGTTTTAATGAAGGTTTTATTTTCAGAGTACCCACAGGAGGAGCACTTGGTGCGGGCGTCTCCATGGTTACTAAAACGATAGTTAGTCTCAGTGACTGATGCAAAGCTGTCTGCACATAGTATATATATATATATATCCTTGCTAGAATTTTAGGAAATACCATTTTATAAAGAATGCTTTTACTGATCAATTGTTGCTTTGATTTGGACTGCACACATCCTGTTTCCTGATGAGGCTGTTTGTGGAAAAAAAAAGGCACTTGAGGCTGTGCCTGACATCCGCCCTGAGATTGGTGTAGGTAGAGTAGCTGGTTTGTGGGAATCTTGTCCAGCGCTGGGTGCTGGGGACCTGATGGAATGTGTGCTGCTGACTTGCAGTTTTTAAGTTTTGTTTTTGTGTCTGTGTGACCTCCTTCTCTTCAGATTGTAGAACGCAACCCACACTGCTGTTATTTAAATGCAAATGTGGAGTGGGATTTTCAGCCTGCAAAGAGGATTTATTACGAGAAAACATTGGCTCCATTCAGTAATGCCTCTCAGTTCTGAACACTGTTTGGTTCATCAGTCCATTGAAAGGGACTGAATTTTCCCAGCCACTCACCAGCTGCTGCCTGTAGAGAGGTGTAGGTGAGGGACCTGCAGGGAAAGGCTCTTGTACTCCTACAGGGAAGGGGAGTTGAGAGGAATGTCCCTTATTCCTGCAGTCTTTGGATCAGCAAGTCAACCTCCTGAAATTCCTCAATGTCTTAGTTTTCAAATGACAAGCTCAAAATTTAAGATCATGCAGAATTTTTGGAACATTCTTAAATTCAGTCCTTTTAGAAAACGGTTTCTGCCTTTCTTACAAAGAAATAACACCTTATCGTGCCGTTGAGACGTCTCAGAAAGTGCTTTTTAGGATCTGCTCTTCAGTAGCAGAGAATAAACTTTCATTGTGCCATTTATTGCTGCTGTACAATCCAATCCATAAATCACACCATCGCATATATTAATACCTTCTATCATGTGAGATGTGATTTGTGCAATTTATATTCATAAGATTTACACAAAGTAACTTAGACAAGCTGCGTATTGGACTGTTTTACCAGCAGAAGAGAGAGGCATGTTTCCAAAGAGACGGTAGCAAAGCTTCTAGTGAAGAAACTTTGTGCCGCTTGATGTGAATCTTTCTGCCTGAAATAGAATGCAGCAACACATTAACATTGTGTAAACTAGCGAATGTGATTCCTGTTAAGTGCTAACAGCCCGTGCATGGTCTGTTAGTATAACGTGCTGCAGATTCAAGGCATCATTATTGCACATGAGAAGATCCATTCAAGCAGTCACTGGAAGGATCACCCCCTCCTCCTGTGTCCATGACAACCTGAGCTGTGTTCCAGTGTAGTTTATATTACATCGCTGATACTGCAAATACTCTTCTATAGATTCTGGGCAGTGTGTGTTTTTCTTTGCAAAGTTGGAATATTGGGGTGGCATGTCTGGGATTTTTTTTTTTATCTCTTACTTTTTTTTTCCCCCCAATTCATTTGTCAAATACATATGAGCTTGTAAATGACCTTCTGAGGGGATATGGGGCATGACTTGAATAATGAACCATTCATTAGTGTAGCTGCAGCTTTTGACAGAGTGTCAAAAAATGGCCCAGTGTTCATTTTAAAAATGGCTTAGTGATCACGGAACAATACAAGGTGGGGCGTGAACCCATTTCAGCTTGTATTCAAGCAAGTGAAATTTCTATGAAATGATGGGATTAATGAAAGGTGATTTTATAGTAAATAGTAGATACAGTTGTGTTGAGGGATTGAAACAGCTGGAAGCAACTGATATACATGTTTTTACTGAACTGAAGAGTCGGTGAAGTGGGAGTGAGAGTTATATACATGATGTGTGCACACAGTGTCTGGAGTTATAAGGGCTACAGGCTTAAATCTGCCTTGTTTCGGTACTATAGAGATGTAAAGCCTGATGTTACACTAATAGACTAAAATGGGACCCGGTGCAATGAGACAATTTATACTGAAAACCTCACTCTAGAAAACAAATGTGTGTAGGGCACAGCACACAGTTTCTTACTTCTGCTGACTAACAATCCTACAGATAAAATGAGTCGTTCATCTAAAGGTTGTTTATGGAAATTTTCTGTACACTAAATGTTTTTTAAATCAAGAACTGCTGAAAACTGACTTCTAAATTTGAGAAATGCCCTAAAATTTTGCCTGATCTTAAATATTACTACAGTACCTTGGTCTTAAGGCTAAGAGCATGGAGAATGTTGTACTTCTGGGGTCAAACTGGCCTTTATGGTTCAACTCGCACCAGGTAGTGGCTTTTTATCTTTATTTAAAATGAGTAACTTGCCTTTTCTATTAACTTTCAACAATTTTGTCAGACTGTTACATACCACTTCATGCCCTCTATCTGGTTTGTTTTGTAGGCCTGTTTTACCACTAGTAATTGAAGGAATCATCATTATTTCCATTAGGAACCGGCTGCACAATCCCAGTTCAGCAGGGAAAATTTTTTTTTTTTTAAACAGTGTTTCATTCAAATTAGTTTCTTGCCAACAATTTAGCGAATTTGGAAAAGAAAGTAACTGTAATGAGTTAAGCAAACCAAATAGCAGTTGTTTATTCAGTGATGCTATTAAAGAAGACAACAACAACTAATTACATTTGTATAGCGCCTTTCACGTGGTTGAGAATTTAAATAGATTTATTTTGCCATTGTATAATGAGATGTTTTAAATGGGTTGCATAGTTAGACACTCTTCTCTCTTGGCTATGAATTCAGCCTGCACTGATGGGATGGAATTCTTCTCCCTCCCTCTCTCGCGAGAGGGGCTTGCATTGGGACAGTGCAAACTAGTTTTTAACAAACTATAAATGTCACACCAAAGGTGGAATGGTGCAGGCAATGGCCACTTAGTTTTTTGCTGTGCAGATGGAGCTTTATTTTGCATCCAGCCTATTCTGTTCCTGTGTTGGAAAAATAATCCAAATATACCATTCTCCACCATCGGCATCCTTTAAAATATCGACGAGCGCAAAATTAACTCCAGTCTAGGAGTTTGCTTGTTTGAAAATTACAGCGAAATGTTCAACTAATGTCAGTGCCTTCCATCAACCACAACAGCTGTTTGTGCGAGGCACAAGTGTTGCTCGGGGTTGTGGTTGGCACCGGCGTTCTTCACAATGGGCAGTGAGTGCAGTGTGACAATTTGTCTGTTCACTGAGTTGAGTAAGTGGTTGTTGGTGCTCTCTTTATGCCTTTGCTTTAGATCGGATTATGTTTTAGATTTGACCCTTTATTTTGACTGAGGGCCCAAGTACGATAGTTTGTTCTGGAGGCTTTATTGTTGGATGTAGTGTTTCTTCAAAAAAAAAGTGTTATTGCTAGGTTCCCAACAGCATTGTCTGACTGGTTTGTGTGTACACCACTCAGTGACTGTCGTGGAACTCCTTTTACAAACTATTCGCTGAATCGTACAAATCCCTGTCTTGTGAGAGCAATGTCTTTGCTCATCAAAATACCTCATAATAACACACCAAGATTTTTGTAAGGAGAAAGTTACATTTGCCTAAGCAATTAACTGGAAATAATGAAATAAGTGATGTTGGTTACAAATAGTGCTGGGTTCTCTTGACCCAAGGCTAGTGGTAATGAATGGGGAGATGGGGCTAGTTTTCTATTGTCAGCGTGTTTTGAATTAAACTATATTGGCACAAGCTAGATTTCATAACCTAAGCAAACTTACTGTTTTTATTGAGTAAGAATTCGCTCTCCATGCATGCACATAGGTAGTCAGTTCATGTGAGGTATGTTTTATCAATGTCAATAATTAGCAGTGTTTTACTTTATACTCTTGCCATCCCTGTAAAGTCATGTGGTCAGTGTGGGTTTAGTTCCAAACTGGAGCCTTGCAATAGGGGTTTTGGGCTATAATTCCTGGAAGATGTGGTTCTCGCGCGCGCACACACACACACTAAAGTAACTTATACTAAGGATTTTTCCAGGATGGAGCATGTTTGTGAGTTACAATACAAGGCATTGCAATACAAACTGCCTAATCTATCATTTCGATAAGATTTTGTTTGCACTGTAATATTTTGCTACCAGTCAGACTTGACCTGCAGAATTTGTACATTATAGAAATGGGGATAACTCCACAATGGAAGTGGTCTGTAGTCTAAACACTTCAGATTATTGGTACGTTGCAAAATACTATTTTTAAAGACCGTGGGAAATTAAATGGTCCTGGTGATTTTTAAATGTGTGTGACAGAAACTAGACGTAGGAGTTTGTTGTAGAGAGTGACTATTTATTCTGTTGTGTGTTCCATGTTCAAAGTCACGTTATAAATAATTCTTACCTTTGACACCAGGGAGACGTTTCGACGTGTTTCGCAGGATGTCCTGTACTGTAAAGCACAATGACTGTGTGTTTTGCATGTGAACATCTAGGAGGAGTGACTGCTGCAGACCTGAAATGTTTCTGGTTGTTGTGATCCGGATTGTATCATGATCCACATTACATGAATATCTACCATTGTTTCTAGAACTTCTCTCCCCCCCCCCTCCACCCCGGTTTTGCTGGTCCCTAAAATAGCTTAAGACTTTTTTTTAATAAATAAAAGGGTGGGGGGGGTGTATTGAAATTATCTTAACGGCTTCAGAATGACATCTAAGCACAGGTCCAAATGAATCCTGTGCAATTTTACTCCGTCTACCCAAAAAGGACAACTGCTACAGTATAATATATACCGGTTGTCAAATCAAATAATGCAGTCAGTTTGCACCTCAAAGCCATTTGGTACCTGCACGTGTAAACGCGTAGCTTCCACCCAGAATTTCTGCTGGAACCTTTCAGTACCTTAAAAGATCTCTGGCGAGCTGCGAGTAATGGGAGGTCCAAAAATCAGACGGCCCAGCTTCTCTCTCCTCTGGCCCTTTCAACACAACGTCATTTCATTTCTTCGGAGCGATTATTCGATTGTACCAATACCGGGTACCCGGGTACTTCCAAGAGTTTTGGGGGCCAGAACCGAACAGTTAATCCTGTCCATGAATTGATCGCTATTATTATTGACTGCTAGCAATATTGATTCCTGAAGCATGATCAACCCTGAAGTTTCTTCTGGAGAAATTTCACAGTTCATACAATAATCTAATGTAATGGTGTATATCTTATACCAATGCGTTGTTAGGAACCCAAGATAGATGGATGGATAGATGGATGGATGGATGGACGGATGGACGGATGGACGGATAGATGGATGGATAGATAGATGGATAGATAGATAGATGGATAGATAGATAGATGGATAGATAGATGGATAGATGGATAGATAGATGGATAGATAGATAGATAGATAGATAGATAGATAGATAGATAGATAGATAGATAGATAGATAGATAGATAGATAGATAGATAGATAGATAGATAGATAGATAGATAGATAGATAGATAGATAGATAGATAGATAGATAGATAGATAGATAGATAGATAGATAGATAGATAGATAGATAGATAGATAGATAGATAATCGCTGTTACAAGTGCATGTGTTTTGTGTTCACTTCACAATGTAAATGCTGTGTTTATTGTACATAACAAATTGGTGTAAATAGGACGGAAGATTAATTAAAAAAAAAAGTCACGGCCTTTCCTTTGTGCCGCCGGTGTCCGATCAGTGAGGCTGTAAACTCTCTACGCTGACGCTGGTTTAACCCTTTGGAGACCAAATTGACCCTCGCAGCGTGGAATTCCACTCGTCTGGAACCCAGCGCACACACTCTCTCTCTCTCTCTCTCTGTCCCTGTCCCTGTCCGCTGAGCTGCGGCTGGTGTTCGGCTCAGGCGGGTGAGAGAGAGAGAGAGAGAGCGCGAGGGTGGGGGGGTGGGGGGGGGAGTGCATGGGGAGCAGCTGGTGGGGGGGGCGGTGCGGGGGGGGGGGGGTGCATGGGGAGCAGTGGGTGGGGGAGCAGCCGGTGGGTGGGTGGTGTGGGGGGAGCAGCCGGTGTGGGGGGGGGGTGCGGTGCGGGGGGGGGGGGTGCATGGGGAGCAGTGGGTGGGGAGCAGCCGGTGGGTGGGTGGTGTGGGGGGAGCAGCGGTGTGGGGGGGGGGTGCGGTGCGGGGGGGGGGGGTGCATGGGGAGCAGTGGGTGGGGGAGCAGCCGGTGGTGGGTGGTGTGGGGGGAGCAGCCGGTGTGGGGGGGGGTGCGGTGCGGGGGGGGGGGGCATGGGGAGCAGTGGGTGGGGTGCAGCAGTGGTGGGGGGGGTAGCAGTGGGTGGGGGGGGCGGGGGGGGGGGCGGGGCCGAGGGGGGGGGGGGGCGGGGCCGAGGGGGCTCGCGCTGCCCATTGGTTGGCGCTGCGGTGGAGGCGGAGCCCTCGCGGCTCCCGGTTGCACAGTCGCCGGGAGTGTCCCTCAGTAAACAGCTCCACACCGGGAGGGACACCGGGACACGGAGAGGGACGGCCCCGGGAGGTCACTGCGCTGTACCGGCGGCGGCGGCGGAGGCGGAGGAGGAGAGTTGCCGGTGACCCTGACTGACCGCCTCCCCCCGGGGGGGGGGGGTCTCGGGCGGCGATGCGGGACCCCCCGCAGGGGCTGGACTTCGCGCTGGGCGGCGCGGCGGCGGCGGGGGCCTGTGTGCTGAGCCACCCGCTGGAGGTGGTGAAGACGCGGATGCAGCTGCAGGGCGAGCTCCGGGCCCCGGGCACCTACCGGCGCCACTACCGGAACGCCTTCCACGCGCTGCTGGTGATCGGGCGGCAGGACGGGCTGGTCGGGCTGCAGCGGGGCCTGGGGGCCGGGCTGCTGTACCAGGGCCTCATGAACGGCGTCCGCCTCGGCTTCTACTCGCAGCTCGAGTCGCTGGGCCTGACCCGGGACCGGGACCGGGGCGGGAGGGTCTGCGCCGCCCGCAGCGTGGCGGCCGGAGCCGTGGCCGGAGCCCTGGGGGCCGTGGTGGGCAGCCCCGCCTATCTGGTGAGTAATCGATAATCAATCGATAATCGATCGATAATCGATCGGTCGATCGATCGGTAATCAATCATTGGCTCCGATCGACGCAGTGGTTTATTGTCGTCGTCGTTCGTGCCCCCAATTGATCCGGAGTCGTCGTCGTCGTCGCCTTATTATTATATTGATATCTGATCGATAAGTCGTCGATCGACAGTCGCCCGTCGGCTCCGGGTTGACCCTCGTGGCTGTGGATCGTGACCGTGACGACGAGGGGAGCGACCGTCGTGATCAATGGTGACCAATCGGGTATCAGTAGTCGGTCACCGGCGTTCGCCGTTCGCGTGGAACCGGATCCGGATAACCGACGATCAATCGGCGTCGTCGCATTTGTTAAGAGCGACGGCGGCGGTAACCGTAACAGCGGTAACGATGGTAATGGTATAATGATGACGATGTGGTAATGATAATGTCACAGTGATAATGCGATGATGATAATGTAACGATAATAATAATAATAATAATAGTAATCGTCTTTGGTTTTATTTGACATCGCGTCGTTGAGACGTCTCAAAGCGCTGCGCGGGACGTACCATCGAGTGCCGAGGCCGCCCAGCGCGGGGGCCGCTGGATAAATGCGACGCTGCTGTTGTTGTAGTGACTCTACTTTTGTGGGTGGAATGAGAAATGAGTAAAGGTGCAATTGTTTGTGTGAGAGCCTCCCCTCTCCCCCCCCCCCCCTCTCCCCCCCCCCATCGCCGCCGCCGCCCCACCACCGCCGGCCTTTCTTCTTCTTTTTTTTTTGCACGAACCTAACCTTTGAGAGTCGTCACGTAACAATAATATAATAATAACACTAATCGTCGTGACCGGCCTCGCCTTTCGTACGGCCACTTTCGCGCCTCAAAAGCTTTCGTGCGAGCAGTGCAGTGCAGTGCAGTCGGTCGTTTGGGTTAATTTGACGGACGCGCTCCGTTTGTGTCGACGGCGAAACCCCACAAAAAGCGGTGAAGCGAAGGACTGATTACATGTGGGTGCGTGGGGGTGTGTGTGTGTGTGGTCGGGGGGGGGGGGGGTCATTGTCAGCCAAGACACCGGGAGAGAATCCCATTCTCTTTTTGACTTCTGCCGCGCGCGGGATCTTTAACGTCCGCCTGGACCGGGTGCAGACGGGACCTCGGTTTAACCTGAGTTTTCACCCACAAAATACACAGACACTACGCTTCACGGTACAGGCCGTGAAGCACTTTTGAGACGTCTCGAAGAACTGATAAGGCGCTATGTCAAATGCTGGGATTATTATTATTATTATTATTAGGATTATTATAAACTGATCCCCTGCACACGGAGGCAATGGGAGATACGACTCCGAGTTGGATCCTGGGAGAGAACCGGACGTCTGGAACACCAGTCGTTTTACACCATTCGCTGTAGAAACAGCATTAACCTCTTTCCCTCAGGTTCGAATTATGTTTATGGGCCGATTGAGCTTTGCTCTTCAGAATGATCCTGTTTGTTATGTTACTGGCTTGGATTTGCACCCGAGCTGGGGGTCGGGATCAGGAAGGGTGGAAGGCGGGGAGGGTGGGGGTAGGAGGGTGACCGAAGGCGCGGTCGAAGAGGAGGGTCTTGAGATGGGCCTTGAGGGGGCCGAGGGATAGGAGCGAGACGAAGGGACTGTGAGATGGAGTTCCCAAGGCTGAAGGTCCGACCTCGATGGTGGGGCGGGCGGGGGACGTGGAGCGAGCCGGAGCCCGATGAGCAGAGGGAGCTGACAGGCTGGTTATGGGGTTAGAAGGTCTCAGGGCTAAGGAGGAACCAGGCCGTGGAGGGCTTTGAAGGCGCGGATGAAGATTTGGGGAGCCCAAATGTGGGATGGGGAGCCAGTGGAGCCGTGCGAGGATGGGTTCATGAGGAGGTTGAGATGAATGTCACTGTAACCTGCCGGTTTGTGGAAACTCAGCCCACCCAGCCCTGCCCACTGAGATTTGCACAGTCATTGGACCCATTTAGTTGCAGGAAAAGCTCCGACGTGTTTACATGTGGGAGAAAAACAACAGCTGCAGCCCTTCGACTGCTAAAGTGTAAAGCTCTCACTTTGCACTCCTCACCCTGCGAGGCAGAAGCAGCTTGTGTCCTCGGGTGGGGGGGGGGGGGATTGCAGATACGTAGAACTTTCTCTTCATCGGGAATATCAAATGCAAGGATCACTGGTATTAAAGGAGTGCGCGCAGACCCTCTCCCTGGAGGCAAAGATCCAATTGTGGAAAGTATTCAAATCCTCAGTGTCCAGAACACGATTGGCCGAGAGACGAGAGTTTAGCTTCTTGTCCTGGCCGTCAAATTGGTTATTTTTCTCGCGGGATCTGTGTACTGCCATTGTTTGTCTGAGATCAGTGGGCTTCATATTGCCTGGTTATCCATTCTGCCCTCGCTCTCTGGAACTCCAACCTCGTCCTCCTCACATTCCAGACTGAGCTCGACAAGAGGCTTTCTAGACACGAAGACGGGTCACCAGTTTAGGGTCACAAGAGCATTGCATTGTTCTGTGGAACTGTCATTAATGTTGTTTAAATTATACGCCCACCGCAAATCCCTCTCAAATCGGGGCCGGGCGAAACCTTAGGCAAGTTTCCTCACTCCGCGTGCCTCCCATTTGCCGAGCAGTAAGTTAGGAACCCGGGTGTTAGTTGATTGACTTTCCGGGGGTAATAATCCCGATGAACAAATAAAGTTGGTGTAATGTTTTGGGGAGTTAGCGTTCATGTTTTACGTGTGATTTTTTTTCTCTGAAGGAGTGTTTTCCAGGTAGTCAAAGCCCTTTAAACATCCGATTCATTTTCTGACAGGTAAAGACTCGTCTCCAGGTACAGTCGGCAGCAGCCATCGCTGTGGGATACCAGCACAATCACCAGGTACACCTCAGCCACGAGAGAGTGGTAGATAGATGTTTTATGACTTAATAGCTCAGCAGATTTCTGAAGGCAGAGTGCACACCTGAAGGAGAGAGTAATCCGGGTTCTTTAACCACAACAGTTTGCATATACAAAACATCCCTCAAGCGGAGCAGCTTCTCAGAGCGCTTAACAGTGGCGGAGCCCAATGCCAATCCGGGGGGAAGGAGGAAGGTAACCGTAACTGCCCTTCCACAAGGATAATTTGCTATTGAATTGGAGCTTCTGTCGCCGCTCATCACTACACCAGTCTCCAGAGAGTATGTTTGAGTTATGAAAAGAGGAGGGTCTCTCCCCGGGTTGATCCACTATCACCCAGGTAAATGTGTGTGAGACCTTGTACTGAGCAATATGGCTTGTGCATACAAAAACACGGCCACAAAAATACTGTAAAGCGCTTGTAAATGTCGAGACACGATAAGGTGTCATAAACATCACAAGATCTTTGCCTAACGAACGGCGAATGTGCACTGTTCACTGAGGGGCTGAGCGCTTGTTATGCTGTGATGTTTAAATCAGTTTAGGCTGAGCCATTAAGCTGGGGATGTCTCTGTGTTGCTTTATACAGCTACAGATCCAGGACACTCCACATTTCAGTGATAGCTGTGCGGAGGGTGGGGGGAGGTTGCATTTATCCAGCGATTTGTGTTCCTTTCCTCCCCTGACATTCTCTGGCAGCAACAACAACAACAGCTTGCACTTATATGGCACCCTCCACCCAGGATAGCGTCTCGGAGAGCTTTGAAACAAACATAGGGACAGGAGGAGGCCATTCAGACCCTCGACGAACCTTGTTGATAGTCGACTGGCAGATCCCTTTCCGTGGTTATTATGCCTTCAAAAAAAATAATGATAAAAATTGGATCCCTCAATCCGTGACCATTTGTGGGACACTGCTGTGCGCAGTTGGCTGCCGCGTCTCGCCCGTAAAGTATACAGTCAACTACACTTTACAGTATATTCCTGTGAAGGGCTCTCAGACGTCTTGACGAAGTGAGGAGGCGCTATATCAAATGGAAGGATTATTATTATTTATTATTATTATTCCTCTCCTTACAATTGAGGTTCTGTGAGTCGTGGCCCATTCATTGCTTCAGCCTTCTCTCGCAGGGAGTGCTGATGGCCTTCGTGACTATCTACCGGCAGCACGGGGTGCTGGGGCTGTGGAGGGGGGTCAATGGGGCCATCCCCAGGACCATGGTGGGGTCCTCCGCACAGCTTGCCACCTTCACCTCCGCCAAGGAGCTGGTCAACGACCAACAGGTGAGCAGTGTTTGAGAACCGTAATCCTCCGTCTTTGAGCACGTCGATTGACTAGCGATTGATCATCCACTCAAACCCAAGTAAAGACAGCAAGTTACTGACCCCTCACTCATGTGCTGGTCACTGTTATACCATAGAAACAGAAGGAGGCCATTCAGCCCCTCGAGCCTGTTCCGCAATTCTCTAAGATCATTGCTGATCTGTTCCTCAACTCCAATTACCCGCCCTTGTTACTGGTAAACTGCCGCTGGTTAGCGACCCACTGGCACCGCTCACTCACTAACTCGCGTTCGTCTGTACGTGTTGCCATCGGTTACTGACATGTCATCGCTGGTCACCACTGGTCCCTAACGCGTCACCGCTGCCCAGTCATGTATCAACGCCGGGCACCAACCTTGTGCCGCCCCTGGTTAGCCGTGCACCGCGGTGGCTGGTGGGATCCGTCTGAGGTGAGTGAGCGAGTCTAACCAAACCGGTGTTTGCTTTGCTCGGTAACCAGTGGTTCAGCAGAGACAGCTGGCTGGTCAGTCTCGCCAGCAGCATGATCAGCAGTGTGGCCGTCGTCATCGCCATGACGCCCTTCGACGTGATCAGCACCAGACTCTACAACCAGCCCGTGGATGAACGTGACAAGGTCAGTCAGTGACTACCCACCTGAACCAACCCACTGCCTTAAAGTGGAGTCCTGCAGCTCAGTGGTTAGAGCCCTCGCCTCGCAAGGGAGAGGACCTGGGTCTGATTCCCGGGCGGGTAAACACCTTAGGCAAGTTTCCTTACTCCACATGCGGCGCTTCTATTTACCTCGCAGTAAGTAGGAACCCGTAAATCGATTGGCGGATCGCTTTCTGGGGGTAATAGTCCCTTTTTTAAAAAAAATACAGTATTAATTTGCTCCCTCAATCCATGACTGTTTGTGGGGACGCTGCTGTGTGCAATTGGCTGCCACGTTTTGCCCACAAGGTATACAGTCAATTAACTTTATGGTATATTCTGTGAAGTGCTTTCTCATGCCTTTCCCCACTGCCCCCCAAACCAGCGATCCTCCAGGTTAATGGGTTGTCCCTCTCATTGGCAGACCAGGGAATTGCAAGTTCTCTCTTCTCTTCACTGCTTTGCTTTTTGCAGGGAAAACTTTACAAAGGATTTTGGGATTGCTTCATAAAGATCTCTCGGACGGAGGGACTCTGGGGTCTGTACAAGGGGATTGGCCCTTCCTACTTCCGCCTGGGCCCACATACAGTCTTCAGCTTGCTGTTCTGGGACGAACTCAGGAAATTGGCTCAATCAGACTACTGGGGGAAAACATAACCGAGCCCTCAACAGTGCCTCTGGCCTTTGAAATCCCAGCACCAACTCGTGCTACGATCAGAGACTTGATAGTCAACCAGATATTGTGGGGACACCTCCTTAACTCGTGCCATACGGACAAGAAAGACCTGAGTGTTCACTGGTGACCGTGGATTAACATTACACTGACTGTAGGGTTTAGCTGCCGCGGTGCAAGCGAGAAACCTCATCCCCCCCCCCCCAACGTTAGTGGCTTGCCTCCCATCTCAACTGCCTCACTCAGTGCCTACTAAAGGGTATGATATTCAGCTCAAGTTTGCACAGTAACACAGGAGCTAAAGAAACACCACCACCGAGTTTATTGGACGTGAATTAACACAGGATTTCTCCCCCACTCCCCACACCCTCCATATCAAGTGGAAACAAACCCCTACGTTGATATTGGTGCAGACTAGTTGGGCTGAATGGTCTGTTTCCGTGCTGTACGATTTAATGTAAAGGAGCGTCCAACCTCTCGTTGTACAGACTGAACCGATGTTTCAGATCCTCGAGACTGAAATGAGAACAGGCACTCACTAACTCTGCCATTCACAAGCAGCTCTGTCCATTTGTAAAGTCCTTCAAGCTTTGCGATGAGTGTACACTCTGGCTTTTTCAACGTTTCAAGGCACTGTTAGAGAACAACGCACTTTAAAGAGTAGAGTAAAGGGCAGCAGAGAGCCAGTACTAAGAAGGAGATGCACCACACTGTATGAGAGCTTGTGAAGAGGGACTCGATCAGTCCCGCATTCCTGAAAGTCGTGAGTTTATTTTTCCAACTTCAATTTGCTCCTTTCCTAGAGTCATTGGCATCAGTTTCCTCCTTCCTCAGGTTCTTCCTGTGCATAGGACGTAACACACAGGAAGTAACATCAGTGGGGATCTGACTGACTGGAAATCAGCCATTTGGTGCTGGAAGCTGGGTCCACGGGAGACCTAAAGAGCGATGTAGATCGTGACATTTCCCTTTTGGGTGTAAAACACGCTCACTCTCATTGACCATACTTAGGAACCTGTCAGTGAAGAAATCAGGGGAAGACTTGAATTGTCTCTTATAGGGGCGATTAGAAGAGGGTTTTTATAAGAGAACATTTTGGCACAAGACTGAGATCTGAACAATGCTGAAAGGGGAATTGAATAAATGTTCTAAGTGGGAGCTGGCGTCAGGTTAGGCTCGACACGCTGATTGATGCCTGTTATACTGGAAATTGCTCTAAACCTAACGAGGAACCCATAGAATTTCTCCTGTTCTCTCAGTATCTTTCTAAATGTGCCTTTCACTCTGGTGCCTTATCAAATTGTAGTGAGATGCTTGGAACCTTTATTTCCGTCTGCAGGGAGGAGCAGCTGATTACTTTCCTGCGTCTTAGGACTGATGTTATTGCACTACGGACAGTCTGGAACTGCCCGGCACAGTTAGCTGCCTTTGTTATCACACTGTGCCTTCGATTGCATCTCTGTATTACTAATCTGAAAGAAAAATAAAACTCAAAACAAAACAAAAAAAAGCAAGACATTTCTATTTGCTTGGATATCTTATATTTAAACCCGATTCCGCTTGGGCTGGATAAGATGTTTCTTCACTGAATGTTTCTTGATTTACGGCATAAGTCTATGCTATTTTGTTCTTTCTATTATTATGTTGTTGGCCAACCCAAAAAGGTTTGGCTTATACAGCAATGGGAATGGGTTAGTGAGTGGAAAAGAATGGGTTGAGTTACAGCCAGTGGGTTGGGTTTGTAGGGAGGTGGGTGGAGTCCAGCTCAGTGATTGCCTCTGGTGGACTTTGTTCCTTGATCCTTACATGGTCTCCTGGGAGCGGTCAATCAGCCCTGGAGCCTGGGCTCAGACCGGGCCTGAAGGACACTCGCTGACAGACACACAGACACACACACACACACACATGCACATCCCTAACCCCTCACATGATGTTGGGCTTTTTCCGATCGTGGACTTTGGGCTTTGGGTGGATTTCGCTGAGCACCAGCCTTGTGGACAGCCTTCTACAGGGTGAGAAACCTCCAGGGGCTGAGCGAGCGTGACGGACAGAGAGACATGTATTGAGGGAGACAGCAGGATATTGGGGGTGGTGGGGGGGGGGGAGAGAGAGAGTGTGTATTGGGGGAGAGAGGGTATAAGTGCGGATAGCCAGGGTTTGGGGAGAGAGCTGGGGAATCGGGGCTGAGAGCCAGGGTATGAGGGTTTCTGACGGTCCCTCTCTCTGTGCCCTCAGGTGTTATCGGGGCCTGTGCTGTCTGTGTGCTGTGTAACCTGCTGCGGATGCACCTTTACATCTTGTGTTTAAAGTAAGGTCTTTATGAGAAGCGCCTGAACCGTTAACTGTGCCTCTGGGATCCTGACCCACAATGCTATCTTTAATTCAGGTTTCCAGACCGTCTCCAAGCCACGGGCCGAGAGAGTTCGGGGTGGGGTGGGGTTCGTCTGCAGGGACAACCCTTGTTCCCTTGGGGAACGCGATTCGGTCTAATTCGGCTTAAGGGGTGGGGGGAGTAAAGACGAGTCTAAAGTTGTTCACTATTAAATAAACTCAAGTCTGTCCCACCTGTTTCCTCTTGCCCCGAGTCTCTGGAACTCCCTCCGTCTCGCCCCCTTCCATCCCCATCAAGCGCTCGGGTGCACTGCCCCGCACGAAGGGTGCTATATAAACGCAAGTTGTTGTCTCAGCCCCTCTATAACTGTCTTCATGTTTCGACGCGATGAGAAGCGACGGAAATGCTCATTCTTTTCCTCTCTCCGCCTCGTGGTTGCAGTGGACCCTCCCATCTCCGGAGGGAAGCCTCCAAACTGCGCGCCCAGTCACAGCTGCTGGAGTTCCTGCACCTGGTGATCATGTCTGGCCTGTTCTCGGTGGTGGGCGCCCGGGTCTCCTCCCTGGTGGTGCTGGAATTCTCCCTCCGGACAGTCTCCATGTTGCTCTCCGCTAAACAGGTGTGTTTTGTTGCTGGCGCTGGTCAGAGACAGAGCTCCACGCCGACTGGACTTGGAAGAAAACACAAGGCATCTCTGTCCAGGGGATTCTAGGTTCCTGCTGTTTGGCTCAGCAACACTTGGCAGTTCCCCCCCGCCCCCCCACCCAACATCTCTGATGGCTCTTGAGGCTAAAATAATCATTGTAATTGCTGTGCGCAATTGGCCGCCATGTTTCACCCATGAAATACGCACTCAATTCATTTGACAGTAGATTCTGTGAAGCGCTTTGAGACGTCTCGACCACGTGATGAGGCTCTATACCAAATGCAGGGATTGTTATTCTGATCATAACACGGGGAAGCGACTGCCAGGACGGTGGAAGGCGAACTGGACGGGCCTCGGTCTTTTGTTATGTAGCTTTCCCGGTGTTGATATGTTCCTCACCCACTAAACATGATTGTGCGTGTGCTTCCCAGGAGGCGTGTGGTGCCCAGGCCTTCCTGCTGTGTCAGTATTCCCTGGGTTGTGGCATGACAGCCAGCCTGAGCTACCTGAACGAGAGTGCCCCCCACTCCACGTGCAGCCTGGCGCTGAGCACGGGCCTGGCCGGGCTGCTGGCCTGGTCCCTGGAGAAGCTGGTGAGACACGTGACCACCATGTACCAGCTCCACAGCACCGAGCGTTACTGCGGGGCCTGCCTCTCGCTCCTCACCACCTGGCACCAAGTCCCCGCGCTGCTCGGACACGCCATGAAGATCGCCTTCGCTGTGGCCGACGTGGCCGCCATCTTCCTCATCAACAGAGACTTCCTCACGGCCTCCGAGGCCCTGCGCTTCTGGACACCATTGACCATCTGCTACACCCTCTTGGTCATCTACATGCAAGGTGGGGCTCCCTCCCTCCCTCCCTCACTCTGGAACGTTCTGTGGTTGGGTTGTGGGGGGGGCGGCCTGCGGGAGGGTTGGGGCATTTAGAGTGGGGGGTAGGGGGGAGGAGGGCGAGGGTTGGGGGTGGTTGGGTTGTGGTGGGGGAAGAGATACGAACAAGGCTCTTTGTCCTTCTTGCAGAGGAGCAGAAACAGAAGTCGAGTGAGCAGAGCTGTATCCAGACAGTGTGTGTGAGGATGGGGGGCCTTTTGATCCTCACCCTGACTGTGGGCCGTTGGGTGGATGTGCTCCACGTCCTCCTCTCCCTCCTGGGGGAGCTGTGGTGTCTGATCCGGGTGGCCAACATGCTGGAGGTCTGCAGACTGCAGGTGAGAGAGGGAGGGGGGGAATTACATTCTTTTCTACAAAAAAATAAGCACTGCTGTAAGCTACAGTGATAGTATCTGGGGATACAATATAGTTTGGGACACGGCCTGTGTAAGTGACTGCCAGGCTGGTGGAAGGCGAACTAGATGGACCTCGGTCTTCTTTCACCAAGAAATTCTTAATGTTCTTATGTTTGGAGACAGTCGGATGTTGTGGGCGTGCTATACAAATTCCAAGTTCTTTCATTCTGTATAACAGGAGGCCATCGAGCTCCAAGGTCGAGGTGGGACAAGACAGCTGTCAACGGAGAGGAGATCCAGGGTCTCAAACACCCCAAAGCCTGGAGCATTAGGAGACAGCGACTGATGGAAGAGAGGACAGCCCCCCACCCCACCGGCCTCAACACGTACTCTGTTGGACATCCTGCATTGAGGCCCCTTCCCCCTGCAAACGCCCACTGCTCACACCTACTGCTCACACCCGTTTGTAAACCGTTGAGATGTGGAATGGGATCCGGGTGTTTCCCACAAGCTCTAATTCTCTATGTGGTGCTCGTACTCACGAAGGTGTATGAACATTGTGGAATGAGTTCTATAATGATTGCTTTGATTTTTGATACAGCGCCTTATCGTCGTCGTCGAGACGTCTCAAAGCGCATCACAAGTTTTTAATGTGAATTGTCGTGACAGTGCACCTTCTGAGCAAACGCGGCAGCCAAGTTGCCCGCAAACAATGTCCCACAAACAGCCGCGGTTTTTTTTTTCTTTTCGAATCGTGCCGTGGGGACCCTTCACGTCCATCTGAACAGGACCTCGGTTTACCATCTCATTGAAAGGACGGCATCTCTGACGAGGCAGCACGCCCCCAGCCCTGCCAGTTCGGTACGAGTTCCAAGTTCCGATACGGGTCTCGACCCACAACCTCCTGACGTTGAGGTGAGAGTGTTACCAATTGAGCCAAGCTGGCACCCAAACAGAAAGATCTTGCATTTATAAATCACTTTATTTCACTGAAATGTTTTGCGGTAATTACTGTTCAGGGCACGTGCTGCTTTATTGGGAAACGCAACACGACATTTGCGTACAGTTGGGTCCCACGATCAGCCACGTGGTGAATGGAGGAGGATTCAAGACTGAAGTGGATAGATATTTGTCAGGTCAGGGTATTAAAGTATTCAGGGCAGGTAATTGGACTTGAGGTACAGATCAGCAGTGATCTTATAGAATAGTGGAATATGCTCAAGGGGCTGAATGGCCTCCTCCTGTTTCTGTTTGTATGATTGTTGGTTGGATTCCTCTTTAGCAATTCACCTCCAGGACCTGGGTTTAACATCTCGTCCAAAGGACAGCACTTCAGATAATGCAGAGTCCCTCTTCCACCCCCCACCACCACCACCACCACCACCACCGTACCGCACTGGAGCATCAGCCTAGACTGTGAGCCTAAGCCTTAACGCAGGACTTGAACCCACAGCCCAGCGAACTCAGTGATAAAGAGAGAAGTCCTTTCAGTCCCGGTGACATGCCGTTTCCCCACCTTAGACTGATAATAATAATAATAATAATAATAATAATAATCCTTGCATTTGACACAGCGCCTTTATCACGCCGTCGGGACGTCTCAAAGCGCTTCACAGGATACACTGTAACGTGGAGGGACAGTAATGTTGTGGGCGGAAAAAGGGGAACGCGTCTGAACTCAACGCCGCTCACGAGCGGACGGTCGGGTACTGTCGGGGCTGTTGGGATCAGACCTGCGCAGTCGTGTTGACTTGTGCCCAGTAGGTGGCAGCGCTGAGCTGTGGATGGCCTCAGGCTCCCAAACCTCTGCCAAACGCTTTGGGCTGAAAATCCGCGGCATTGGGTGCGTCCAATTCTCACGTTGTCGAAATTTCCACTTCTGCGTTGTCGGAGTCCGTGTCGTGGAGGGGCGATGGCGGAGCCTGACTCCGGGGGGGGGGGGGGGGGTAAAGCAGAGGGATTGGGTCCAAGAGGGCCAAAGCTTCGGGGCGTAGTGGCTGAAAGCGCGGATGCCTAAGGTGGGGCGGATGGGACGAGAGGAGCAACAACAAAATTACATTGGCATATAGGGCCTTTTCACGTGGGGAGGGCGACAACGAGCAGGAGGCCAGAGCCAGCCAGCCGAGCGGAGGCAGCGGAGCGGAGCGCGGAAGAGAGGCGGCCAGAGAGGTCGGGAGGTGTCGGGACGTGAAGGGACTTGTAGACGTGTGAGTGGGAGGATTTTGAAATCGAGTGGTGGGACGTGGAGTGAACTTTACGGTGTGGCGCCTCTCGCCCGGCGGGACACACGCTGAGATACGCTGAGTAAGCGGGCAGTGGACTGAGCTACAGCCGAGCTGCCCGTCCAAACCCACTGGGAGCCGCCACCCAGTGCGGCGTCAGTGTCCGCAGGTATCCGTGAACGTCTCTCCTTGTTGTTGCCGCTGTCCCCTCTCCCCTCAGCACAAGCGTTTCCTGTAGACGTAGTAAGCGAGCAAGCCAGCGCTCAGCAACAGCAGCGTGCCGCAGCACCCACGGGCCACCGACTGCTCCGCATTCTCTTTCTTAGTGTATCGCTCGACGAAGCCGGACTGAGAAACAAAAAGAGACACCGGGAGCGGGTCTGAGCCAGTGTGAACCGAGCCTAGAGCAGGGCTAGTGGGTCAGTCAGGGCTCCCCGGCCTTTTTACAGCCCGCTATAACAACACCAACAACAACAACAAATTTCATTTATATTTAGAAAAATCCTCGCATTTGATACAGCTCCTTATCCGTCGTCGAGACGTCTCAAAGCGCTTCACAGGATATACAGTGAAGCGCAGTGACTGCGTGTTTTTGCGGGCGAAACACAGCAGCCAATTGCGCCCAGCGACGTCCCCACAAACAGTTGTTTTGAAGGAGTATTACCCCAGAAAGCCGTCCGCCAATCGGCCATCAAAGGTAAACAAATGCCTGCGGGGTAAGTAAACATGCCCCACCCGGGAATCGAACCAGGGTCCTCTCGTTTGCGAGGCGAGCTCGCTAACCACTACCCGGTGGGACTCCAAAAATAATTCCACCAAACACAGCTGTGCTGCTCAAATTGAAATGGCGCTGACAGACCTCTCACCAACGAAATGATTTGTACGCGGCAACATTGAGTCAAAGCTGCTAAATGTGTAACGCGGTGGACACGCGGGCTGACAAAATAACTTTGCTCAACTCTAGCGTCAAAGAGAGTGTTACTGTGCAGAGTGCAGGCGTGTGGGGGGGGGGAGTGCGGTGGAAATGAGTGGGGTCTAAAATGTAAGGTTTCTAGTAGGTTTCCTTACTCCGCACGCCTCTGTTTGCCGAGCAGTAAGTATGAACCCAGTTGTTAGTCGATTGGCGCCGAACGCTTTCCAGGGGTGTAATAAATCCCTTCAAAAAAAAAACGATGATAATAATTTGGTCACTCAATCCACGACCGTTTGTGGGGACGCTGCTGTGCGCAGTTGAGCGCTTTGAGACGTGCCAATGGCGTGATAAGGCGCTGTATCGATTGCAAGGATTATTATATTATTCCCTGTGTTACAAATTCCTGTGCAACTCCAGAACAGACGGACAGACAGACAGACAGAGAGCTTTCCAGCAGTCGCAGCCTGTGAATTGTGAGCGCTGTTTCCCAGAAGATATTTACGGGTTCACTTTGGCGACAGCCGGTGTGTTGTGAGTGACTGTTGCACAGCTGAGTTGCTGGGTTCGCTGATGTGTACTGAGCCACAAATAGTCCAGTCCAGTCCAGCTTGGAAGACGGCCAAGGCTGCCTGCCTGAGAGGCAAGCAGATAGGGCCAGCTCCCCTCAACCTCGCTGTCCAACGATCACTCGCCAGCCATCACTCACTTGCCTTTATATATCGTGGCCTTCACGTGGGGGCAACATCTTGTGGCTCTTAACAGTGACGGAGCCTGACACGTAGTAGCCGGAGGAGGGGAGAGGGAGAAAGGAACTGACCGGAAGCACGGTCGAAGAGGAAGGTCCTCAGGCGAAGGAAAGCAAGAGGGGAAAACGCAAGGGGATTGAGAGAGAAACTCCCCAGATTTCTGGGCATTAGTGCATTGAGACGAGGAGTGAGTCAGCGAGTGACGTTTTATTGCCCAACTTTGGGGCTTGTGTCCTGTTACTCACCCATCCTCCCTTATCTACGATGTCCGGACACACCTTGGCTTCCACGTACTGTCCCACCCTCACCTCGAGCTCCTCCAGCACCGACCCCATCCCGTTCTCCTGGCAGTAAATGGCCATCTGTCCGGCCAGCACGTAGATGGAGAGGATCCCACTCCAGGTCAGTCGCTTGCGCTGCCAGGACTCCTCCGGCTGAAAATGCTCGTCCAGGATCTTGATCAGGAAGTCGCAGGCGTTGTCCAGCCGGACGTCCCTGAAGATCCGTGGCCAGCGCTTGAAGAAGATGGGATATTTCCCCATCAGGTCGGTGCCAGCGTGGCGGAGCGCTGCGGAGGCTGGGCTGGGAGCTGCCTTCGTGGTCCTGCCCGTCACAAAGCTGATGTAATCCCTCGACATGACATGGGCTTCCGTCACCACAGGGTCCTCACACGGACCCCCGGACACCTGAGCAGGGAACAGCCTCAAGAACATTGACCCCTCTTGTCGCTCTCTCTTCTCTCTCTCGCTCTCGTGCTTGTGTGGCAACCGGACCCACGAACAACTGACCCACAACTCACTGAAGGGTCTAAAAATAACCTGGACATTGAGCATCGAGGCGACAGGACTGTATAAATACCTTTGGCCTAATATCAGGATCTGGGTTTCAGAGACGGTCAATGACAAACACTGCAATGTGTCAGGAAAAGAACTTGCTTTTTTTTTTAAAAATAGAGCCAATAAATCTCACAAGGGCTTTACAGGCATTCCCTTGACATCTCGTGACCAGGAGGGTGGGGCGGGGGGGGTTGTACACAAACACACAGAACATATATTGTAAAGTGGATTGACTGTGTATTTTGTGGGCGAAATGTGCGCAGAGTCGTGGATTGAAGTGATTATTACCCCCGGTAAAGTGATCCGCCAATCGACTCACAACCGGGTTCCTACTTACTGCCGGGTGAACAGAGGCGTGTGGAGTGAGGAAACTTGCCTAAGGTTTCACCCTGACTCGGGTATCGAACCCGGGTCCTCTCGCTTGCGAGGCGAGCGCTCTAACCATTGCACAACAGGACTCCATCTTAGCGAGTTCAAAATCCCGAGGTGGGGGCTTGAACCCACCTTCTGACCCAGAGGTGAGCGAGCCGGGCTGACACACACACACACACACACACACACGCGTGTATATCTGAACGTAGAGAGCGAGGTCTTCACAGTTTCATCTGCCACCGAGGCCTGGGAAAGTCAGGCCTTGTTTATACTCTTGATCCCAGAGATTAGGGAGGAAAAATGTGTCTTGTAAACGCGATAATGATCACAATTTGCTTTAGACGCGGCCATTGGCCCATCTGCTGCGATGCTGCAGTGACAGAACATGAGAATGGCCACAGCCCACACACATACACACGATATCTCAGGTTTGTTTTTCCATCCAGCGCGTCGTCGCTCTAACGTGAGACCGTCTGTCGCGGCACCAGCTCCTGAGGACAATCAGACTCTCGGACCGGAGCTTAGTAATCCTGGCTTTCGATACAGGCCTTATCGCGTCTTCCAAGACGTCTCCCAGCGCAGCACAGGACACACCGGAAAGGGAATCGACTGTATGTTTCTTCATCAGCTTCACTGATACAGACAGTGGCTGACGTGAGGGTCATCCTGCAAGTGGTTGATAATATAAGACTGTTGTTGCACACGGAACAGCCCTGACCAGAGATCGCAGACAGCCTGGGCTGGGGGGGGGGGGGGGGGGGGTAGGGGCTGGAACATACTGTATTTCTGACTTTTTTTTACCCCCCCCCACCCCCCTGGCGTTTATTCTCCCTCCCGCCCACCATCCCCCCGTCCTGCCCTTTAACATAAACCGTCTGTTTGTGCAGGTTTCGCAGTGAGGACAAAGGAATCGTCAGTGTATTTAAACAAATGCAAGTTGCAGTGTCAGAGAGATTAATGCAAAACACACACACAGGAACAGGCTGCTTCTTGTCAAGGGCACGTAAGGTAATTACCTCACTTGGAAAGAACTGAGCTTATCTGAGAATCTGCACACTGCCCCTGACAGTGATATGACAAACTGACTGACTGACTGAGTGAGTGAGTGAGTGAGACACTGGAGCCTGTGCACAGGGGGCAGGTTAGTCTCTGAGCAGCTTCCTGTTTCGGTACTAATGCCCCAGGAATTCATTTTCCTTTTATGGTAAAAAGCAAAGTCGAGGCAGCCAGAGAGATTGACCTGAGCGCGAGGAGTCATATCCCAGGAGCCGCTCTGAGGCACTGCCTGCTGAATGCTGGGGCTTTCAGGGGAGGCACGTTAGTGCAACACAGCTTCACGGCTATGGACAGACCTCTGAATGCGCAGCACTGAGCTCAGCAACAAAGACAGGTAAGAGGGAGGGTGGGAGGCCGTCTAATGGATTGGGTTAATGGGTGACAAGGTTTAAGCCAATACAGATAATGCACGGCATGGCGTTCCCGCCAGTAAACACGGGTTACTTGCGGCCAGCATTGATGGAGATTGGCAGCCAATCGCACACAATAGTGTCCCCCAAACAGTTATGGATTGAGTGACCAAATTATTATAATTTTGGTTTTTGGAGAGATTATTACCCCCGGAAAGCGATCTGCCGTTCGACTAACAACCGGGTTCCTACTTACTGCGAGGTAAGCAGAGGCGTGCGTGTGGAGTAAGGAAATTTGCCTAAGATTTCGCCCTGACTTGCCCAGGAGTCGAACCCGGTTCCTCTCGCTTGTGAGGTGAGTGCTCTAACCACTATGCTGCGGGACTCCAGTTCAGAGCAAGTAATAGAACAGACCCATAAGGGCAGAAGGTTCAAGATGGGAATATAGAGTTGGGAAGATCACATTGTTGGGTGAAGTGAGACTGGAGGGATTTAAAGACTGGAACAAAAAGAGTTTAAACATAATCCTCTGACGCACTGGGAGCTATTGGCACTTGGGATGTTTGGGAGTGATGTGATGGGCATGTGAAGACTTGTGCAGGAGAGAATCTGAGAACCTGGGCTGCAGAGGTTCTGCACCACTGGAGACTGGAGCTGAAGAGGAAGTCAGAGGAGAGCATTGGGAAAATGAATCCTTGAAATGACAGGAGAATAATGATCCTTGTGTTGGATATAGCATCTTATCACGTCTTCAAGACGTCTTAAAAGTGCTTCGCGCAATATACTGTAAAGTGAATTAACTCTGTGTTTTGTGGGCGAAACCCGGCAGCCAATTGCGCACAGCAGTGCCCTACACACAGTCGTGGGTTGAGTAACCACATTTTAAAAAAAAATTTTCTTTGGAGAGATTATTACCCCAGAAAAACAATCCGCCGATCGACTAATAACCAACCGGGTTCTTACTTACTTCTGATAAACGAGGGTTGCCTAGCAATATAAGCAAGGGTTTCTGCAATGGGTGGGTGGGGAGAGGGAAGTCAGGTTAATATTTAACTGAAGGGACCCATGGAATCTGAGCCAATTGCTGACACCCAATTAAGGCTGGATTTGAGAACGTTCCAAAGTTGTGCACAATTTTAACACAATGGCCTTAAGGCTGAGACGTGAGAATTTCGAATGAGGAGCAGGAAACCCGGTTGATTTTCCACGTCTCTAACCCCTCTGCTGCAGCCCAAGCCATTGCCCAGGCTGACTCAGCACAGAGCAGGAATTGAACCTGCCACCTCACCTGGGTGGCCTGTGTATTCACCAGCTCCACGCCCTTTGAACACAATCTTCTGCAGCTCCAGGGTTTGTCTCATGACTTGGTAATTACTGCCCATAAGTGAGAGTTTATTGCAGATCAAATGACATAGACTGTATTAAGCCGATTAATGCCTTCGGGGCTGAAGGAAGGTTTCCGTGCCTGAATCAACTCCTTTGAAGTGAAATAGGCTGCACATCGGCAATAGCTGTCTGCGTGTATGTGAAAGTTTGTGTGTATGAAGAAATCAGTGTCTGTATGTGTGTAAATGAATGAGTGTGTGTGAGAGATCGTATGTTTGTGTGAGCGAGTTTACACAGCGCCCGTCATGTAAATTGGACCTGGGAGTACTTTACAATGGTGGGGGGTGGATGGCAAACGGGTGGGGGGAGGAGGGGGGGAGTGATAGGTCAGAGCCATAAGTTTTCAAAAATTACAGTCGCTACACTTCACAATATTTAGAGGCATAGAAACAGGAGGCCATTCAGCCCCTCGAGCCTGTTCCCCCATTCTATGAGATTGCGGCTGATCTGTACCTCAACTCCAATTACCGGCTCTTGCCCCTGAACTAACAAATATCTATCCACCTCAGTTTTGAAAGTCATTTACCATGAAGCCTTCTGAGCCTTTCGAAGTTGGCTTTGGAGCGTCTGAAATTAGGTAAAACAATCGCTCCGAGTCGCCGTTCGGCTTGAAGTTGTTGCTGTATTTCGGGCGCTGCAAAGGTTTGTCTATGTCACATTTTCGGGATTGGTGATCGGTTTACTTGCTGAACGAGTGTAGTGGGAAGCTGATCAGCCGACTGACCCTGACCCCCCCCCCCCCCCCCTCTACCTGTTTTGCCTGATTTCAGACATTCCAAAGTCAAGATGTCTCAGACAAGGAAAGTCAGCTCGGTTTACATCCGGCTCGTGACTCCTGGCACAATCTGTGCCTCAAAGACATACAGCTCTCTCGAGGCTTCAAAGGCAGACTATAAGCCAGGCTCCTCCGCATCCGAGGACAAGGTCTACACCAATGGACACGGAAGCAGGGCAACAGCAACCAGAGCGGCCTCCACCCCAACAGCCTTTAAAGCTGCTAACGGAGGTAAGAAACAACAACAACAAATTACATTTGTATAGTGCCTTCACATCGGGAGGACATCCTAAGGCACTGGACAGTCAGGGATTTGGACCCGAGTTAGGGGTTGGGATCAGGAGGGGTGAAGGGCTGGGAGGGTAGGGGTAGGAGGGTGCCTGAAGGCGCGGTTGAAGAGGAGGGTCTTGAAACGAGCCTTGGAGGAGGTAAGGGAGGCAAAAAGATTTGCAGGCATCTCAAAGCGCTTCACAGAATATTCACGGGAGTGACGGGTGTGGATCCACGTGGAGATACATAAAGAGGCAGCGAATCAAAAGAAGCAAAGTTGTGTGTTCACTTCTCATTCCGTGTGTGCCCTTTATTTGCAGATTTTTTGCCCCTTCCTCCTCCTCCCCCTCCTCCTCCTCCTCCCCCTCCCCCTCCAGTGAACGAATGGAATGCTCTCCAGCCTGGGGAGCTGCCACTTCCTCCCCCACCCTCTCCCTACCGCAGGGAGGTGCAGGCACCCTTCGGACTCGACTATACTCCCACCAGACTGAAGGCCCCGGGGCTCGGAACATCTCCAGCCGAGCAGGTAGGACACAGATTAACAATAAATTACACTTGTGCAGTGCCCTTCACGTCGGAAAGACGTCCCAGGGCGCTGGATAATCAGGGGTTTTGTCCCCGAGCTGGGAGTTGGGGTCAGAAGGGGAGGAGGGCGTTGTGGGGTAAGAGGGTGGCCGAAGGCACAATCGAAGTGGAAGGTCTTCAGACGGGACTTGAAAGAGGCAAGAGAGGGAGTGAGGTGGAGGGATTGCGGGATAAGAGTTCCAGAGTGTGGGGACAGAGATGCTGAATGCCCGACTGTCAATGGTGGGAAGGGAAGTGCGGGGGACCTGAAGCAGCTGGTGTCAGCCGAGCGGAGGGAGCGGACAAGCTGATATGGGGTTATGAGGTCGGGGAGGTGGGGGGAACAAGACCGTGGAGGGCCTTGAAGGTAAGAATGAGGGTTTTGTTCTCGATTCCCTAAGGAACGGGTAGCAAGTGAAGCGGGGAATAACGGGGGTGATAGGTTCCCGGAGCCTGGTGCGGGAGAGGACACGAGCTGCAGGGTTCTGAATAATCTGCAGTTTGTGGAGGGAAGAGTTGGGAAGTCCAATGAACAGGCAAAACTGTGAGTTAATTCACTTTGCTCTCTCCTTAGATGCTGCCTGACCTGCTGAGTGTTGCCAGCGACTTCTCATCCCATTCCTGTTCTCTTTCCTCTAGCCTCGCTCTGCAGCCTCTGAGCCTGAGGGATATCGAGCTCGGACTGCGGACCACACACCAGGGAATTCTCCGTCACTGAAACCAGAGAGCAGCTTGAATGGATTACCCCAGCCAGGTATGGACCAGCAAAAAATGCCCGAAATATGAAATATGGGTGCGATAGTTTTTAAGACTGTGTTGGGGGAGAATAATTCTCAAGATGGTGTGTGGGAATCTGTAGTGTGGAGTCCCCGTAGCGTAATGGTTAGCCCACTCGCCTCGCAAGCTAAAGGACCTGGGTTTGATTCCCGGGCGGGGCGAAACGTTAGGCAAGTTTTGTTACTCCACACACTTCTTTACCCAGCAAAGGAACCCGGTTGTTAAGCCGATTGGCAGATCGCTTTCCGGGGGTAATAATCCCTTCAATCCACGACTGAGTGCAATTGGCTGCTGCGTTTGATCCACAAAGTACAGTCAAATCCATTTTACAGTATATTCTGTGAAGCGCTTTGAGACATCCCAACACCATGATAAGGCACTATATCAAGCGCAAGGATTATTATTATTATTATTAACCTGGCTGGTTGTGAGGAGGGGGTTTCTTGCGTGTGGGTATGTGTGTGTCCATGTGCATGTGTGGGGTAGTTGGTTGGTTGAAGCCGCTCTCTGTAAATTCTCTTGGGTTTTGTCTCCTAGAGATCTGTGGCTATTGCCAGCAGGTGATTCCACTGATCGTCCCCGCTGTCCAGGCTATGGGCCAGTTGTTTCACGAGGATTGTCTGAAGTGTGGGAAATGCCAATGCAGACTCATTGGCAAGACTTACTACAACTTGAAAGGCATTCCTCACTGTGATCCCTGCTATCAGGTACTGTTCATCCTCACCCCTCGGGCATGAAAACCCTTGAGTTTGCATTAACTTTTTACATCCCCCCCTCCTCCTGACGTGAAAGGCCCTGTGTAGATATAATTTGTTGTTGTCGTTAAACCATAGGACACTCTGGAGAAATGTGGGAAATGCGGGAAGAAGCTGGTGAATGAAATCATGAGAGCCCTGAACATGGCCTTCCACCCCGAGTGTTTCACGTGTGTCGTGTGTCACAGACCCATCGGGAATGAGCGTTTTGGACTGAACGAGGCTAACGAGATCCATTGCATCCGAGATTTTCAGAGGTACGTATGTACGTCACATGTCATTGGAGCTCAAGGACCTGCAGTTGTGATCCACGGGGCCCTGGTTTAATGCGCGACATTGGTATGTGACGGTGCTTGGTGTCATGGTGGACACACGGAACCTAGTGCAGGAGACAATACAAGTTGCAGAATTCTGCAATGGTGTTTGGAAATTCAGTGAGGAGAATTTGACCACTCTAGAGGTGTATTTATATAGCGTTTTTCATGCTTGATAACGTCTCAGAGCATTTAAATATAAATCTAGATAAAGACGCGAATGAGGGATTCAGTTGTGTTGCGGGTGAGTTCGGGATGGAGGTCGAAGGAATTGCAGAGGGAAAACGAGCATTTGTTGTTGTTGCTATAAAGCGGTGGCTTAGGGTTTGAAAGAGAACAGGTCAATAGGACAATCAAGGTTGCACCCTGCCTTTGGACCTCGCTGCGTGTAAAAATGGCGGCTGATTTTGCTTACACAAACAGCCACTATGCTTGACAATAATCACTGTAAAGCGCCGGGACCTGTCGGGCTGCACAAAAATAAAAGTTAAGTTCTTGTATTTATTCCGCTACGGTATAAAGATGGTATGGGGCTGCGATACCATTTGCTGACAGCATGTGGGACTGTTGTGCTACCGAAAGATACTGAGCTGGTTATAAATTGGCTTCCTCTGAGCATCAGGTTTGACAGAAGAACACAGTATCGAGAAGAGCTTCCTGTTTGTTGCATTGTTATTGCTTCCGACAATCTATCTGCAGGCTCTCCGCAATATGTATTATTTTTATTCACGCAAACTTGCCTTTTTTTTCTAACAAAGACAATTCACGAAATGTAGCGCGAAGGTTGGTTTTATCCAATAAATGGAGCAGCCATTTTGAACGCAGCAAGGTCCCACAAACAGCCGACCTTTTCCCCACCTTATAATAATAATAATCCTTGCATTTCATACAACGTCTTATCACATCTTCCAAGACACCTGGAAACGCTTCGCAGGATATACTGTAAAGTGGATTGACTGCATTTTGTGGGAGAAAATTAATATTTATCACGTGTACAAAATCCTGACGTTTGTCCCTTTTGTTGCTACAGGAGATATGCCCCACAGTGCTCAGTCTGTAACCAACCAATTATGTCTGAGACTGAGGCAGAAGAATGCATGAACATTGAGCTGTTTGATCGGCACTTTCACATCAACTGCTACAAATGTGAGGTAAGGAGGGTCCTGTTATCTGAACTTATGTACCTGCCATCTTTCAAGCATGATGCAGTCTATGCGGGACAGAACTCATCGGGATGAATTTGTAACTTGTGGCATGTGAAGCTACGGAGACTGGTGAGGAAACAGTTACCAGGTCCGGGTGCTAAATTGTCATTGATTCACTGCAGTAAAAATACTATTTTTGGATGGTATTAACCAATTGGATGCTTATAGATGTTGACTTTAGACTTGCAACATCCGATGTAATCCTAAAGCAAATCAATACACTCCACAAGGCAAATTCAAGCACTCTGTGAAACCAGTTTCAGAATCATTCTGGCAATATGGTTTGACCACTGGATCCTGGGAGGAGTTAGCGTGGTGAGAACAGGAAGGGTTCAGCAGGGAAACCTTTACAGTCCAGGAAGCACACAATCTGACAGGAAACCCATGAGGACATCAACACACTCCAGGTGGTGAGTTGTGTTCCCGAGATACACAATGGGTGTCACCTCTCTGTGAAAAGGACAGTCCTCCCGTACACAGGCACTGATGTGTGGAGAGAAGTTTAAAACTGCTTAGGTTGAAAGGCAGGTGGCACCCACTAGACAGCCCATTGCCCAGGAGGAAGAGAATCTGATCCTCTCACTCCCAGACTCACATCCATCTTTCAGTTAAACTAAGTGAAGCTATACCGCAGGCCTCACCGTCAGTCAAAGTGAAACGCCAGTCCACAGGTGTTTTAAAGAACGACGGAAAACCCGATTGCAAATTAAGGCTGAATTTAAGAATTTTCCAAGGCCTTGCTCAGTGTTACATTTTAAGGCAACGGTTGGTCTGAAGGCTAAGATTGTAAGGATTTGAATCTCTACATTGTAAACAAGATATTAAATGTGCAAAAATAATCCATGTGACCTTGAACAATAGGCTGATGGAGCAGCCATTTATATCATGTGCTGTCACAAGCGGCCGATTCCTACACTGCGTGCATTGTTTACACAGGCCAACGTTAATAGTGCATCTATTTAGTTCTATTTTGAAGGATTTACTGTTAGTATTTTGAGTAGATGCTGGTTTCTTTAGTCCCAAATTTGCCTGTACTTCATGCGAAACAGGTGATACAGTGGTGTGTGCAGGTGCTGCTCAGGTTAGCCTGCGAGCATGGCTTCAGCACATAGTTTCAAAACTTTCTCTAGTGTTAAAATCAGGGTCCTACAGCTCCATCAGAATTAATGGGGCCTAATTTATGGTGTATTGTAACAGGTTTCCTTACTAAGGAATAAGATTGGATTTCCAGTTGACGTGGAGGTGAGGGCATGGGGAAAGAATCTGCACCACAAATAGATCTTGGCCGTGCAAGGTTCCCACGAGCGGTTTGCCTGGACATATTTCTGGGAAAGGGAAGGAGTCCCCATTTGTGATGTTCTTTATTAGGGAATCCCATTAGAATTGCAAGTTAGACCCAGGTAACACCTGCCTGCTGGACTCTGACTATTACCACGTGTTCTCAGCAAAAGTAATACTGACAGTGCAGACGCTCTTTGTTTGCTACCATTATAGCACTAAGCTCCAAATAATTTGACTGTCTTAATGGTGGGCAGTTGTGTGGGGAAAAACATACAGTAAAAATTCATTTTGTTCATATTTGACCAGTTCCTACGCACATCTCTATTAATCCATCTGAAGAATTACCTCTCACCCAGGTTTATTTCGAGAAAAGTGAATAAAAAGGGGGAAAAAAAATGATATATAGCAACCTAATCTGTTTATTTTCCCACGGAGATAATCCTGATTGTGACCTGACTGTGGCTTCTCCTTTTATACTTAATCTCCTGGAGGAGGTAAGTGACTGCAGGGAAAACTCCCAAACACTTATGAAATCCTTCCTCACCCCAAAGGCAATTGAGTTAATATGTGGAGTATTAATCTAACATCAACACCTGTGTTTTTAGGCCAGTTCCCTCTCCGCCCTCAATGCAACCACAGTGAGGTCAGACTACCCAAAGCCCTCGCTGTTAAATTTCACCCTCACATGACCAACAAATTCACAAAAATAAGCTTTAGCTTCTTTGGTTTAATTCTCGTCCCTAAGTCAGGAGCTTGTGGATCTAAGCCTCTCATTGCAACTTTGAACACAAAATCTGAGCTGACACTTCAGCACAAGTTGGGAGGTGGATGTTAAAGTTCCCACAGCTCTATTCAGAGTTTCTCGCAGTGTCCTGGCCAACAAACCATCAGATAAATTGTTAAATTTATAACTGTTTAATGGGACCTTGTGATGTGCAAAATGGCTGCCATGTTATCCTACAGAAAACACATGAGAATAATTACTTTAAAGAGCTATAGATACTATAAACATACAAGTTCTTTCCTTTTTCTTCTAAATCTAAACCTTTCATTCCTACCAATTACTGTAAATCAGGCTAAATTTGCTAACTGAATCAGGCAGTTTATCTGAACGCCTCCAACATCACTGTAAAGTTGAAGCTTCACTACTTCCTCCTAACATGTCTCTTGGTGGATGAGTCATCTTTTGTTCAGGAACCAGTGTTTCCAGCTGCACCAGAAAGGCAGCTCTTAAAGAAACACTGTAACTGCTCTTTAAAGCACTGTATAGATTAGCTAGGCCTCCGCAGGGGGAAACCGCTAGCCTCAGTGACTTGGACAACCTTCCCTGTACCATGGGTTTAAAACTGTGGTATTTCTCAGCCTAATTCCTCAATAAGGAACCTCAGTGTTACAAAGTGAGGACTCCTATTAACCAGAGATGCCACACGTCAGACCAGTCCTGTGAGAAACTCTACCTCAATGCAATCTACTTTCAAATCAGTGTTCCAACTGGTTGTCAAGCAGGAATTCCTTGTTAAACTGGCTGAGAAATGCCACTACACAGGCTCCGATATTAACCAAATAAGTGGAGTCCTGTAGCTCAGTGGTTAGATTGGAAGTAGATTGCATTGAGGTAGAGTTTCTCACAGGACTGGTACGACGTATGGCAAGTGAGAGACCTGTGTTTGATTCCCGGCAGGGGGTGAAACCTTGGGCAAGTTTCCTTACTCCACTCGCCTGATAATAATCCCTCAAGAAAAAAAACAATAATAAATTAGTCACTTCAATCTACGACTGTTTGTGGGACACTGCTGTGCTCAATTTGCTGCCGCATTTCACCCACAATTTTTTTTATCAATTCACTTTACAGTCTATTCTGTGAACTGCTTTAAGACCTCTAGAAGACGTGAAAAAGTTCTATATCAAGTGCAAGGATTATTGTTACCAAGCGAAGTCTCTACAAACAATGACACCTCTCTTTACACACATCACTTTGAAGTTTCAGTTTGCTCCAGTCTTGAAATGATGGATCTCTGAAGCTTGTCTGTGACAGGCTTTGGACAGAAGCTGTTGTACTTTCAGTGTGGCCTTGCTGTCAAGATCCCTCCTAACTGAAACCTACCAGGGTGAAATGTTTTAAGACTCACTGGTTCTATTACTGAAATGGTCAAGTGTTGCAATCCTCAAGCAAATTGCAACAGACTTAACGTTGCTACACTAAAGCTGCTAAAAGCAACTTCCACCTTGGAGGAAAGTGCAATAGTCAAGTCATAGAAGGAAACAGGCAATGCAGGTCAGACAATAAGGCTGTAGGCGGAGATTGCAAAAAGTAGGGAGGTTGGGCAAGGTTTGTGAGATCATGAACACAATCCATTGGGAAACGGAGCCACTGGAACTTGGCAAGGGCGAATGGGCACAGTGTGGAAGAGGATACTGTCTGCAGATTTCTGTATGAGCTCAAGCTTATGAAGGGTGGAGCAAGGACAGCCAACAAGGAACGGATTAAATTATTTTTGATGTACAGTAGGTATGAGTGATTAATGTGAAGAGGAGAGACTTAACATTTAGTCAGAGCATTTAGTGAAAAGCAGTGTGCTAAACAGGGGCTGATCAAATATCTGTGTGGTGACAGAACAGAACATGATAATTGGCATATTACTAACCAAAACTTCAGAGAATGCTTTTTCTAGTAAATTTTTATGTTGTCTTGTTTACAGAAATGTGGAATTCTCCTGTCTCCTGATCCTACAGATGAAGGGTGCTTTCCACTGGGCAATCAAATTCTCTGCAAGACTTGCAATTGTCAGTGTGCCAGAGGTGAAGTTCCATACTCATGATTCGAGTGGAGTTGAAGTGGAACACAACCTGTGAACTGCTGGAGAATTTGATACCATTTGCGCACTTCATACATCTCAACTGCACCATTTTGCTTCATTCCAAAGGTTTACATTATAACAATTCCAGCAGAGCTTCACCATCCAGCTACTCATTTAAGCTTCTCACAAAATCCTTTAATAGAATATTTTGCTTTAGTCAGCCACATGGAAACCCCACCCGTTTAAGGTTATCTGAACCAGACACGAGTTCAAGCCCACATAAGCATGTGTGTGGATTCTATAGAATCAGTGAAAAGGGAACTGGGTGAGTGAGTACCTGAGAAGTAAAAACATGAGGGTAGTTGTGGAAAGAGTTGGAAAATGAAATTTATAAAAAAAACTTAAGAAGATATGCAGGACAGGCCAAGTGACCTCCTACAGGGCCAAAAATTTCTATATCTCCACCTGTAAATCCCATAACATGAATTATTTTAGTTGATAGGAACTTGTTGAATTGCTTTATAAAGCCATTTGTGGTTCCATTGCTTGCGTGGTACTTTGTTCCTGTGACATGACTATGGCTTTGACTATATCTGTGTCTGGGCTGGTCTTTTTTCCTTCCTCAATTTTAATTTCACTCGGTTGTTTGTGAGACTTTATTGGTGTTATGTTGTTATGAATGTTATGTTTCCTTGGGTTTGCATGCATAACATTCTATATTTTATACAATTTTATTATTTCCAGATCATCATCCCATTTTTTGACTTGTTTCATTTGGGTTCCGTCTGCCTTGCCATTCTGTCTGACTCCTGGTTATCCTGTGTTATATTCCCCTTCCAACCCAAAGTGACCCCAAATATCAAATAAATTGTCTGCTCATCCCATTGTTGCTTATGAGACTGGTGCTGATTAGCTGCCATGTTTGCCTATGTACTGTAAAACATTCACTGCATCTCTAATGAATTATACTTTGGAAAGCACTTCAAAATGTTTGGTTTTATGTGAAAGTTACTACTGTATATAAATGCAAATTAACATCCTTTTGACTAAATATTTCTCTGGCATTTCCTATTTTTATGTTGTTATTTTGAATTTTAACAACAGAAAACATATTTGAAACAACATTTCCAACCCTGGAAATCTGGAACTCTCTCCCCCAAAAGGATGTGGATGCTGGTTCCATTCACATCTTCAAGACTGAGGTGGATAGATATTTATTAGGTCAGGGTATCAAGGGATAGGGGGCAAAGGTGGATAATTGGAGTTGAGGTACAGATCAGCCATGAATTGCGGAATAGACTCGAGGGGCTAAATGGCCTACTCCTGTTCCTATGTTTCTCCCCATACTCATGATATTAAATGTGTAAACATGTAAATGTGCCAATAGCTTGGTGTGTGACTGCCATTTAATTTGGTAATGAACTTTATAAACTAGAAAGATCTGTTCTATCAGGACATTCTCAGCTAGGATCGTGATGACCATTGGCCACAGCAACTCCCAAGATTTGGTGATTGAGAGAAGGGTGAGTTTCAGTCAGAGTTTGCTAACTATTCAATAACCATTAAAGGAGTTCATCTGTATCCTAGATGAATATAATATGGCAGGCTTGGCTGAGACTACAGCTCAGAGATTATTCCCATTCCCATAAAACAATGCCCATCCCAACCAATAAAACAACTTATTCACTAGAAAAGTTAAGGGAGGAGAATAAAGTTATTAACTGTAATATGTTTAATACAGTCAAACATCTAGACCAAGGAAGACACAGCAAGATGAACTGCAATGCTAATTTTTGATCATGTATATTACTATGTAACCCAAAATCCTCACACAGAAATACACACTCACAAAGCAACCTTCTTCCCAACCAATTTTCCAATAAGTCCCTCCAGAAAGATTCAATTCCAAAAACACCAATGGTACAATCAATTGATACCTAACTGGAGGGGAATATATAGTAAAATGTTATTCAGTTCCGCTCATGTGTGGGATGAATTCTGTATTTAACTCTATAATATACAAACAAAATTAGATTACAGTATTTATCACATGATCAAGCTTATTCTTCCAGGTACGAAACTACATAAGTGTTTACAAAAGTTTACTCTCTATATCATTTGCTTCTACTGCTACATAAATTACAGAAATATTACTTATATACCTTCACAATACTGTACACAATGCCACAACTATCTGCTCACAAGATGCCCTCTATACGTTGCTACCAAATTAAACGTTTACAATACGTTAAGTAAAAGACAAACATAAACATTTACTAGTTTCAACAAATTACTTTGATACATTTTTTATGATCTTCAAAAATTTTGTTTCCCATAGACATAAGGCTATTAAAAGTGGTCAGATTGAACAATTGCCAGAATAAACTAGTGTAACCATAGCAAGTGAGGCATTATATTGTCTTAGCACAAAAATGGCACTACACCAAGCAAGAAGTAGTATCCTTGAATTTTAAATAGTTATTATTGATCACGTCCTCACCATGCTATCTTCCACCTTTTCCCCACATACTCAAAGGAAGCAAATATGTGATGAAAGGAAATCCCTTATAAATCATACCAATTTCAAATCATGAAGCTTGATGCTCAAAGACAATGTTTATAGACTAATGTTCCGAAATACAGATGGTTCTAAGCATCTATCATTATGAAGGGATCCTGCAGACAAATATAAGGAAATCCTGTATTAAGTTTGTGTTTTAAATTATTGAATGATTTTGGCAGTAGAATTTGTTTTCAAATAAGGAACAACACACCAAAGGCAATGCCTGTTTTGGATCCAAGGGAACCAGAAGTACTTTCGTCAGGTAGGAGTGAATTTAAGTGCTTTCAGAAGAATAACATTAAGTATTCTGAGCACAGCAGGTTTTGTAACTTGGTATCTGATGGGTGGAGCTGTTAAAAGGCAATAGGCTGCACTTTTCAAGGTTGAAATCTCAAGAAGCATGTTTAAGCTACTGAGGTGAAATTGGTTTTAGGCAAAAAACGTTACTAGGGCAAGTTGTGAAAATTGTCTAAAATTATCCCAAGGTCTAGTTCTGTTGAACAACCCGTTTCCCTGCTGTTTTCCTGTGTTGTATCATTCTATGTCATTGTTGAGTATAGGGATATAGAAAATTTTAGTCTAGCTGAAGAATCAATAGGTTACCTTATTTGCCCCATTCATCCATGTCTGTTATTTTAGTTACAGCTACAATGCAATTAATAAAATTATTCCAAAATACAGCACTCAGAAACATTGTGAGGGTAGCAAATTATCAAATCATTCATGGGCCAGTCAGAATACCAGTCTAGCAAATGATCACACCTTAAATACTATGTAATGAAACTGCCAATTATTTTACAGTAATAGACATGTATAAAACAGCACAAAAACGTGTAACCAGAAACGTATTAAATTTATTTTTTAGAACTGAACAGTATTTTCCTATTAAATAATGTATTCCTATAAATTATGACAAATCTTGGGGCTACCTAGCATCAGTACTCCCTTTGCTGAGAGAGCAAGTAGCATTATCCAAGACTACCAAAAATTCCTACCGACTACCAGTCACAACTGTACATCTGATCTTTTCTCCCCTACAACCTTCATTCGATGCCGCTCAGGTTAGGAATGGAATCTACATCGATCTCCAAGTGTACAAGCAAGTTCTAGAGCACTAATGCTGGAACCCTTCACTGGCTCCATTTCTATCACCTTTCCGAGATAGCACACTGAGCAGGACAAACACATGATTTTGAGCATGTCATTTTGAGCAATATAACTTCAGGTGCCACCAGAAGATCTCAAAGCAGGATTTAGACACATAACAGAAAAGAGTAATTTCTCATCCTAAATGGCATATTACGCTTTATTCTGTGGAATAATAGCTGACTTAAAAGTATAAGCAGGTGAGAACAAATTAGTTAATCAGATCATGAAGCAGGTTTCTTCATGTCAATTACAAGTCTAGCAAACACTTCCTCTTTACTCTGGTCATATAACCAAAGAGTTGTTTACTCTTAAAACATAATCCATTAACATTCTTGGATCTCATTACCCCTCTATTAAAACAATTCCACGAAACTTGTTTTCCTCTCTTTACCAAATAATTTATTTTCTTAGCAACTTAACTTTGAATAGGGGAGGGTTGGGTTCTGTCAACATTTGAATCCTGCTTCCATATCAGCCCTTCTTGCGTTCATTGATAATATTACAAGGTCAGGAAGCTCTTACTCCATTTTATTGAAACCATTATGCTCATTGCTCTCCAAAATTCCTTTCTTTTTCTTCCCAAGTTCCAAATAAGTTGTTTTACATTTGCTGTATTCTGCGTTGCAATAAAAAAATGCACCATCTCGTCTAACCTTTCCCAAGACCTGCAGTGTGAAACTCCTCGTCTCCTGCAGTCTTCCCTTTTTCTACAATCTACAGGATTTCTTAAACGTACTCCGCTTTTCTTCAATTTTGGTAGACTGTCCCCTTCCAACCTTCAATAAATGTTAGCTATGATTTAATAAATATTCAGTTGAACCACATACCCAAGAAACTCTTAAAACTGATCTTATTGGTTTTTGTAATCTCTGCATCACACTTATTGGAAAAGATTGATAATGGGTTCCATGGACATGACCATCAGTTAATTGTACAGATGTATTAGGTTTTAGGGTTTACATTTCTAGGTAGAGACTATTATTTGCTTTATCTCTTAGTAAATAGAACATGTTAAAAACAAAGCTTTGTAAGAATGAGACTTTACAATTCAGATGAATGCTTGCGGCTGCCTCATTTCAGCAATATTTTTATTCATGGTTTTGTAAGTGTGTACACACACAGAGTTGCAATTAAAAGGCAAAACAACCCCATTTACAATTATATAACAAATGAAACCATTTCGATATATATATACATAAAAAACTTGAAAGCTAGCAACCAGTTGGTCTCCAATTTCAGAAGAAATGCATCCAGTGCATTTGCTTTCACTCGATCGCAAGTTTAAAACAAGTTATCTAACGCAAACCAAGTATTATTATTATATCTGAGGAGTAGACAGAATCCACTTGTGGCAGGGTTATTACGAATGGAGACTTCAGGCGTACTAAGCATTTTTCCAGATACGCCAAAATAAAGATGGCATATCGCTTCGGTTTGTATTCTTGGAAACGCCCAAAACAATAATTTGGGACACGTTAAATTCTAGCCGCAACGTAGTTCTGTCGAATCAACTGGATTGCTATCCAGTGGTACAGAAACATGTAGGCAGCACCTCGCAGAATTCAGATCTGTAGTTTCAGCCCAGACAAAAGCACGATGCGTATGGTTCCAGCCTCGTACACAGAGCTACTCGACAGAAATACGGAGCCATTACGGACATTTTTTTTCGCAACTTACTGCAGCAATGATATCATTTCTGTGTCTAATAAAACACCCGATTTTACAACACCAAGAAACATGAAAGCACGTGTGACCCATAGCCCATGTGGGCATTTGGGGTTGCAGATGTATGTTTGGATCTCGAAGTCAGATATCTCGTAACACAACGTTTAATGAAAATATTTTTGCTATATATATATATAGAGAGATATATGCCCTTTTTGAAGCACTTACTGTACAGTTGTATCACTACCCATCATTCTTTTGTTGTTCTTTTCCCCCAAAGAATCCTCTCGTTCTCTCCAAACTGACAAGTAATTTTTGTTTTTTTAAAAAAAACCGTAGCCTATTTTTATCGAGCTTGTGAAAAAAAAACAGTCTGTGACAGGCTGGACCCGAAGCCCGTTGATTTATTTAGCGCTCAGAAATTTTTTTTTTGGGGGGGGGGGGGGAAAGAAAACCAAACGACGAAAAAAAAACACGAAAATGGCATCTTCCAAGATGAGGCCAATTTAGCTGTGGACCGCGTGGCTTTAATTGGCTGTTACCTCCGCTATCATTTTAAGCCATAAAGTCGCGTGCATCGCTCTGATTCTCCAGCAGCGTGTGTACCCGGCGCCTCCCGGTCAAACAGACCCAAGAGCACCGCAGAGCACAAAATGGTGGACCTTTCCGTCAGCTTAAAATGGCGCCCGAGCGGACGAGGAGAAAGGGTGGTGGCGGGAAGACGGAGAAAGGGACAAAAGAGGCCCTGGAAAAAATGGTGGGAATGACGATATTCCTGTCAGGGGAGCGGGGGGGGGGGGGGGGTGAGGTTAAAAAAAAAAGGACCCATTTCTGAACGGCGGTTTTCTGGTTCTGATAGCAAAAAAAAAGAGAAAAAGGAAGAGACAAAAAAAGTTATTGGCCACAAACAAAAAGAAAGGTTTCGTTCGAAGTCCGCCATCTCCTCGGTCTCGGTCATTTCGTCGCCCCCAAAAGAGCATTTATAATCTTCCCATAATCGGTTCCTACTAAGTATTCCGGCAATTTTGTTTTGTTGTTGTTTTTTTTTAGTATGAAAAGAGGTCGAAGGTGGGGGGCGAGGGGGGAGGTGGGGTGGAAGGAGTGGGGTTTCAAAAAAAAGATACATACACACAAAAAAACCCGAAAAAAAAACCCCACACAGGTCTGTTCTTTAAGAGTGAAAACTAGTGGAAATTCCTGAGGTCGCTATACATTGCTCAGATTCCTTCCTCCTCTCTTTATTCATCCCGCTCCTGCACCGACAGCAGCTTTTTTCCAGAACTTTCCTCCCTCAGACCGACCACGGCGGGGTCTCGAGCTCGGCGCCTGCGCACTCGCCAAACTCCCAACGACTCCGCTCACTCTCTTGTGTGCCGACGCTGCAGCTTTGTCCTCGGCGGCGGCGGCGCCGGCGCTCGGGATGCCTTGCGCCTGCGCAGTTCACCGCCTCGTCGAGCCAGCGCGCGAGAGAAAAAAAAACACACGCACACGCGCGCGCACTCCCAACCGCCGCCGATCGACGCGGGTGCCGCATTTTCCGCGCGTGCGCAGTCAGCTCAGACGAGCTGGCTTTGCTGAGCCGTTTTTTTTTGGGTGGGAGGGGTCGTAACCCACGTCTGCGCAGTCGCGCGGCTCGAACATCTCCCCACCCCCCACCGCCCACGCACCCCCCCCCCTCTCCTCTCCACTCCCACCCGCACCCGCCCCCTCCGGCAGCGAGGGTGGAGCGGAGGGTTCGCCTCCGCGCGCATGCGCGCCCCGCCGAGCCGGGGCTGGCAGCGAACGCGGGGTTTTCGTGGCGCCTGCGCTCGCGCGCGGGGAGAGCCAGCGGCTTCCGCGCAGGCGCAGTGCCCGCCTGTGGTCCGCCTGGACGAACTGTGAAGCGTCTCGAGGAAAAAAAAAGCCCCGCGTCAGGTCGGGCGGCGCGAGCGAGCGAGTGTGCGTTACCTAATGGTGGGAATTTTTACCTCAAGGATTAACCCCGGACCGGACTGAGAGGAGTTTGTACCCCCTTCTTTCCTTCCTTCCTCCCTCCCTCCCTCCCTCCCCCCCATCTCCACCACCACCAACACCCCCCCCCCCGCCCGCCCGCCCCAGACTTTCACTGACAAAAGGAAGCCCCGATGACTCGCTAAAGGATGGCACGAGAGACCAGGCACCTCTGGGTGGGGAATTTACCGGAAAATGTGCGCGAAGATAAAATTATCGAGCATTTTAAACGGTGAGTCCCACACGGCGAGGTCGGTCTGTGGGTGTGTGTGTGTGTGGGGGGAAGTCTGGGGCTGTTATTGTGAGAGCGCGGCTGTGCGGGTCGGGCAGGGCCGCCCGCTCGGGGCTGACCGAAACCCGAGAAAGTGCCAGTTCCTGCTTTACTGCGAGAAAAGCTCCGCTCATTGTGTGTGTGTGTGTGTGTGAGAGAGATGAGGAGCTGTTTTCACCCTCCACCTCCCCCCACCCTCCCCAACCCACCCCTAACCCACCCCCCAGCTCACACACGCTGCTGCTTAAACTTCACATCGCTCCTTTACTCCGTCGGAGGGAAAGGGGGTCACTGGCTGACTTAACAAATATTCCTATTGTTGTGTGGTGTTGCTGCAATCTCGGGGACTTGTTCTGCTCCGACAGTCGCTTCCATACGAACCACTGAAGGGTGTGGGGGGGGAGAGAGAGAAGGAGAAGTGGAGAGAATTAAATGCAAAGCAATTAAATCGCAAACGCATTGCCCCGTTTTATTTTTTTTTGGCCTCGAGCTGATTGAGTTGGGTCCAGATTTGATCCGATTCCCAGCGCTACCTAAACGTGCCATCGCGACTTATTTATTTTTTTGGTGCGTGTGTGTTGTGTGTGTTTTTTTTTGTGTTTTTTTAAAAAAAAAGCCGTAAAGTTTGTGATGATTTGCGCGTGCGATCGTCGTAGCGGTTTGCAAGCCCGGCCCCCGGAGAGAGAGAGAGAGAGAGAGAGGGGGGGATGTGAAGGTCTGAGTGTGTTTTAGACACATGGGAGCTGTAATGGAGGACCGAGCTGTCTGTGGGAAACGGGGGAGAGAGGGGGGGGGGAGCACAACACAACACGTTCACTGATAACCAAAGGGGCCAAACTGGGCGCTAATTTGGGATCGGAGCACCGAAACCGCATGTTCTTCGCGTTGGGGAGAAGGGGGGGAGAGAAAAAAAAAATAGATGCACTGTTGTAGGCAACGCTTCTCCGGCCACGCGAACACGCTCGCGTGTGGGGTTAAACCCACTGCCCTCGGGAGTGATGTGTGATGTGAGTGAGTGAGTGAGAGAGAGAGAGAGAGAGTTGCCGGAAAAAAAACCCCACCGGTCTTTTGAAATACGACGACTGTTGGGTTGGCATGGAGTTGCGTTTTCACACGCGTTGTTTATCCGTTCCGGGGAATGCAGAGACCCCGACGGGGCCCGAAGCTTCTCGCCTGAAGTGAGATTTTTTTTTTGGGGGTATAAAACATCTTTTGTGGGGTTTTTTTTCCCCACAAAAAATTCATATCGACGCCACCCACCAGTGGCTGAATTTCGAAAAGTTTTTATGGGGTTTTTTTAAAGATTATTTTTCGAGTACCGTTCAGTAGAGGCCGATAGACGGGGTGGGTGGTGGTGGGGGGAGGGTGTGTGTGTGTGTGGGGGGGGGGTTAGAATTACAGGATTAAAAAATAGAGAGAGACAGAGAGAGAGATGTTGTACCGAAGCCACAAGAATATTGAGATAGAAAGAGATGCTGAGCGTGGCGTGTGCTGATCAGCGTGAGTAAAATGGCGGATCCCATTCCCAGCAGCAACCCTCAAGATTTGGTATTAGAAACATGTATTTTACCCACCTGTCAAAGGGATATATGCCACCGTTCAATCCGCCACGCATTTCTGGATTTTTTTTAAAAAAAAAGAATCAGCATTTTTTTTTTGGTGGGTACGACATGCAGCTCGACCTCTTGGGCTGTTTAAAAAAAAGATACTCTTTTAATTGTACGTCAGCGTTTGTTGGTGCCTCATGACATTTTAAATCCCATGTGTTATCAACATTATACCCCGTTCGGTGGAAGATGTCCTGACATTTATGCAAGGGAGAAACTCAGTTCGTGAAATTATACTTTTTGTTTTTGAATTAATCGACCAGTTATGTTGCCAGCCACACCGAAAACTCATATTATGGTTCTCGAAGCAGGTGGCAATGTGACCGGGATGTTTTTCTCATATTCAGATGTTGACGAAGGATAGATAATTATTAATTCAGGGAAAGTATCAGGACTCCCCCCCCCCCCCCGCACAAACACAGAAATGAGCCTTCAGATTGCGTCATTTGTTTAAATGTAGTTGCAATATTGCGATTCAACGGTTTAGGGGTGGTGTCGTTTATTTAATGTAATCCATCTGATTTTGTTCTGTTAAAAAAGAGAATCCATTTGGATTCCAGTTCACTTACTTAACAGAGCAAGACTAGGTTTTACATGTCGAGGATTGGAGCAGCAGACAACCTTTTGCATCCAGTATTTGAAAGTCGTACTATTTTTATGGGATGAAAAATAAATGGTAACATGGAGACGAAGTATATTTTGGCAGCTCTCCATGTTTATAAAGGTTTTCAATAAGGGACTCCTATCTTTCAGGCTGTGCTGAAGTTGCCTGGTTACGGTTGCTTGGTAATCTGCGGAGAAAAGCTGTTAATAAAATGTCAGCCTTTTCTTAAACGAGCTGTAGATTTGCAGTTATTGAAAACGCATGTAAAGCTAGGCATCGTTGTTCATTTAATGACGATCAGTGAGAGAAAACTCCTTCTTTATGTCTCTTTCTCTCCGAAGCATTTTTTTAATTATTCTATAATTCAACGTTTCTAATTCATTTTGTTTCTGCTTCCAGTGCAGCCTTTGCTTAACAATAACCCTTTATACGTGCATGTTCAGATGGTTATCACAGTGAGGTTTACAATGTTTGTATTGTGGTTTGTTTCCTACATTCTCTCGATGGCAATGTTTTCACTAGTGTTTAGGGTAAAAACAATTCCGTAAATACTTAGAAATACAAACAAATCATAAAACAATTAATTGAAGATTTTAATATAAAACGTCACCGGCATTAGTGTTTTATTAAGCTGGTGATGTGGGAGCCACCGATAATCAAGTGTTGTTGTTTATCATTTGCTATTTTATAGCACATCTACCATGGTTATACAGTGTGGAATATGAAAGTACTTGCGGTGGGCAGAGTATTGTGTCTTTTCCATATTTAATGCTGAAAACGTATGTTAATACCAGCTTGAAATGCAAATAAGCCAGTTCCCACCCCTCCCCCACCAGAGAACGAGATGAACACACACACAGGGGGAGGGGACAAAAGGGTTTGAAGATAGAAAAGATCTAGAACCTTAACACGCTTCAGGGGGAAAACAGGCCAAGGAGAGCAACGGGTTGTGAAACAAAGGGCAGATCATGGAGATAATTCACCTGGTACTGCAATATTCATGGGGCGTGTTTACATTATGTGTCAGAATATCTTTAAATTGGGACTATTTTTGTAACGGCGTAGGATTTGTTCGGAAGGCGTTGAGAGAGATCGAACTACATCGCTGTGTGTTTACTGTACTGAAACGATGGATTTTTTTTTGGTGTGTATTTGGGGAAACTAAAATTAGGAGATTGCAATCGGAGCCATTACAGAGGCGTCGTTAAAAGATACGACGTCAGCAGCAGGAGTCGGATTGCAGTCGGAGGCAGGAGGAAGGGAAAATATGGCGTTAGCGTTTCAAGTCCCTTCAGTTCACGTATTTGTCCGCAGTGTTTTCGGCATTTTTGCTCGGGAACGGTGTTTAGAGTTTAAGGGAAGGGTGTGGTTTCTTTACGCTCTTTATATTTTACCAAACTCGGCCGCTTATTCGAAATTAATGAAGAATAGCTAAACTGTACTTGCAGACTAATACATTACTTTAGTGTTTTTTCTTCAAGATTGAACCGCCTTGTTATCACTGTATTGTCATCGACATAAGGATTTCCTGTTTTTTTAAAAAATAATGTGAGCATCGACACCCTACATTAAAGTTACAAAAACAAATCATGTAGTAAATACGGAGTATCGTGTAGCCTCAAATGGAATGTTCTAATCAGAAATCTGCCCAAATTTGACCTCTGTTACAATAGGTTGAATTCTAAATTGGTCCCATCGTTAAATGCTAATTGGCATAGGCTTCGTATTGGGACCAATACATGCGTAGCTTAGGACAAATGGTGCCTGGTCTGCAGCTGCCAATTCCACTTTGCATCTTCTATTCTGTACTCTCATGTTTATCTGTAGTGTAGGAATTGCTCTATCTCTTCCACAAAAAAAGTGCATTTGCAGGGAACGGTTAAGGCTGTGGAACTAACCTTTGATATCCATGGAATAAATAGAAGAAAGAACAGTACTTTTGATTACAAAAACATAAAGGAATATTTTCAACTGTTAAAAGGACACACTGGTACATTGATGTGATGCCTGCTTAGTGTCCTAGAGCACATGACTTGACCAGAATAAGCAATCAGTGGTAATGCTTTTAATAAACGTTTTATCATTATTCCCAGTATTGTGCGTTCATTCAGCTTTATTTTTAGTACAGTGCAGATAGTTTAGAAGCACATAGTGCTGGATCAGGGTTGTCTATGGGTTTGGCTTCACTTCCTGTGTGTTATATACCTTTAACTATATCCTTAAGATCTCGCTTACACTCTTTACTGCTGATGAATACTGTGCTGATGCTCACAATGATCTAGTCACTAGTGACCCCAAATTCCTCTTGTGCGTTGCAATTTGTAGACTATTTGCTTTAGAAATTTACATTACAGAACACAGATATTTGGTCCATCGTATCATATTCTCACTATTTAGTATCATATTCTCACTGGTAATCTCATTGTCCTTTGGAGTGCTGTCATTTAGCTTATGTGCCTAGCGTTTCCCTTTTCACTCTGCATTTGTCTATATTAAATGACAATTGCCTCATGTCAGCCCAATTCTTTAGTCAGCCAGTTTGCAGCTCACTCTCCATTAGTATCACTATTGAACTACTTCAATGCAGTGCTGGAAAAGTTCTGCTTTGTCAGAAGTTTCATCCTCGTGATGAAATGTTAAGACAAAGTCAGTCTGCCTGTTGAGGTAGACTTTAAAGATCCCATTACATTATTCAAACAGAGAATGAGGTTTACCCTAGTTAACATTTCTAGATAAAATAGCCATTTACT